ACCACTCTTGTGCAGCATCAAGTGGGTCTTTGAAGCCCATGGATTCTGGTGTCTCATACCATCTTAGCATACTATGTCCTCCAACAGTCGAGTCTGCGGATGTCATGTCATGTTCTTCTGAGCTGTGAAAGAAACACAATGCGCGCGGCCAGAGGACGTCCCGATCTGGGCTTGCAAAAGCTGGGCTAGAGGCTGTAGGGCTATTCGTCAAGGTCGTACGTATTCTGACCCAGGAGCTTTTCTTCTCCAGATCAGATAAAGCATAACCCTTCCAGCCTAACCAACGCTTGACACTCGACTTCCAGCTCTCGATGCTTTGCTCCAGAGTGGCGAGTCTAGTACGTTTTCTGTGACGGAGACCAATCTCCTCTATGATAGAATCAAGGGGATCATCAAAACTCGAAATTGTTGCGAGCAATCCATTCGGAGCAACTCGTATGCATTTGCCAGTAAGCCATTTTTCTTCAGCTTGTGTTGAGATGTCGCCGACGCAGCGGATGTCAGTCTTGTAGTCAGTGTAAGTCGAGACTAGGAGTGTGCCTGAGCTAGCCCAATGTACATTCACGCTAGTAAGGCGATGCACAGGAGCTGGCGCTTCAGTCTCGTACGGATCGTCGTCAGCTCGTTTGCAAGCCTTGGACACAAATGTGCGGTAGTTCAAGGCAGTCACGTTGCAATCTTTGACGACGTTGAACGAGATGAGTGCGATGACAGACGATGTGAAGAGCTCATAGATAGTGAAACAATCGGGTGGTGAAGGGGAATCGGATGCTTGAGGCTGACTGCTGCCATGTGATGACCTCGCGCTGCCAGCATGTAGGCCTCTTTGTGGTTGTGTGGCCGATGGGGAGTTGGTCGAGGTGGCAGTGGTGTTCGGATTGCCCGGGCGCATGGGGGGTCGCACTAGATCGATGGCCTTGGTGCATCCTGTCTGCTCGCCTAGCACGTGTTAGCTGGGTGTTGTAGGAAGAAGCGAAGACGACATACTGTGCAGGCGATAGCCGTCGAGCTCTGGGGGTTCGGCATCGTTCGGCTCTAGCTTGTCGACGGTCGTCGGCTTGAACAGCCATAGCCACGGCCGAGATGCATCCTGCGCGACTAGTTGCAGGTCCTGTCGCAGCTGGGCTTCGACTGCGCGTATGTCTTCGGACGTGTTCCAGTCGCGCGTCCTCGAGGAAGTGGGGGTGGTGGTGCGTGTGATAGAGAAGGCTTGATATGCGATAGCCTCAAAGTCTCCCTGTGTATCGTCAGCACATGATGGCGCGCACTTCCATCAAGACGTACTATAGCTTGCGCATTCGTATTACAGGTTTTGAGAAATTCCATTAGAGAGACGGCTCCTCTTTAGGGGACATTCAAGTGGTATTCGCGGCGTATTTTCACTCCAAAGACTGCGCTGTACACCTTTTCCATCAACTCCGCTGCGGTCCGCCCAACGCGTCGCGCGCGACTGTCTCTATCAAAGCGATGTGGGTTGTGATGTAGGCGGGGCGACGAAGGCTAACGTGTCGGCATGATCTGAACGCGTATCTGTAGTTGGAAGATGGAGCATGGCGACCCGCATGCGCACCTTAGGAACGACGGAGGTCCCTGCAATCGGCAATGCCCGATTCAACCAACGGTACGAGTGGTAAATGTGATAGAAAACCCGGGCGAGACTCGACGACGACGACGAAAAAGCACGCAACTGCAATGCGATGTCAGCGAACAAACAGAGCCCGCGGCTCGGCAAGCAAGCGGCGCGCCTCGAGGGCCCTTTCTTAGCCCGGGCCTGTCTCGCGACCTACCCTTGTAGTGCGGAGGTCTGTGCATACAGGTTTGCGGGCCCACTTTAATACTTTCGTCGCGAACTTCTTCGTTGCCGCTTCCTGTCGCAAAACTTCCTACGGCGCCGACATGAAGATTTCCACGGGCAACGTACCGGTCTACACCATCAGTGGCAGCGAGGCGCGCCCGCTTCCAGAGTGGCTGATCCGGAAAAGAAAGCGCAGTCTCAAGAATGACCCCGAATTCGCAAACCGCGTGGATTTGCTGCAAGATTTCGAGTTTGAGGAAGCCAGCCAGTGTGTCCGTGTGAGCGAGGATGGAGACTGGGTTATGAGCACAGGCACATACAAGCCTCAAATACACGTCCACTATCTCCCTCATCTGTCGCTTTCCTTCGCAAGACACACCAATACTCTTGTACGTTCTTTCCGAGCTACACACGTCATGCACTGACTTTTCGCAGAACCAAACCTTCCACCTCCTCTCCTCCGACGCTACCAAGAGCGTACATCTCCAGCAAGATCGATGCATCGAGTTCCACACCGGTGGGGGTCTCCACTATGCGAGCCGCATACCACGTTATGGTCGCGACCTTATCTACGACCGAAGATCCGCTGAGTGTCTGGTACCGTCCGTTGGTGTGAATGCAGACGGAATGGGCGAGTGCTTCAGACTGAACCTGGAAGTTGGGCGCTTCATGAGGAGTTATGAGATTGACGTGGGTGGGGACGACGTGACGACAGTTGGAGGTGGTGCTCTCCAGGGTGGCATCGACGCTGGTGCAGTCAACACCGGTGCCATTGCCGAACAATCGCACGGTCTCCTAGCCTTCGGCACTTCCATTGGAACAGTCGAGTACTGGGATTCGCGATCAAGGAACAGGGTGGGTATACTTTCTGCCCCTCCGGATGCATTTGAAGGAAAGTCGGAAATCACAGCTCTAACATTCCCATCATCGGGTTTGGAGGTTGCTGTGGGAGACTCAAACGGCATTGTGCAACTCTATGACCTGCGATCACCGAAACCACTACTAAGGAAAGACCAAGGATACGGTTATCCGATCAAGAACATTATCTACCTCGAGGGCGCGCAGACTGACGAACCTAAAATCTTGACCGCAGATAAGAGGGTAATCAAGATCTGGGATTCAAAGGACGGCACGCCATGGACCTCTGTTGAGCCTTCGGTAGACCTGAACCATGTTGAATGGGTACCAAAGACTGGTATGCTTTTGACGGCGAATGAGGGCAGGCAACAGCATTCCTTCTTCATACCACAGCTCGGCCCAGCGCCAAGATGGTGTCACTTCCTCGACAACATCGTAGAAGAAATGGCCGAAGACCCCAACGACCCCAACGCTTTTGGCAAGGGCGCGTCCGGAGACGTTTACGACAACTTCAAGTTCTTGACGCTCGAGCAGCTCAAGCAGCTATCACTGGATCACCTTGTTGGAACTACAAGTCTCCTGCGACCATACATGCATGGTTTCTTTGTCGCCCAAAAATTGTACGAAGAAGCACGACTCATCTCGAACCCAGACCTGTGGCAAGAGCAGCGCGCCAAGAGCATCGCCGAAAAAATCAGCAAAGAGCGAGAAAGCAGGATTCGCGGCAACAAGAAGGTGGCAGTCAAGGTCAACAGAAAGCTCGCAGAGAGGATGTTGGAAAAACAAGAAGAGCAGGAGCGAAGGAGAGCCAAGCGCGTTCTCAAAAAGGGCGGCGACGACGACATGCTGGAGCCTTCCGCCGCACCTGCTGTCGAAGAACCCGTCAAAGCAGATGGTGTTCTCAACGACCCGCGTTTCGCCAAAATGTTCGAAGATCCCGAGTTCGAGATCGACGAGCAAACCCGCGAATTTCAGCAGCTCAACCCCAGCACCAAGATACCCAAAGGTCTTACTGCGGTCGAACAAGAGGATCTGGAATCGAGAAAGGGCTCGTCAGACGAAGACTCCTCCGACTCCGAAGCCGACAAAGTACGTCCCACCAAGAAGTCACAGCAAAAGGAAGACACGTCGCGCATCTCTTCCGGCAACTACCGCAAAGCCGGTCACCGATCCCAACGCCCTGGCCCCGAAATGGTGGTCTCATCGTCGAACCAACGGAAAGCCGGACCGACTTCCAAGGACAAGACGTTCGGATCGCGTGTCTCCAAACTCAAGGACAGGAAACCTGCGTCGTCTGCGAATACGACGACGGTGGTCGGCGAGAGGGAGATTACGTTTGCGCCGGAGAGGAAGCAGAAGAAAAAACCGGAACAGGAGGGCCAGAGGCATGACCGGAGGAAACAGGGTGACAGGAGGAATGCTAGCAACAATGTCTTCAGGAATATGTAGAGTCTTTGCGATGCTTGTGGGTAAGATGGAAATGAGTTTGTTAGAGATGAATGATACCCTTATCAAATCACGACTATGTTCCATTCATTATGTGATGGCAGATAGGGAATTTTTTTATGCACCAGCTGAGCCATAAACGTTATTGGAACGTTGCATTCATAGATGCTTTCAACTAGGAGGACAAAAATTGAGTATATGAAGCCGACCTGTAGTGAGCGCTACCTCACAGTTATAAAACCGAGCCATGTCTGGAAAATGGATCCGACTTAATTGAATACCAGTATATTTATTTCTTTAGTATTCATTTCGTAATGATACTACTCCTGTCATACAGATGCACGAAGTCATCGTGGTGTACATACAATAGTGTAATACCTAGCACATGCCAAGATGGAACAAGTCCACATTTCACTAATCACGTCGGACACGATCACAAACTAGAGTGCGCTTGACCTGGACTCGGACTCCTTGGCGGCCGAATGTACTTCATGTATCAAGTTCGTCTTGTTCTATGACTGATATCAGAATTGTCGATTATTTGTTGGCTTGAACGATATCGTGTAGGTTAGATGTACAGCCAACAAAGAATGGACTTCTACTCCGTGAAACAACCCCATTGGTAATGGAAGAGATGATAAAAATTTCTGAAGCGAATGACCTTGTGCATGAGTTGTTAGATAGCCTAGGGAAGCTGTCATTGTTCCAAGCCCTGACCAGACGAAGATCGAAGTATTTTCAGAAAATCAGACAAACTCATATTGAAAGAGTTAAATCGATCTATTCCAATTGCTTGTTCGCGGCGTGATTAACGCCCAAACAAAGCCTACGCCATGTCAATGTACCCCGTTATGTGTCAAGTTCACATAACATCGCCTCTATATATGCCGATCCCGTTGTCTTGTCCAGGCGGGATTTCTCGTTCTTCAACTCAAGATCGAACTTCAAGTCGATGGTATCTCTTGTGTTTTATTCTTTTTTCTGGTGAGCATTCTTACTCAGCAGACTGCTTGTTCATCATGGTGTAGGCAGCGAATGCAAGAGCACCACCGAGGAGGATGATGGCGTAAAGGCCGACACCAGTCGAGGCACCGTCGGTGGTGGTAGCGGTTGAGCCGGGCTGTGCGTAGCTCTTGGGCTTTGGGTCACCCTCCTGTATCACTCATCAGCAAAACTGGTCTTCGAGTAGTACGTAACGAACGGTGCGTTTCTTGTCCGCAGACTGCGGAATTGTTCCGAGGTACTTCCATTTCCCTCGGCCGACATCCTGCGGAGGTCCACGGTACAAGAAAGACGTCCTGAATGGAGCTGTGTGTCTAGAGAAGGGATTGGGAGAGTATGGAGAAGTATGGGGGTTTCGTACCTGGCGCTTCAGGTTTCCGACGAGCAGACCGTCGAGGATCTCGCGGGCTTCATCTGAGTGACCGACATCCTCGAATGCCTCTGTTGAGTCCTGGCCTCCGACATCGAGCAGAACTTCCTCACCACCTCTGTAGACATGTTAGCGCTTGCTCTTGTATCATTCGCGTGGTAAAGCCAGGAGCGGGGCTTTTTTGCGATAACGGGAGTGCGAATGCCGAGGTGCATTGCGCGGCGTGCGAGGCAGCAACGTACGGGTGCTCATCTACGAAGCTTGATGCATTGTAGACCTTGTCGTGAACAACAATGTACAGGTCCTTCTTGGTGTTGTGCTCCGAGACGTCGGAGTAGGTGAATTCCTTGTCGGCCATTGTGGAATTGTGTAGGAAATGCGAAACGTGTTCCAAAGTAGCAGATTCGAGACGAGCGTATTGCTGCGTGGGCCGAGGCGAGTATAGGACGTTGAAAGGAAAGCGCGAGAGTCGTGGGGCTTTGGAGGTGAGGTGTCAGGTCAGAAAGAAACGGCGGATAAGAAGTTGTGGTCGTAGCGGGATTAGCTCTAGCTCTCAGTTTAGGCGTATTAGGCGTAGGAGAGGGTTGTGCTCGCAGTCAAATTGCGACTCACCGATTGGCTGTCTGGCGCCTCACTCACCGACGTTCCCGAGCTCCGCCAGAACGGGTAAGAAGACCCTGTCTCGTGTTGATGGTGGGGCTGCAGGATTATCGCGGGGCAGTCCTTTCACTCTTTGAGTATCCAATTCCGCTGCTAGTCAAAGTAGTCAAATCATGTCATTGAAATCGCTTGCTATGCTAAAATGATAAGATGCTCATGACCGTTTGCACCTGATCTCACCATGGTAAACTGCCATCACGAACCCAGGACCTTCACCCTCATCCACTCGCTCGTACCAACCCCAAGATTTAACCCGTTCAATGCCCACCACCTCCTAACAGCATCTCCCCGTGCCCCTTCTACACCGTCCTCTAATGCCTCTTCAATGTCGCATGTTTTGTATTCCACTTTCAAACCGCTGCGCTTCCACCACTCAAGTACATCGGCATGGCCCATCTTGGTTGGTCCGACGAGAACTTGGTTGTCGAAGAGAATCTTTTCGCCGCGGAGTTTGCGCCAGTAATCTAGAATATGTGTGTGACCATGAGTTGAAGCAACCTTGGCTATCGTGTCTTCGTGCGAGAAGGGAATGCCAGATTCTACCCAGAAGTGGATTGCGGGCAGGCATCCTGATTGTGTTGCGTAAGTTATCGACTTGCCAACCTTGAGAGGCAGGTCGTCTCGATGAGGTTTATTAGGAGCCTGTTCATCGACTGGCGAGGAAGGGACTGAAGGGGCAGTCCTATGACGGCTGTGCTCCTTCCACCATTTGAGAACGTGAATGTGACCCTGAGAGCTAGCTTGTTCAAGTGCAGCTTCCGTGTATTTGAGTGATAGGCCAGAATTATACCACCAGTCGAGAGCTTGGACAGAGTTGGCGCGACTTGCATTGTCAATGGCTTCCGCAGAATACTCTTTAGTGAGGAAGGTAGGGGATGTTCTCCAATATTCAAGGATCTCCGTCTTTCCAAACACTGAGGCTTTATGAGGAAGGAATGTGTGTCCAAACGTACTCCAGAAGAGATCCTTGTGGAATTTCTCTAGATGTATGAGAACGGGTACCATGGCAAAGCGCATAATAAGTTCGATGCACATGCGGGAGATGCGCGTGGGACGCTCAGAGTCGAACAGAGCCTTAATTTCAGAATACGGATATGTGAGAAGCGCCCATTCTATCTTCTGCATTTGTGTCTTGGGCCCTTCTTCACTTGTAGCCTGTCGCCACTCTTTCGGCACGGGCAGGTTTGTATGGACATTCAAGGTAGTCGCTAGTTCCCAGTCCTTGGTGAATTCCAGGATAATAGACCAGAGCTCTGGTGGGAGACGGGGTCCCTTGCTTCTCGTAGGTGTCAGTGTGGGGAGGTGGGCAGTAGGCAGTGCGATGGTGCGATCACCGACTGCCATCAAATCGATCTGGGTTTGTATAGATTCATTGAACGCCTTGTGTCCTTCTACCCATGGGTGGTACTTTCGCCCTGAATGGTCAAAGGACCATAGGAACGGAGGAAGGACGCGAATCCAATTCCACTTCCGGCGGATCTTGCTGATCTGCTTCCTCGACATGGGGTTCTCCCACATCAGCGTGGACATTCCCGGTATAAGCATTATTTTCTTCGACACATTCCAGCTGCGTAGAATCTTCAAATGCAGGTTCGTTGTGAAACCGTGAAGCATGCGGGCGAGGTTCTCGGCATCTAGCGGTGCCAGCACCAGCAAGTCGGCCCATGAGCAGTACTCTGCGACGTTGGTCTCTTGGTAGTCGGCATGTTGCCACTCAGGCGTCGTGTCCTTTTCAGGGTCATACGTGTGCCAGACGGGCTCGAGCTGGGGCGGGACAGTCGTATGGGTCGTGGACGGGAAGTCCTTGCATGCGATGATCTTCAACGAGACATGCTGGAGGCGATGCAGGCGCGCGACGATGGAGCAGCCAAAGCGGAAGGCAGAGGGGTCGGTTAGGGCGACGAGGACGTTTAGCGTGCGCGCGGGTGTTTGCGGGGACATTGATGAGGAGGTCAAGTGCGGTGTTGGAGTCGCTGTAGGGCTGTTCACGTCGAGGTGTTAGACCGCCATTGGCCGTCGCCCCACTGTGTCCATCTTCCTTCGCGGCTTATCTTATCTGATGTTGCTGCTAGGCATCCCTGCACAAGTCAGGTACACTGGGAGGGCGGAGGCATGGAGACGCGAGCACCTGGCACGGTATTTAGGCCAGTAGGTAAAAAGGGCCGACGGAGTCGCATGTACGCGTCAAACATCAATTAATTCCATGGTTGATGCATCGCTGTCGCATCTACTCGTCAGAGACTTGGCAGCAATTTTCTGGTCAAACACTTTTCCAACAGCAAAGATTAGCGCCGAAGACTACGTGCCGTGCACATCTATCACGTGAGCGGACACCGAACATCGGGTATCGTGGGGAAGGACTGGCGATTGGGTTCCGCGGAACGGCGAGGACAGGCGTACCGTACTTTCGTCACGAGCAAGTGTCAAACATGTCACGGCTGGTGTGAGGGAGTCGATGGTGTCGAGGTGTCGAGGGAGCTGCTGTGTGTGGGAGGTGAGACGGTGAAGAGGTTTATTGTTCACGTTCGTCGGTCGTCAAACAATAAACAAGCAGATGATCATCTCTCCCGCGTCTGCTGAGACGCACTTCTTGGTTCGGCGTTCAGCAGCCACACGCTGGGCGCATCTCACCGATGACGTAACCTCGTCTTTCGTGTTAATTCCCGCCGCGCCGCGAGATGGAAGTGGGTCGCAGGCGATGGAATTTATCGAGAAGACCATGTTAGGGGCAACATCCGCTATGCCCGTCGCGGCCTAAATCGACGATCGCAGACTGTGTGAGCGACTACGCTCAGATCCTCCATGATCGACATTTGAAGGCGCATCAAGCCATTCAAGTGTCTGTCGGGCCCTTGATGGCAGTCATCCATCTCATCAACTAGACGGTGACGCGCTGCCTGGCTTGCCGTTTTGTCTGCACCAGTGTACCAGTGCAGCTTAGGAGAAAGCCTGATTGCCGTCGGTCGTCTTCTCTTCTTCTGTCGCTTTCCCCCGTTTTAGAGCCTCGCACTTACTGCTACTCGACGATCTAGAATTCGCCCCTCTCACGCCAGCCCTGCTGGAGATCTCCCACAGCAGCACCTCTTCTGCCAACTTCATGAGGCTGCTAGGCCCGCCCAACACCCACCTCTGACAAAAAGAACGAGACTCCTATTAGGGACTGTCCACGCTATCGCCACCTGTTTCCCGGTCCCTGCATAACGCCAAGTCACTTTGCGTGCCGATGAGCGAAGCCTCCAATAAATCTACACCTCACGATAGCGACCGCTACCCTCCCATGGACGCCTGAAGGCACAAGCCGACCGTGTGTGGGTGCCTTTATTCCTAGCGACCGTAGCCAGGCCATCTGGAGCCTTCTAGTTCTGCCAGCGGCGTTCACGCGTTTCGACGACTCCGAGCTCCATGTCTCAATCACCCAAGCAGACCCCCAACTCTGGCCCTTCTGTACAAGACGATGGTCGCTTCAACTTCTCCACCGTGTCGCCTGTGCCGGAGGAGCCATGCACCCCCGATGCCGGCACAAAGACGACCGACTTCGCTTCTTTGCCACCGTCTAATGCTGCACATGCGGCTCTTAGCAACGAGGCAGCTTCAAGCGCCTTGAGCCCCTCTGCGACCGACCGAGTCTTTCCTATACGCAGCGCCATCAGCGTCGACCCTACCCCCACCCCCAAGGGCGGTCATTCACAGGGTGACTACTTCCACCCATATTCAAGGACCAACGACTCGCGCTTCACGAGCGACTCGCGTAGGGCATCGCAGGGCTCCACCACCTCACAGTCATCACATGCCTCACAACGCAATTGGAGTTTGCGCCACGGAGGGAACAAGCCTGATGCGGGTTCCGACACCCAGCGTTCGTCTCTCAAATCAAGCCAAAGAGGTGACAGCTCGCGGATGGCCGCCCCCGTCCTGCCCCCACAACTGTTCAACGACCTGTCATCAACAAAGTCAGGTGGAAGCGCACAGAATGGCAGTCAATCGCCAGGTTCCAAGGCCGAGCGTGCACCGTCGATTGGAGGCGCTTCCGCTAGGAGCGGTATAAGCAGCCTGGATATGGGCGGTCTGGTAACACACCGGTTCAAGCACGTCACGACCGAAGGGGGCCACATGGTCATAACAGGTCGTGAGGGCGATACCCTGCAGCGCTGCGAGGATGAGCCCATCCATCTTCCGGGTGCCGTGCAAGGCTTCGGCCTGCTGCTGGCACTGCAGGATGATCCTGAAGGGAGTCTGCTAGTGCGCGTCGTAAGTGAGAACTCTAAGCGCATTCTTGGGCGTACCCCAAAGGAACTTTTCGCATTAGAGAGCTTCACAGACATTCTCTCCGAAGAGCAAGCCGACAACCTTTTGGACCACATCGACTTCATCAAAGACGAAGACTCCGACGTTACGTCCAACGGGCCCGAAGTCTTTACCATGTCGATCAAAGTAGCTGGCTATAATAGAACGCGCAAGTTATGGTGTGCAATCCACATGAACGAGTCCAACCCTGGGCTTGTCATCTGCGAGTTCGAGCTTGAAGAGGATCCATTGTATCCCCTGGTTCCACCTAACGACCTCACGCCAGAGCTGCCGGAAGATACTTTGTCCAGCCAGCCTACGGCCGAGGAACTGCTTGAAAGTACAGAAATCAAGAGTAAACCCCTGCGGGTCCTACGCAGTGCGCGGAAACGAAAGGGCGAGGCTGCCGCCATGGAGGTTTTCAACATAATGTCTCAGGTTCAAGAGCAACTGGCCGCAGCGCCATCATTGGAAAAGTTCTTAAAGGTTCTTGTCGGTGTGGTCAAGGAGTTGACTGGCTTCCACCGCGTCATGATATATCAATTCGACCAAACGTTCAACGGCCGTGTCGTCACCGAACTTGTTGACCCTCGCGCGACCAAAGATCTCTACAAAGGCTTAAATTTCCCTGCCTCTGATATTCCAAAGCAGGCTCGAGAGCTATACAAGCTCAACAAGGTACGTATGCTCTACGATCGCGACCTAACAACCGCAAGGCTTGTATGTCGCACCGCCGAAGACTTAGAGAGCCCTCTCGATCTCACCCACTCGTATCTTCGCGCCATGTCTCCTATTCATCTCAAGTACCTAGCGAACATGGCTGTAAGATCCTCAATGTCCATCTCCATCAACGCCTTCAGTGAGCTGTGGGGTCTTATCGCCTGTCACTCATATGGGCCACGCGGTATGCGAGTGTCATTTCCTATACGCAAGATGTGTCGCATGGTCGGCGATGCAGCGTCTCGAAACATTGAAAGATTATCGTATGCTTCTAGACTGCAGGCTAGGAAGCTCATCAACACCGTACCGACGCAACACAACCCTTCCGGATACATCATCGCCTCTTCTGATGATCTCCTGAAACTGTTCGACGCTGATTTTGGTTTATTGTCCATCCGAGACGAGACGAAGATTCTTGGCGTCCTGGAAAACTCACAAGAAGCTTTAGCCATGTTGGAATATCTCAGGATGAGGAAAATTCAGTCGGTCATGACTTCCATAGATATTGTCTCGGACTTCCCCGATCTGCGATATCCCCCTGGGTTCCATATCATAGCGGGCATGCTCATCGTTCCTTTGTCGGTAGATGGCGAGGACTTCATTGTCTTCTTCAGGAAGGGTCAACTGAAGGAGGTGAAATGGGCTGGTAATCCATATGAGAAGTTCATAAAAGAAGGTACCGAGGGCTACCTAGAGCCCCGGAAGAGTTTCAAGACATGGTCCGAGACTGTTGTTGGAAAATGCCGCGAATGGACAGAAGAAGAGATCGAGACCGCCTCAGTACTTTGCTTGGTCTACGGAAAGTTCATAGAAGTCTGGAGACAGAAAGAAGCCGCCCTTCAGAGCAGTCAACTGACCCGATTGTTGCTGGCGAACTCGGCACATGAAGTACGTACACCGCTCAATGCAATCATCAACTACCTTGAGATAGCATTAGAGGGCGCTTTGGATACGGAAACGCGAGAGAACCTTTCGAGATCGCACTCGGCATCCAAATCTCTTATCTACGTAATCAACGATTTGCTCGACTTAACCAAGACGGAGGAGGGCGGACCACTCATTAAGGGGGAGTCGTTCGATTTCAGGGAAACAATCAAAGAGGCTACAGATATGTTCCAAAATGATGCCAAACGGAAGAACATTGCTTACGAAGTTATCGAATACCCGGGCCTGCCTACTCTGTGTATCGGAGATCAACGCCGAATCCGCCAAGCAATATCAAATATCACTGCGAATGCGATTCAGAACACCACTCAAGGAAGCGTCAAAGTAGAGGTGTATCTTGCAGCAAAACCGAGCAAAGATCACGTGGAGGTGGAGATTGCAGTATCAGATACAGGTGTTGGCATGAGCCAGAAGAAGCTCGATCAACTGTTCTATGACCTGGAACAAGTCCAGTCCGAGCCCACTTCCATGCTAGAAGATGCTCTTGTGCCGGACAAGAAGCAGATCGCAGAACAAGGCGAGAAGTCAACATTAGGTCTTGGTTTGGCAGTCGTTGGGCGCATCATCAGAAACATGAACGGTCAATTAAGATTGCGATCAGAAGAAGGTAAAGGCACAAGATTCGTCATACAGTTTCCGTTCGACCTTCCAGATGCCGAGGTCGAAGCTGTATCGACAGCAGAGGCTTCGCCAGCTGGCAGCATCACGCCTCAACCTGACGGTGTACTCTCGAGCATCCTACCTGGCCCTGAGGATGGTGAGCGAACTCTGATTGCACCGAGCCTTTCACGCCACACTTCCGATAGTGAGTCGAAAGACACTTCGAACGGTGTGGTGATACGAAGGTCGAGTGCGGAGAGTTTGACAAGTAAAACTAGTCTACGCAGCTTCAAGAGCGGCTCAAGCCAGAGAAGTGACGTGGACAGACTTATTGACGCTATACAAGAGCCGCACATGATTGGCAGAGGCGATGCCAGTCCTGGAGCACGTTCACTGAGACCTACTTTGACGAAACGCAACAGCCTTGAGCCTGCCGCTCCACGCATGAGGTCTAGGAGTCTCGAACACATCAGCAGTCAGTCTGTTGTTCCTCCACACAAGAGAAGCATGAATTCTGAACATCCTGGCGAGGAAAGCGTTGGCGGTTCCGGTGCTCCTATCACGGCATTGAAGATACCTGATCCAGGCGGCGATAGCCCGATAGATCCTCGGCCAAAACCTGGAAGCGTACTTGGAGAAGTACAGGGCGATACGCCTATCGAGCCTTCTGCTGAACCGGAGAAGCTGACTGTGGATCACATGCGCGTACTTGTTGCTGAAGACGACCCGGTGAACAGTCGAATCGTGAAAAAGCGATTGGAAAAGCTTGGGCACAAGGTTCACCTTACCGTCAATGGCGAAGAGTGTTCGTCGGCGTACTGCGATAATTCAAAAGACATCGATGTTGTCTTGATGGATATGCAAGTTAGTACAGTGTGTTCCAGACTATGTTGTTTATGCTAATATCTGTGAAGATGCCAATTGTCGACGGACTCACCTCAACCAAGATGATAAGATCATTTGAGAAGCTGCACCACGACATATACTCTGCTCGAGCTGCCCTCTGTGGACGCGTCCCTATCATTGCCGTCTCCGCTTCATTGATCGAGCGCGATCGTCAACAATATATCGACGCTGGGTTCGATGCATGGATCTTGAAGCCAATCTCTTTCGACCGACTCAACAAACTCATGGCTGCTATCGTTGACACCGACATTCGATACGACTGTCTATACCAACCTGGAGAGTGGGAGAAGGGTGGTTGGTTCCATAGCGGAAAGCACAGCGCTGACGAAGCCGACACCAAACCATCGGGCGAAGCGCCCATGCCCAACTCTTCAGAAGAGGTGGATGAAGCGATCATGCGATCGGAAGACCCAATGGCTGGGGAAGAAAATGAAGGAGGCGATATCCCTGATGAACAAGAACGACTTTTGCAGAATCAGGAAGAGGGAAAGACCGAACCACCACCTGAAGACGCCTCCGAACCCCCAGCTTGAGACACTTGTAAGACATGTATTTGATCATGTGTGTTAACATCCTACTGCTGCCCGTCCATCGCTCCAGCGCATGTCGGTCCACCCGCAACATGCGACACCTGCCACCCATTGCCGTTGCCTGGCGATGCGCCCGACGCGGAACGGTGTCACAGTCTTCCTTTCTCTGAGCGCCTCCACGACCCTGTGTGACGGTGTCCCAGGTCTCGTCGGTCCGCGCATACCTTTTCGTCCTATACATATATTTTTACTGCTTTTTCACGGTCTGGCGGCATAGTTAGGTATTGGCCTGCAAGCATTGAAGGGGTTTGGAAGCGTGTGTCATTTCATTAGGTGCAACATAGAGCCAGGGTCTCCGATGTTTAGATGGCATACGGCGATGGTGCAGACATGTTTTATTCTTATAGCATACGTCTGCGGCAAAGAGCGCTTCTGTTGCAAGGACGGAATATGACGCAGAAGGTGGAGCGTAGTAGTAGGATAGATACGAGGCTAATGAAAGCGTTCAAAAACACGAGACATCGTTGGACCTTCTGCGTGTTGATGTGATTGTTCGAGATGATATGCCGAAGATCATTTTTTGTACATGGTCCGGAAAGAGCTTACTAGGCAAGGCCTTGATGGAAGTTCGAGGAAGACTTGTCAAAAAGCACGGACACCAACTGGTCGGTTAGATTGTAACGAATAGTGAGTGGATATAAGTGGTAATAGGCCTTGTTGGGCGCTGGCTGCAAGAATCGGTCTTGTAAGAGGCTAATGGATGCGCAGGAACGAATTCAAACCCTTGGCATGATGACGACGAAGAGAACGAGGGGACGCGACGAAGATACTTACGGACGATCACGTCGTCACTGCATGTATTAGACCTCCACACCAGAATTCGTCGAGGTCTGTCAACTAAGAACCGGTATACTTCAACAGCAGGATGAACGCATTTCTGAGCAATAAATTAATTCACAAATTCATCGACCAGTACCATAACTACAACTTCACTGAGCAGTTCATGCAAGCCGCAAAAGCCATGCTTTACAACAATTTCGAATCTCACGATGCGATCATAGCAGAGGAAGATCCGAATGAGCTTACAAGATTGGGTGACAAGATTGAAATTCATGGTTCACGCCCGTACACGGCCGCTTGGGAAGAGAGCAATAGTAAACATACCCTGCGCATCGAAACCCAGGATTTGACATGTTCTAGATGAATGGGCCGCTATGAGCAAAGGAATGCGCCTGAAGTTCGAGAAGCTAAAAGATGCAAAAGCTCTTTAATATCTCTTCTAGTAACTGAAAGTCGCACAATTGCATGTCTATCGACAGATATGTACTAGGGTATTAATTCGGAATCTATAACATGGGGTTCTTGTAACTGGCCAGGTCGCAGCCTGCTAGGTAAGGTGCTGATGACACGGTGCAGGTACATCATTCAAAAGCGAAGAGAAGAGGCAGTGAGTTCTCCTTTGCCAATCATATATGAGAAGAGGCACTCGCAAGCCAAGCACCAAACATCCAAAAGAAATCAGACACGGTAGTTATTGACATCCCGGAGATTCTGACACTCCTTTCTAATGACAAGAAATTAGCCAGATCTTCGAGCACGAGAACAAGAAAGATAGGCGGGAAAAGACTTGATTGATTCGTGTATGAGCACCAGCTACATAGACACGTAGTGTACGACGGGCTATGTGATAGGTATGCTTTTGCATACAACGCACCTTTGGATGTCGATCCATCAATCAATCAATCAGGCTGTGTTCTGATCTTGGAAAAGATGCAACCTTTACTTCGACCACGAGAACGGTGGGAATCTCGAACTTGATCAACTACGCTGCCTACTACGTGAACTCCAATCGTTCCATGTGTTATCTCGAACTTCCATTGTAGGCAACAACACTTAAGTTTCCTTTGCTCTCCAGGTCGTCTTCTGCGTTGTTGTTGGCGTGAAGGGCGACGAGGAAGTCCTTGCTCTCGTGCTTGTCTAATGCTTTGGTGAAGACGAGCATATTGGCGGCACCGCTACCAAACTCTTTGTTCCAAGAATGGCAAAAGAGCAGCGAACTTTGATGGGGAGCGAATGCAAGACTGACAAAACGTGGAGAGCCAACGTATCAGTTTCAGAAGATCGCAGATAGAGGGCAGCTACCAGAATGGGTAGCTTATATAAGAAATACATATATTCCCGAGCCTATAATCTTCTTGTTCTTGATGTAGCTAATCCAATCGCGGTGCCATAGCGATATTTTTATGTGTCAGAGGTTTCTAGAGGATGGTCATTTTGTTGATCGGTAAGCGGAAGAAGGTGTGTTGGAATGCATTGTTTCCATGTGACTTGGGCATCGTAGGCGGGACAAAGGAGAGGGTGTCGAGTATGTATTTCAGTTCTTGTAGGCATCATTTCAGGTGAACGTGTACACGTGTTGCACTTTATGGCTGATAGTAGGCTTTCATCTTACAATATGTTATTGCAATAAGCTGATATAGACGCGTTTCCAAGATTTGATAGATTGGCAAGCACCACTGCATTTACTTCGTAACCTCGTTATACCTGAAAACGCCCAAATCTTTTTTTGAGAGACATGCTTAAGCTGAGCACCCCTTGCAAAAAAAAAGCAATTCAAACGCGGGACGTCAAGCTTGACCTTGAGGTTGCTTGCACTCTAAATGGTCAATGTCTACAACATCGCAGCAACTCACCCAGAGCATGCGCATCGTCGCATCGCGTTGCTTCAGCTACACAATCGTGTGGTCTCTAGTCGTCTCCACCAGATTAGGAAGACCAAAAATACAAAAGTATGGAAGCGTGCCGGGATCCGGACGCTGGAGCTATGACGTCGAAGAAGCAAAAATGGGAGGACTGAAGAGTGTCAAGTGCAAGTTTAACAATGATCGTCATAGTTCCCGAGTCGGCTGTCTCATGTTTCCCACTCAGACTGGTCCAGACCCTAGAGAAAAGTTGACAGGATCGACGTTGTGTTAAATTATCCAATTTCCACCTGCCAGCCTTGCGGAGGATTCCTCAAGAGGGGGCGGATCAGATACCCAAGACGGTGGTCAGAAAAGAACGTTGATGGTGCGCGGGTAGGATGCCGCCAGACGGGAGATGGACCGTCTACCGCGGCCGTAGGGGTATGCTTGTTTTGTGCGGCTTGTGCTTTGCATGGCCATTACTCGTAGACTCTTAGGGACTTGTATGAGTTGTTCGTGCAACGTTGGTTTTGTAGCTTTTAAGCGAGTTTGCTGGCAGTTGTTGAGTGATGCGGTGCCTCCTGACTTCTACACTCCATGTTGTTGCGATTGTCCGTTTATGGACGCATGACCTGCTGCTGTCTTGGGTGCTTTGGGCTGTATCTTCGCTTTTGTGCAACGGCAAGCTGCATGCGTGAGAGCAGACGTGCATGGCGTGTTTCATGAAGGCAAAGGTTGAGTCTATCGTGACGCTGTGCTCTGCGGCAAGCGATGTTGCGAAGGACTGGTGATAAGCGCCAAGTGGGGCATACGATTTGGCCTGGAGGAGGCTGACCGGCGACTAGTGGTTTCCTCTAGGGCTCAGGATTAACATGGAATCGGCCATCGATATGCAACACTTTTACCCTGCATTGATGTTTCCACGGCGCCGAAGGCAAAGGGGACGGTTGCGCGGTCAACGCAAGGCGATCTGTCGGCGGGCATGGAGGAAGTGGGGGGAGAGCCGCGGGTCAAGGTGTCAGCGACCAAGGAAGATACGAACATGTCGACCAGGAAGGAGCGATAGTATGGCAGATACAAGTATAGATGCGCAAAGCGCGGATGATTCCGTAGACTGGTGAGGTTAGTCAGAACAGCGTGTCGCAGTGTGTGGCAGTACTGTTGGACTGGGCGTGGTAGACCAAGGGCCAAATTCGGCGGCTTCCATTGTATCGTTGTAGCACGCAACATGGAGTGAGAGACGTTAGAGCTACTGCATATCGCGACGCCATTTAGGACTGGTAGACGTCAAACGCGGGCGGTGCATGAGTCGGCGGCCTGTAGACGTCGGCGGCGCAAGGACGTCTTTTTGAAACGGATCTTGGGGTGGAAATTGGACAAGTCCCCCCCAGTTAGCCCTGCGACGAGCATGGCGGAACGTTCTTACGGCCAATGTCTGCTATCTGTGCTTCGAACTTCTGTATCTGTTTCTACCGTTAATTCTCTTTCCACGTCTCCAACCATTGCATCCAGCGCCATTCTCTCACCCTCCCGTTCTGGCTAGACGCGCCCGGCTAGGTGTATTTCCTGGTTCAGGTGTACTTGCAGCCTGCTTGAGGTGTGACGTTCGCTTCAAACCATTGGACACCAGCCCCCGAGCTGTGAGGGCAGCAGTATGGAGTCGTCGTCGTCTAAGAGGTTGACGAAACGAGAGCGCAACGCGCCTCCAATAGCCTATTTGAATAAATCATCGACACTTAAGCGTGCGCCCAGGTAAGTCGAGGCTGTATCTGAGGTCAGAACCACGCTGACTTCGCATCTTCACGTAAAGCGCAGCCAGTTACTTCAACCCGAATCTTGGCGGCACGAGTGCATCCTCCCTCTCGCCTGGAGGCTCGACTGCAATCCGCCGCAGCCCTTCGCTCAAGCCCACTCCGCACCACCCATATGTAGACTATCCCCAGTCGCAGGTTGCCCACCTTCCTCCCGCCTCCGTCGGCAGCCCGTTTAGTCTGAATGCAGTGCAAGAAGCTCTGAACGCATCCTCGAGCGCCTCACCCAACAGCAGCGGTCCACGTAGGCCCGCTGGCCCGCAGCACTCGTACACCGACCAGCCCTCGAACAACCGATATCTACGCCAGAGCCGCTCCTTCAACAACAAGATGGACACGACCACGACCCCGCCAACGACGCAGTCCAACAAGACGAACCGCTACAGCGACGGCAGCGGCGATGCGGCCAAGAAGCGCCTCTCGGGCGGCGCAAAGAAGAAGGGCACCTTCTCCAACTTCATGAGCAGCATGCTGGGCTCGCCGCGCCGCCCGACCATCTCGACGCCCACCAACCCCATGCACGTCACCCACGTTAGCATTGACAACCACACGGGCGAGTACACGGTAGGTGGACTATGTTTGCGCCTGCGTCCAAGTACTAATTGTCTTTAGGGCCTCCCCAAGGAATGGCAGCGCATGCTACAGCAGAATGGCATCTCCCAGGAAGAGCAGAAGCAGCACCCCCAAGCTGTCATGGATGTGGTCAACTTCTACAAGGACAACGCTGAGAAGAACGAGGACGATGCTATCTGGGACAAGATGGGCCCTACGCAGCCTCAGGGATATGCGTACCAGGCCAACATCCCCCAGAACGCAAACTATGGCTCTGCGCAGCCCCCCCTCAGTCCCCCGCAGAGCCCGCGATTCCCACGGAACGACCTCTCTAGCTTCGAAAACCCCCGTGCGCCCCCTCCAATTCCTCGCAGTATGACCTCGCCCGTTGTTAACCCAGCTCCAGTCAATGTCGCAGCTATGGTCCCCAATCGACCGGCACCCAAGCCTCCGGTTGCTGCTGCTGGATCTACGGCCGCCATGCCTACCAGACCTGCCCCGGCAGCCCCGAGTCCGATCGTCACGCAGCATCAGCCCCCTCGCCAGGAGCATGACGTCCCCCAGCCTGCTTACGCCCACCCATCTCCTTCGGAAAGCCCCAATGGCAGTTCGTCTCGTACCCGATCGAATACCACGGGAGGAGGAACACCGCCACGTTTCGATTCCCCTGCCAGTTCTACTCCAATCTCTCCCGCCCAGCAATACCAGCAGCAACAGCAACAGGCTATGGCCATGGCAACCACAGTACAGCCAAAGGCTCCCCTCGGGAGGAGTGTTAGCCAAAGGGCCCCGCAACCAAACTACGCACCACCCGTCGTCCCTGCGCAATCACAACCGACGCCTCAACAGGTTTTCGCACAGCAATCGGATCCCCAGAACATTCCACTACCATCGCAACAAGCTCGTGTTGGCCCAGCGCCCCGGCCACGTCAAAGGCCTCGGCAGAGCCAGGGACCTGATATTGTGGCCAAGCTCAATGCTATCTGCACAAATGCCGATCCTAGGGAGAGATATCGTAACCTCAGCAAGATCGGTCAGGGCGCTTCTGGTGGTGTTTTCATGGCCTATGAAAATAGTACCAACAAATGCGTAGCCATCAAGCAGATGAACCTTGAGCAGCAGCCCAAGAAGGATCTGATCATCAACGAAATCCTTGTCATGAAAGACAGCAAGCACAAGAACATTGTCAACTTCATGGACAGCTTTTTGCTAAGAGGCGATCTCTGGGTAGTTATGGAGTACATGGAGGGTGGAAGTTTGACAGATGTCGTTACTTTCAACATTATGTCGGAAGGGCAAATAGCTGCTGTGTGCAGAGAGGTGAGTCCGCACGCCTCGCTCCAAGAAGTTTACTAACTATTTCAGACATTACACGGCTTGCAACACTTGCACTCTAAGGGCGTTATTCACCGAGACATCAAGTCGGACAACATTTTGCTTTCCCAAGAGGGCAACATCAAGCTAAGTATGTTGAATACAGAATCATGACCGTGAGACAAATCTAACGCATCGTACAGCCGATTTCGGATTCTGCGCGCAAATCAACGAGAGCCACAACAAGCGCACAACCATGGTAGGTACCCCATACTGGATGGCTCCCGAGGTTGTGACTCGCAAGGAGTACGGCCGAAAGGTTGACATCTGGTCATTGGGTATCATGTCCATTGAGATGATCGAGGGAGAGCCGCCATACCTGAACGAGAGTCCGTTGCGTGCACTCTGGCTGATCGCTACCAACGGAACACCGACAATCAAGGAAGAGCATGCCTTGTCGCCTGTATTCCGGGACTTCTTGGGCTTCTCGCTGAAGGTTGATCCTGACAAGCGAGCTAGTGCTCACGATCTTCTGGTGGTAAGTTTGCTTCAGCAGTCCACTTATGATAGCCGCTAACGTGAGGCAGCATCCCTTTATCCAGACCGCTGAACCACTAGGCACATTAGCGCCACTGGTGCAATCGGCGAGGAAAGCAAGGGCAGAAGAGAGACGGAAGAAGGGTGGTCTGTGATTTTCTTATTTCGTCATGAAAGTCTCTTAACACCGGAACTTAGGTACGGGCGATGCGCAAGCCAACGGCCACGATTCGTCAACTACGAGTACGGATTCGTTTGCTGATTGGTATGGCAAGACGATGGAATTATAAGGTGATGGCATGGTGCAGTTTACGAGTGCGCACATCCAACCCCAGTGGCGATTCTCCAAGCGACAAGCCTCTCATGGTCGTGTCGCGGCAGCACCACTAGCTCGGCAGTCAGTATGCAAAGGTCGAAGCCTCATACTACTGTTATACACAACGAGCATTGTCGAGCGAATTAGCAAGCGCGTCCCATCTTGTTCAACAGCTCACATCCGCGAGCATATCTTTCGTGCTGTTTCCAAAGGGCTCGAGTGTCGATGTTGGCGTACATGCCCGTCTCATGATCTGACAGTTTTCTTGGGTTACGGAAGGACGCTGATACCTCTTACACGACTGTCTACTATATATTATGTGCAATCTTTAGTGTCTATACTATTTTGGGGATTTTCAAACTTGTCCGGTGGTGGCATTCCTGGCATACAGAAAAGTCAAATACAAATATGCTTCCTCTTTCCAGTGCTCGAACAAAAGTTTGAATTGAAAGGCTGCTTACACCTTACAAAAAAGCTGCATCACAATATCAATGCTAACTATGATCATCTACTGAATTTGGTTTATTTCCAAAGGCAAATACTCCTGTTCTGTCTATTGAATAGCTCAGCGTTGATCAGAGAATATTGCGATGAGCGTTGGCATATGTTGCTTGGTGGATGTAGTGCCCCAAGCTCTCAAGGGTTGCCCAGGTGTGGCTGAGAACTTCGTCATCCGCCCCGCTAGTCCAGTCGGGCGCAAGAGCTCAGCCTGCGCATATACGACACCGAGTTGCCTCTTGCTAGACTTTCACTCTTACCTATAACACGCCCCTCTCCCAAACCAACCGCATTCTCTTAGTACAAAGCTGAGTTCACTTCCGACTCAGCTACCACTCTTACGTTTTCGACTCCGTGCTCTCCCCTCTACTTTAAGGCACCTGCACCCCCGGAGAGCTTCCCCATACCTATCAAGCCACAACACGCTGGGAAGCAGGCAGACGTCATGTTTCGCGCACAATCAAACATCTTCGACGATGTTGTCGTGAAAGCGACAGATGAAAATCTCACAAGTGAGAACTGGGAATACATACTGGTACGTTCAGCATTCGCAAGGTGTTGGGCGGCGACCTGGGCACATGTCGCAACCATTGCCCGGTCCACGATCATGCGCCTTTCCACTCCAACACACGCAAACGTTGCTAACTCACTACGCAGGATGTATGCGACAAAGTCGGATCGTCCGATACGGGCGCCAAAGATGCCGTCGCCGCCATGATTAGGCGGTTAGCACACCGAAACGCGAACGTACAACTATATACCCTCGAGCTCGCCAACGCTCTCAGCCAGAACTGCGGAATTCAAATGCACAAGGAGCTTGCGTCGCGGAGCTTTACAGAGGCGCTGTTGAGACTTGCCAATGACCGGAACACACACCAGCAGGTCAAGGCGAAGATACTGGAGCGCATGGCCGAGTGGACCAACATGTTCGCTAGCGATCCCGACCTGGGAATCATGTCTGGCGCCTATCAGAAGCTCAAGTCACAAAGTACGTTGGAGAGGTATCGGTACTGCGCATGTTGCTAACAAGTCCCAGACCCCAACCTCCGAGCGCCCTCCAAGCCACAAAAGACGCAGATCTCCGACGTCGACCGCCAAAAGGAAGAAGAGGAGCTACAAATGGCGCTTGCCATGTCGATACGAGAGTCCAAAGGTGCCGCGCCAACGGCTGCCAAGTCCAATACCCCTCAGCAGGGCGGATCTGCTCCCAGCGCTCAGCCCGAACAGCCCTCTCAACCCCTACCGTCAGGCACAACTGCGGCAACCGTCTCACGCGTGCGAGCCCTCTTCGACTTTCAGCCATCGGAGCCCGGTGAACTACAGTTTCGCAAGGGCGACATCATCGCGGTCCTCGAATCAGTGTACAAGGATTGGTGGAAGGGATCGCTACGTGGGCAGACGGGTATCTTCCCACTCAACTACGTGGAGAAGCTGCAGGACCCGACACGCGAGGAGCTTGAGAGAGAAGCACAGAATGAGGCTGAGGTATTCGCACAAATAAGGAACGTGGAGAAGTTACTGGCACTCCTGAGCACTAGCTCACAGCCAGGTGGTGGCGATGCGCGAGACAACGAGGAGATTACTGAGCTCTACCATTCGACGCTAGCTATCCGACCGAAGCTGATTGAGCTTATTGGAAAGTACTCGCAGAAGAAGGGTAAGTCCAATATGAGCAGAGTTATGATGATCAGCGGCTGACTTCAGCAGATGACTTTACACAGTTGAACGAGAAGTTCATCAAGGCTCGCCGAGACTACGAAGCCATGCTGGAAGCATCCATGTCCCAACCCCAACAACCTGCATACGGTGGCCGTCCTGGATATGGCGCCTATAACGCACCACCTCCCTCGAACTACCAAGGATACCCACCTGTATCCTCTACACCGCAGCAAGATCCGAATCGCTTCGGCTATGGCGCACCCCAGCAACATGGACCTCCTTCGCAAGTTCCACCTCCAGGCTCAAGCCCTGCGTTCTTCATGGTTCCTCCAGGCGAACAGCGGACGCAGCAGACTCCGAAGCCAGGACCACCATCGGATCCGTATACGCTACCACCAGGGAGAGTACCAGTAGGAGGGCGGCCGCAAAGCTACGCACCTCAAGAGCTAGCGACCAGCCAATACGACTCACCTGTAGACAACCGTCAATCTTTCCACGCTCCTAGTCAGCCACCTCAAGGTTATGAACAAGGCGGTTACCCACCACAGCAAGGACCTCCGCAGGGACCACCACAAGGGCAGCAGAACCCGTACGAACAACTGTCCTCCCCGCCTCCACAACAAATCCCACAAGATCAACAGCCTCCGTCGGATCCATACTCGCAACAGCCGCCTCAACAAGGTTATGGTTACCCACCATCACAACCTGGATACGCACCACCAGCACCACCCGGTGCTGCCTCTAGCCCCGCGCCACCTGCCCAAGGTTATATGGCATATCGCCCCGGAGGACAAGCACCGAGCGCGCCACCCGTGGGAGGAGATGATGCTTCTGGTTTCTACCGGTAGGACCGGTCTTGGAGGAAGATTGCGTGATTATATACCATGTAGTTGACATAGTTGCAGTGTAGCGTAACATCTGATCCGGAAAGATCAGAATACTACCAATTTGTGACAACTTTGGTCTGAATTATACATCGTGACGTTTACATGAACTGCATATTGCGACTTTTCCGCAATGATCAACATTTTACAGTGAACTCTTTCAGCATAAATCTTGCAGACGTTCGTGCTATCAAGCAAACATTGTTGTCTTTCGTCAAGTCCCAAGATCTAATTCTCGAACACACATTACATCATTTCAAAGATCAAACATGTTAGCTTTCATCTCTGTAATTCTTCTACAGCTATAGCAATATCCCAATTTTAGGTTCGACCAAGACGAAGTCATAAATGCTCCTTCCCATGCTGAAACGAACATCATGTGCGCCCACAAGATCATTCAAACCCGAAATATGCTCCAAGCTTTTGATAAACAGTAAGAGTCGTCACATCCCTATATATTCGTGAATCTGAAAAACCCCCCTAGGCGCGCTCCCTGCGGCCACCACCGTTACCGCCCTTGGATACGATGTCGAGGATCATCTGGCGAGCCTCTTCGCAGCCATCCTTGGTACCGACGATCTCGATAGCCTCGTCCTTGGCTTGGTCGCGAGGAACCTGAATCTTGGTGCCGGTCTTCTTACGAAGGTCATTGATTGTGGCACCACCGGGCCCGACGACGAGCCTGTGAGATGTTAGTATCGCTGGATTACTGTATATACCAAAGGATTTAGCTTACCTGTAGCTTCGTGGGTCGGGCAGAATGAGGTAGCCAGTAGAGGAAGGCTTGGAAGCAGCCTTGATGGCATCCTCGAGCCTCTGGCGGGCCTTGGGAAGGCTCTCAGTGGGTCCACGCAGGATCCAGGGGATGGTGGCAGTGAGGTCGGCGCCCTCTTCCGGAGCGTTGTTGTCGACAATCTCCCATGAGTGTGAATCGGCACCAGCGCTTGCGTCGTCAGTGATCAAAGGCAGAGCGCCGTTGGCACCCTTCCTAGCCTTTCCGGCCTCGGCCTGAGCAGGCTTCGCGGGCACCTGTTCGCCGCCGTGGTCAACGGTAACCTTGTGCTGATTTCTGAGTTGACGGAAGAACTGGCCGTTGTCTGAGATGGTGTGGTGAAGGTGGCGGGGGACCTGGATGGTCTCGCCTTCTTGACCCTTAACCAGCTCAAGGATGTGCTCCTTGGCCTTCTCGACGGCAGCAGGCTCACCAGTGATCTTCACCTGACTACGGGCAGCACCAGTGGTAGTCTGCTTAGGGATATCGAGCTGGATGTTGAGCTGCGACTCCAGGGAGCGACGCGTCTCGCCACCACGACCAATAAGCAGACGGTGCTTGTCAGGAGAAACCTCGATGGTCTCAGTCGTTTGGTTCTCTAGCGAGGAGACTTGCGCCTTGAGAGCGGCAACAATCTTCTCAACAACATTCTTGGGACCTTCAACGCGAATAGCCGACTCGTCAGACTCTGCGCGAGGGAAGCGGACCATGCGAGCCAAGTCACGAGAGTTGTCAGGTCCACCAGCCGAGGTAACGATGGAGCGGATGTTGGCACCGCTGCCACCGATGAGGTTCCTGTGGTGCTTCCTGTCAACCTCCAGAGTCTCAACAATGGTATCGTCAAACTCGCGGGCGCGCTCTTGTAGGACCTTCTTGGCTGCCTCAACCGCCTTCTTGGTACCCTTGAGCTTGATCTCTGCGCGACCAGATGGATCAGCGCCATCGCGTGCACCAGGAACGTCAATCTGGCAGCCAGTCTCGAGGCGGATGTTCTCCATCTCGCGACCACCTGATCCAATCAGACGAGGGATGTTGCTCTGAGCGACTGAAACAGTGTCGCTGAAAGAGTTGTCCTTGATGTACTGGAGCAGACTGAGTACCTCGTCACGGGCCTCATCTGCACCCTTCCTGGGTCCTCGAACAATGACTTCGTCTTGGTTCTGGCCTGACTTGACGTTCTTCTGTGACGATGCGTCTCCCGCCTCGTCATCATTTTGTGCGCGTCTGGGAAAGTTGATGCGTACACCGTAGCGGTCCTGAAGACGCTCGACCTGCTTGCCACCGGCACCGATCAGGTCACGGTGGAACTGAGGCGCAACCTTCAAGATGTGGGTAGCCTCATCTTCGAGCTTCTTTGCCATGTCAAGAATGTCCTTCTTGCATTGCTGGGCCTTGGCTGAAGGTCCCTTCAGCTCGACCTTGCCGTCGTTGATCTGAACATCAACATCGTACTTCTGGCGCAGACGCTGAATGTTCTCTCCGCCCTTTCCAACGAGATGACTCGCGTACTTCTGGGGGTAGTCGAAGGTAGTGACGTGGTTGCGCTCAAGCTCGTCCTTCTCAGCTTGCTCGATGAAAGCGAGAATCTTGGCGTTGAGCTCGTCAACAGCATTTGATGGTCCACGAATGGCGAAGCTGTTGTTCGAGCGACTGTGAGGCTCCGGTCGTCGCTGGCCAAACAGCGCCTGAACGGGAACCTGGTCAGGGTTGAGGCCCTGCTGCTGTTCGTTGACAAACTGCTCGATCTTGCGGTGGAACTTGGGGTTAGATTCCAGTCCGCGGGTATCGATTTGCGGTTGGTTCTTGGTCAACCCAAGGATGAAGCGCTGAGCATCTTGCAGACCTTGCTGGTATGCCTTAATCTCAGCTGGGGAGGGTCGGCCACGAGGAATAGCGTATTCATCGTATGGGGTCTGGCCTTCGTAGACGAGAATCAATTCTGGTGATTGCTCAGTCTCGTCAGGGAAGACAATGTGAACACCGTGATCCTGTCGGACCTTGGGTGCGTTTTGCTGTCGCAAGAACTGGTGATAGAAAGGATCAACGTCCATGGTCGCAAAGCGGCTAGGTGGGTGCGACTGGAAGAGGCTCATGATGTCGCCACGGGCCTTCATGCTGTTCTTTCCGTCGCGAGCGTAGATTTCCCAGCCAGTTGGTGCGTCACGGTCAGTAGGTACAACAATGCTGGCCTCGTGCATGCGCTCAAGATCGGCCAGGGCCTTTCGTTGGCGCAGGTAGCGCGTCAGGTTGTGTGCGTGTGCCTGTGAGTTGGGGCCCTTGTGCTCACGAGCAGCGTCCGCGGTAGCCATGGTCATGCTAGCAGCAAGATCCTCGAGCTTGTTGATACCCTGCTCGATCTTGTTGGGCGGGCCGACGATGTAAACGGTCTCGCTGTCGTCCGAGCTTGGGGGCAGGACGATGCTGCAGCCGGTCTCCTCGAGGAAGTCATGGAGAGAGTTGCCCCGCTCACCGACAATGAACTGGTGTCGGCCACGCTCGATGGATCGTTGCTCGATAGCCAATTGTTGGCGGAGTTGCTGAGCACGACGCTCAAGCTCGGCCTGGATCTGCTGCGCGGCGGCACGGTCACCAGAGACTTGGATGGGGAAGTTGGCCTGGGGCGCAAACTGAGCGGGCTGACCGCGAGTGGTCTGGGGAGGTGCCTGAGATTGCCAAGTGTGGTACTGGGGAATCTGGATGTTGACATCGCGGCCCTGGACAAGCCTTTCGGCATGGACATTGTTGGGACCAGCAAGGAAGGGGTAGAACTCGGCAGGGATGTCCTTCAGACGCAGGTTCACGGTCGAGGTGCGTTCGTTGACGATGGCATCAATCTCACGACGAGCCATCTCAGCAGTCAGGGCATTGCCCTCAATGTGAACATTGACCACAGTATCCTCATCCTCGCCCGGCTCGGCCTTGGGGACCTGAATGCGGGCGCCGGTGCGCTTGCTGATTTCCTGGATCTTGGAACCTTGACGACCGATGATGTGGGCACGAACGGAGGCAGGGACGGGGACATCGACGGATTGCTGGTGGTGGTTAGCTTTGGTTCCATTGAAATGCATAGGTGGCTTACCTTGGAGCCAACTTCATTGGCGACTTCCTTGAGAGCCTGCCTGACAGCTTCAACCGGACCGGTGGCCTCAAAGATGAGAGCTCCCTGGCCCTGCTTGTAGTCGAGCTTGGCCTTGGAGCGCCTGTTGATATCGCGGACAATCTCGTTGATGGGCTTCTTCAGCTCACCACGGGGAGCGACTTGGTGGGCGGCGAGAGAGATGCGTTCAGTGTGCTTGCCGGGGATGTTCATGGACGGGAGGGCGGGGCCACGGGTGGGAGCGGACTGGGCGGTCGCGCTGCCATTGACACCGTTGGAGGTGACAGCGGCAGGCTTCTTGCCCCAGGTAGGAGCAACAGACGCCTGAGCGCGAGGCTTGACGGGACCGAGAGCCGGGAAGGCCTCCTCGGACTGAGTGTTCAGAGCAGGCTTCTTGGGGGCAGCAGGAGCGTCGTCGGCCTTTTGCTTGCCGGCGGCTTTCTCGCTGAGAGGAGCAGCGGTGTCGGAGGCAGGAGCATGGGCGAGTTCGTCCTCGTCGGGGACGTCCTCGACGGTGACATGGTGGTCGGCATGTTCCTGCATAAGCTTCTGCGCCGGGGTCAAGCCCTCGGTGGCAGAGCTAGCAACTGCTTCAGATGCCATTGTTGAGTATTAAACCGTTTCGACAGATACCAAAGGGCGTTCGCGTGGACGGTGAGAGGTGAAGCTTAGAAGCTCGGAGCCAGCTTGACGTGGTAGGAATGAGTATCGGAAAGAGATGTCGTCCTGTTGTACAAGGTCGAGGTTAGCAGGTGGTTGAGAAACCAGTGGAGAAATATAAGGGTAGAGGTAGGGTCCAGTCGCTTGCTCACTGGAACTTTAGTGCGTTGGTTGGCTGTGCGTACCTGGGTACGAGGTAATGTCACTCGGAACTTGGCCCAGGGAATTCGTTGCGCGGATTTGTGTGCTGTTGCTCAGCAGGCCATAACGTGGATGCACAGACAGTGAGAGTTCAATTGAATAAATAGATCACTACTACAACGGCAGAAGTCCAACTCCGAGGATGCAATGTGGCCAGCCAGACCTCGAATGTCCCAGTAGCTTCGAGGACCGTGCCTGCTGCAGCTGCATCCCGGTCCGCGCTATTCTGAATCCCGCCACGGGTAAAGCGCGCTAGCCTCCACAACTCTTACAACCTCGATAATCCCAATCACCTTAGTTGTTGGTGTCGTCAAGTTTCCGTAGTCGGATGTTGAGAACCAGAGAAAACAGACATTAGCGAGTGCATGATTGGCTCCTTCCAACGACCACCGGTCTGTACACACGACAGAGCTCGAATTTGATGTGAAGAAAGATTATTTGCAAAAGAAAATACAACTTTGACACCTCCATCTCAACCACCTTGTTTCACCTTCTCCATCACCAGCCTCGATCCACACCTGGTTGTCCCCTCTTTGGCCGTGTTTCCCACGTCACCGTCGCCCAATACTTCGGGTTGAGCTTTTCGCTGTATCTGCCCCCCAGCATGAGGTGATCACGAATATCCCCTTTGTCGTTATCCCATTTACAGTAAACCTTTCTCATTCCCCCACCCTTATCCTTGGTAAACCCCATAAACTTCTCCTTGCAAAGCCTGGCACTGGGGTAATAGCTCCACTTAAGCTGGCCGGTAGTCGGAAATCCACCAACTGGAGGAGCATTACCATTGTCGACTGCAATTCTGAAGACCCATTCTATTGGCTTGCCGTCGTGACCGTTTAGGGTGAGCGTCATAACGAGTGGCTTGTCCCAGTAAACCTTTTGCTCGCCATGATTGTCGCAGAATTGGCTCATTCCTCGTTCCCACTCTGAGAAATTAGGGAAGTGGTTCTTGTTCCCCGGGCATGCGTCAGGGTCCAGGCGACGAACAAGATGCGTCGAGCTGCTATTGGACCGTTCGTGGAGCGTTGCCCCGTATGTGGAGTAGCGAGGGGCCAGAGGGAGGGTCAGAACCATGGTCGCGAAGATGACGAGCCATACGAGGCCTAGCATAGTGGGGCACATGAGTTAAAATCCTCTTGCTTTGATTGTGATCCAAGAGAGTGGGTGTATTCCTGTAAGCGAAAGTGAGTAGGAGCAGCAGACGATTCTATGCTGTTCTATCGATTATTACCTTCCTGTGTACATGAGTGAGTACGACCAACCCCATCACTCACCACGTACAATACGAAGCACAGTGAAGGACACAGATACGAGTGCATGTGATAGACATCATGAAGCCGAACCAGACATGTACTGTTATACTTCTCACAAATGCTGACTTGGCTGACAGAGAGGGCAGACTTCATAAGGTGTGGTCACAAAGACAACAAAGAAGCAATGTGCACAGCCCTTCACATGTCAGCCTAAGCCCGAACAACGAGATGAAACACGAGAAATTGAATCGCTAACGATGGCCCTTGGCTAAGAGTGATGGGCGGATGTTAGCGATCTGGGTGATGTTGTGAATGGCATTGAGATTCGGTAGGGTAGTTGGTCATCGGACATCCTTTCAGGCCACGGGGAGAGAGTGATATTGCGTTAGTCAGTGCGGATATACTGGACATGGCGGTGCCTAGGGTAGATGAAATGACGATGGCAGATCAGAGGGTGGTAAGGAGTGCGATTTTGTTCATGATTGCACAAGTATTGTGGAATGATAGTAACAACAGCTTCCGTAAAACCTTGCTGTTAGGAAAAGTCTAGAAACGATCTCGAGAGTTTGTTTGGATTACTGTCCTATCGCAGATAACCTTGACATGTTTACTCTTGGAAATACTGTTCGTCGATAGTTACAGCCTTTCCCCGACCTTGAATCAACCAACATGCCTCCTCATATTTACTCCAACCGACTCAAAAAGGTTCTCGATAGAATCTATATGCTCTCTGGATAAGACCTGAATAGCAAGCGGACTGAGAACTCGGGGATACATCGATCATCTGTCAAGGACCATGAAGTGTATATTGCGCTTAGGAGACATTCATAACAAACGCCTTTGACGTATGAGCGGGGCACCAATGACCTTCTTTGTAAATCCAGAGAATAAAACAGATTAACAAAGACCTTGGTATGGCGCAGCATAGGTCTGTGCCATGTCAGGGAGGTCTAAAACATGAGACCATGAACGCTTTGGGAAGATATGCACAGTGAACGCATGTGGCGTGACTGGCTTTTGCAAATTGGGGGGAAGTTCTTTAGGCCAACAACTATGCAATTTGCAAATTGCATAGAAACTGTTGGACGCTAATAAGTGCGTAAGGGTATCTGCATTGAGCGTTTACTTCGCTTCCTTCTCTACCCTCCCTTTTGTCTTTCCATATGCACCACCAGCCAGTTTCCGCATCTCTAGCGCCCTCTTGTATGGTGGCGCAGTAGGTGGTTGCACGGGATCCAGACTGACCCTGTCCTTAGGGAGGTGATACGTTGCATCCGAATCATACGCCGATAGATCACCACAAGCCAGGAACGGTGCTATCCATCGCTGTCCGCCTTCCTCGATGTCGTGTTCATCTTCAGTCTCAGAACCCAGATCAATCTCAGTAGCCCCGTCCTCTCGAACACGTCGAGTGACCTTCTTCTCATGTTTCTGCGTGTCCGAAGGTGCTGGGGTAGGTAATTGCGTCCCCGCGCCGAGCGGCTTGTCCAAACTAGCAGTGAAACCTTCTGGTGGACAAAAGCCCTCGCATACAACGAACGCCTCGATACTACTTGCACGACTACTCCTGGGTTTCGCTACACGCACCCTTTCAAACACGATCTTCAACTGTGCGAACAGCAGATCGACATCCTTGCCTCGAAAGATCTTCGCTACGAACTTGCCCCCAGGTTTCAGCACGCAGAGAGCGAGGTTGAGCGCCGCCCACAAGAGCTGGCTTTGTACGTATATGTCTAGATCGTGCAGTCCAGTGACATCGGGTGCGCCGTCCGAGATGACAAGGTCAACAGGGGATGAGCCTTGAGGTGCGGCGGGGTCGTATGTGTCTGGGTCCAGGGCTTTGAGCATCAGAGGAATGGTGGAGGGGTGAGTGATGTCTGCGCGCATTGTTGTTACACCTTCGAGGGGGCTCATGGGCTGGAGGTCAATGGCTACGATGCGTACGCCTTCTCTAGGTTTTGGTTTGTCCTCCACTTTTACTTCTGATGGAGGGGTAGCCTGCGTAGTTGACTCTTTCTTATCAAGACCCAGTACATAACTTCTTGCGGCAGCTTGCTTATCTTGCCAACCTGCTCGTCCAAACTTCTCTCCTTTAATGAGTACACGTGAGAGTACTTGACTCCAGCTTCCTGGTGCGGCGCATAGATCGACAACTCGTGTGACTCCTTCGAATAGGTTGAATTCTTCGTCTAGTTGGAGAAGTTTGTAGGCTGATCTGGCTCGCCATCCCTCTTCTTTTGCCAGACGGTAGTAGGCGTCTCTCTTATCTTTTGATGATTTTCCCATATTTGTCTGATACCGCTATCCCTGTCTCTTTCTGTTTTCCACTGTGATTTTGGTTCTCTGTCCCCGCGATGTGACCAAGTTGACTTCTGTGAGAATTCGCAACAACTCTTGACCAATTTGTCCACTTAATTTTGTCCTACTCTTTCTACTTCGTGCTGATTCACACAGATAATGCAGATCAGAAAAACGCCGATTAACGAGTGCGAGTCATGCACGTGAAGTGTGGGAAAGTGCTGCTCAGGCTAGAGTGATGTGGGGCACCCCCGAGGCCCCGAACGCCGAAAGTTTTCCAAAAAGTTCGCGCGCGCATCCATTTCACGACGAAACTCAATCGTTCGACATCCACGATGAAGCGTCCTAATACCGCCCCGCAGAAGCCGTCTCAAAAGGCGCATAAACGCCAAAAAGTCGAGCGTACAAAAGCAGCGCCCTTTCCGAAACCTTTCCCTTCGTCGACGAAAGCCAAGCGCCGGGTGCAACTCAACGAGCTAGGATGGAAACCCGTGTCTATGCCCGATCGGTTGGACGATGTCGAAGGCTTCTATGGACTCGAAGAGATTGACGATGTTGAGATCGTCAAAGATCCAGTTACTGGAAATCTCACCTTCGAGACTACCAAGACAGAAGAAGAGGTGGCACAAGATGTAGAGGAAGCATGGCAGCGGGAAGAAGACGAGGCAAAACGCTTGGAGGCGATAACTTTTGGGGATGGCGAGGCAGATGGAAAGGAAGACACTACACAAGCAGACGCTGCACAAGAACCAGTGCAGGAGGAAAACGAAGAGGTCGCATGGGAAGGCTTCAGCGATGAAGAAGAAGCGCAAACGGCGGCACCCGCGCAGGCAGCAGATGCAGATGTTACGGATGTCGCAGATCCAACTACCACCAATGGCGAGCCAGAAGTGAAGAAACTTACAAAGACCGAGAAAAAGAAGAGGGCCAAGGAAGCAAAGCTCAAGAAACAAGAAGAGGAAAAGGCCAAGGCAGAACTACAGACCCCAGATGATGCCGAGGAGGATGAGGATGAGGACGAAGAGGTTGAAGAGGACGAAGTCGAAGATCGCGAAGACGGCGAAACCTTCGGACCTGGCGCATTCGATATTTTGGCGAACCAACCCGACGACGACGATGACGAGACGGATGTGCGCGCATGGAACGAACTGGATCTTTCCGAAGAGATGCTTGGCGCATTAGCAAAGCTAAAGTTCTCGAAACCCACTGGTATCCAAGCGTCCACAATACCTGAGATCATGGCAGGAAGAGATGTTATTGGCAAGGCCTCGACAGGTTCGGGTAAAACACTCGCTTTTGGTATCCCAGTCATAGAGTCGTGGCTTGCTGCTCGATCGACGGCCAAAGATCCCGAGGACAAAGCACCCATCGCACTGATCATTGCGCCAACACGAGAACTTGCGCATCAGATCAACGCCCACTTGATTGCTCTCTGCGCGAAGGGTGACTTCGACCCCCCGTACATCGCGTCGATTACAGGTGGTCTGTCCGTACAGAAGCAGCGCAGGCAACTGGAAAAGGCAGACATCGTTGTTGGTACGCCAGGACGACTTTGGGAGGTCATTAGCGGTGGTCAAGGCCTGTTGCCTAAGTTCAAGCAGATCAAGTTCCTGGTTGTTGATGAGGCTGATCGTCTATTGAGCGAAGGTCATTTCAAAGAAATGGGAGAGATTCTCAAAGTCTTGGAGCCTGACGACGAGCCCAATGAGAATGGTGACGAGGAACCAGCGCCAGAAACCCAACGCCAAACTCTTGTGTTTTCAGCGACTTTCGGAAAGGACTTGCAACGAAAGCTCGCTGGCAAGACTAAATATAGCGGAGATCTCATGAGCCAACAACAGTCTATGGAATATCTGCTCAAGAAACTCCGGTTCCGTGAAGAGAAGCCGATGTTTATTGACGCGAACCCGACCTCGCAGATGGCCAGCAAGCTGCAGGAGGGACTTATCGAATGTGCCGGAACTGAGAAGGATCTTTATCTCTATTCTCTACTAATGTTCTACACAAAGAAGCGCGCTCTAGTCTTCACCAACTCAATCTCTGCGGTCCGTCGCATAACACCGTTCCTGACAAACCTGGCTCTGCCAGCTCTACCACTACATTCGAACATGCCCCAGAAAGCTCGTTTACGATCGATCGAAAGGTTCAAGGAGCGACCTGGATCCATCTTGGTTGCTACAGACGTTGCTGCCAGAGGTCTTGACATACCCCAAATTGACTTGGTCATACACTACCATCTGCCTCGCGCCGCCGATACATATGTCCATCGATCGGGACGTACCGCACGTGCAGATGCTTCAGGAGCCAGTATCTTAATATGTGCTCCAGAGGAAGTCGCGGGTGTACGAAGGCTCATTGCTAAAGTTCATGCACGCGCCAGCGATGCTCCCAAATCCAAGAAGACAGCCTTCTTCATCCGTACCTTGGACATCGACCGCCGCATTGTCTCGCGCTTGAAGCCTCGTGCTACCATCTCGAAAAAGCTATCTGACACCGTCATCGCAAAAGAGAAAAAGCATAGCGAAGACGACGTACTAAGACGCGCTGCCGAAGACCTTGGTGTCGACTACGACAGTGAAGAGTTCGAGAAAGAAGCACCAGGCAAGAGAGGTCGTGGAAGCGGCCGGAAGAAGAAGGAAAAGGAAGCGAGCGAAATGACAAAAGCAGAGATGCAATCGCTGCGGGCAGAGCTCAAGCATCTTCTGAGTCAGAGGATCAACACCGGTGTCAGTGCGAGATATTTGACAAGTGGCGGCATTGATGTTGACGCGCTTGTGGCGGGAGAAGGCAACATGGAGTTCTTGGGTAACTTAGACGGACTTGGATTTGACGAAGTTGCTGAATAGTCCTCGCTCTATTTGAACGATACCCACCAATGTAGATATACATCACCGCCTTATACTACGGAGCTACAATCTCTTCACGGTGTCAAAATTTCTGTGGCCCTTCATGACCTTTTTGCTAGTATATTGTTAGCCACGTCTGTTCGTAAGCTTTAGGGGTGCTCTAAGTGGTTCTGATAACGTAGGGGTTCTCGTACGCCAAAAGCTAAGAAGAGTATGACAACTTGTGTGTCTGAGGGGTGGTGAGAAACTCAATGAAAGTAACGAATGACGTAACGTGTACCATTAGACCTCCCGCTCCGTATAGTGAGATCGGTTGCCTTAGTCGGCTCTTCTTAAAGAAGCCGCACCCCGATCTCAAATAGTTACACGACAAGACACCACTAAGCTCGGAGCGGAACACATGCCTACCCAACGCATAACACACCACAAAGCAGACATGAAGCCCAGAAACGACACAGACAAGGCGCCTCCGGACGCGAAACGCGACTCAGTACCTGAAAACAGCCATGCTGACACTGCAGACGAGCTCGACTCAATGTCGCGCGAAGTTGGTGATAGCCTCCAACATACTCGCGCCCTCTTTATCCAGGACCTGGTAACGATACTCGTCATTTATACAGCATCGCTGTTTATAGGCCATCACTTCCTTGTTTCACTCTTCTTCATGCTCCTTCTAGGACTTGCCGCCGAGATGAGACTGCAGAACATGAAACAGAACTTCGAGAAGGCAATCACCGCTATACGCCTGGGCTACGACGCTACGATTGAGAACGGCAATGCAACCATGAAGGTCTGTTTCGAAGGCAACGAAGCGATCAAAGATCTGGCCCAGAGTTCGCTCGATACAGTATTCGACTCCCAGAAAGCGTTGTACAAGAGCAGCGAAGCCTTCGCCCAGTTGAAGGCAATTCGGGAGAGAGACGTCCTCATCTTGCGCAAACAAGCGAATGAGATGCGCCTGGGGTGCTTCCAGGTCTACTTGAGCATCTACGAAGGCCTCATCGATGTGATCGAGCAAATTGTCGAGAAGGTCAAAACTACCGCGCAACCGAGAGTAAAGGGCACGAAAAGAAACAGCAACAATCGTAACGAAGGCTTCCAGAATAACCTCATACACCCTCTAGAGGGCGTGGCTGCCGAGCTGAAACAACGACAGTGGACAACCAAGAACCAGATCGCTGTGGCGGAGAAGATCAAGGCTATACTCGAACGCGACGGCTTGCTCCCAGACGAGATTGATCGACTGACCAAAGAGGCGGAGTGCGATATCCAGCACTCGCAGGACGCATCACTCCTTCGGCGACCAACAGACCCTCATGCGCCCGACACTGGAGTTTCGTCATCGTCGCTCAGCATGGACATGGATGGAAAGTTGGAAAGGCATTACGAAGATTTGGACAAGTGGTTTCAAGGCTTGCATGATCGGCCTATCGTCGAAGAGGAAGATTCATGAGGGGTATACCGCTGTAAATATCGTACTCCATATCCTGCTCCCTTGGGGCACACGGAGGTTTGTGGGGACAAGGAGCTGTCAGCTACACCTAGTCTTGAGTATTTCTTTCCATACTGTTTACACTCTAGACGGATCTCTACCGAGGGTAATATATCACACCTCCCTCCATAATATCTGCTGTAAGTCCAGCATTAAACATCGCGGTAAATATCGCTCGGTATATCCGCGATTGTGTATTCTACCTAGTTAGGATAAGCCGCGGGCGGAGACTGTGTTTTACCATCTTAGCAAGCGATGACGTAGGCATCTTTCAATGTTTGGCCAATGCGTGCCTCACAATTGCTTCCATCCTGTACGTATGATCTAAAATCAAAAGCTCAGATGATGATACATAATCAAAAACGCCACAATATGAGCGCACCCAACGTAGAAATGACAGACCCCTGCTCTCTGTCTATTTGGTATTGGTGCATCCCAACTAATTACTACCAAAATTGATTGACGAGGCGCGCTCTTTACTCGAACACGTTGGTCCTGCTTGCGCATTACAATGCCGAATTCTGTTGGTTTCTGTGTTCAAAACGGCATCGTTCGCTACAGCCCAGCCGCTGTTGCTCAGCCGCACAGAACATGGGGAGATAAGCCTGCTATGAAGTTACTTTCGATGCGGATATCAATTATCACCTGAGAAAGATTATCCTTCACTCTATTTTTATTTCGCGTTCAAACTAAGCATCATCATCAGATTTCATGGGTCCGCAACAGTTGAGACTGTCTTAGTTTTTCTCAGCCTTGTGTACTCGACACATGAGGCTGTGTTGGAAGCTTCGTTGATTCGTCAAGTACTCGCCGACCACCCTGCGATGGCTTGCAGTTGCGCTAGCTCGAAGCAAATTCAAGTCCTGGATCTCTGTTGCCTTGCACCAGCTCACTTCCTATACTAAAAGCTTTACGCTCGCTCGTAATTTGCAGTCATGGGCAGAGACCCACGAGTCACGCATTATCACAGGCCTGTACCAATAGCGAGAGAATGGCCACACAAGGACACCTTCCGTGGCGATATGACCATTGGGAGAAGGAACCTTCGAAATTGAAGGCGCACGATACACATGTTCTATTGTCGATATATGAAGATAGTGTAAGTCGCAGTCTTTTAGTTCCTGTCCAATAAAACTAATTTTATCAAAGTCGGAAGTGAGAGTCGACAAAGAAGCAATCCGCGATGATAATATTCCTAAGATGTGTGAGCGCACAGTGCTACAACCGCCGGACACCAAGTGGTCATTGCATTTGTATGTGCACACAATTCCAAGAAAGATACGACCTACTAAACTTTTGACAGGCTCGTAACACATGAGGATGATCCTCGCGAGTACGATGTTCCTGTCCCTTATTCCTTAGACGCCGTCAAAGCTCTCTACTCATACTGGAATATACCGTATAACTACGTTCCTAGATGCACGTCTTTAGACACTATGAGCATGAGCTTCTCTCCTGTCATACTCAATAGTGCTTGGAAAGGTACGTCAGCCCCTGCTTCATATCGTTCGAAAGGGCACAGTTTCACTTAAGCGAGATTTAAGCATCAGTGCATCCCCTCACATCTAATAAAAATAGGCATCACGTTGGACTTTCAGTACATTATGTCTGTACTGACTTATGATACTGCTAACAAACGAGCCTTTGGCGTCTGTTTATCGAGACGAGCACGAGCTCTTGAACGTGTCATGCAGCGTCTTGAACAACTTCCCAGTTTCGCATCGCACCCACTTTTCGCACCAGTTATCATGGCTGCCCTTGTGATACATGATATTCGAGTCGAGACTACAGATTCGTTTTCGCATTGCACGAAGGTGCAAGACGAATTAGGCTACTGGTCAACAGAATCCGAGGAAAGTGCGAATGAAGTGTTGGACCTTACTCGGATACCGCAGTCTTTGAACAAACTCGCAGTCTATATTGCAAACCTCGAATATGAAAGCTTCTGCATGGTTCAGGCACTTAGTTGTTTGAGAGAGCAGTTGAAAACGTGGCCCAACGAACTTTGCCCCGGCGTCAGCATCGAATTGCAAGAGCAAGTCAAGTTTTTGGAGCAATGCACTACAATATCCTTGGCTACATGTAAGAGTGGAAAGGAAAACGCTCAATCTATGGTTCAAACTGTACGTCATTAAATCGATGACATTGATTTAGTTCTTATCTCACAGCAACAGATGTATGCAATGCTCCAGCAAAGGGATAATCAACTCAACCATCGCTATGGTGCCGACATGCGACTCATTACCGCCATTACCCTCATCTTTCTTCCCGGAACTTTCGTCGCAACCTTCTTCAGTACGACATTCTGGGACTTCTCTCCCGATAACAAAGGCACAAAAGTAACTTACTGGGTGTATTTGTACTTCATAGTCACAATAGGGTTGACGCTCTTGGTGCTCGTAGTATGGAGAAAATTCAGTGTGCTCAAGCGGTTGGCTGCAAATATGGTGCAAGTAATGCATCAAATACCTTTGCTGGGAAAACTGATGAAGAAGAAACGGGTGGATGATGAAGAGCTGGGGAAGAAGGGCGATTGAGACACTCTTGATGGATGTATTGTAATTATGGCGAGGCTCTCTTTTCTACTGTAACCTAATCAGAAACTCCTCAGTCATTACGACAATATAAATTTGATAGGGCTTATGAGGTAAGCCTCGAAAATCCCACGATTCGTAGTCCTCAGTTCACCCCCTTCTACTCTTCGGCCCTGGACTTTCCGTCTTTTCCAAGCCGTATAGACTCCAAGCCCGCCCCGTCGTCTGACATCTCATCTCCACCCACGGATCCAATCATAGTTTCCTCATCTCTGGATGTCACTCTCATCCGCCAGCTTCTGAACTTTTTCCACAATTTTCCCACGCCCTGTGACATGAGCGCAATTATGAAGACAATGTACATATTTCGTTCGTTCTCGTTGAACATGACGAATGAGAGGATATATACGTATGTGAATATGAAGAAGAACTCGGCCACAACGAGAGCTGCGGGGCGGCAGGGTGAGCGTGCCACTCGTTCTTGGAGAGTCCAGCTAGTGCATGCACCACTTGGTTGTAGTTGATGAAGACCTGGCTGCTTCTCGGCGGAGGTTGCGTGTTGCTGGAATGATTTCTCTGACGGAGATGACATCTTGGAAAGTTGAGGACCCCGACTATTCAATGATGTTGAACACTAAAAAGGTGGAGTCAGGCGGGGCTAGAGTTCGGGGAAGGAGCTTGTGTCGGTTTATATGTGAGCAGGTTGGCTATGTCCTTGTGCTTTACGGCACAGCACAAGGCAAGGTATCTGTCGGCAAGACCGCCTTGCTGTGCCGCATAGATCGCTCTTCCTGCGGTGATATACTCTTCACAGCACGTATAGCATTGGAAAGAAGGGTGATTTGCTGAGTTGGGCAGGGGATGAAATTGATGAACGAGCATACGTAAAAGCAAAAGTCTCGACATACAGAGACCTGGAACAAGGTAGTTCGGCTGTGATAGAGATAGCGGCTGTTGAAACGATGCTGACTTTGTGACAAGATAAGCCGCTAGTGCACTGAACGCATGTGGTGCAATGCGGTGCGGGATCGCTGACTTTCCTTGATCCTAATCTTCTCCAGCTCTACTGGAGAAAGATGTGCGAATCGTACAAAAGAGTTGATGTCATGCAATTGAGATGATAGAGTAAGATGACGCTGCCTTGTGTGATCAATGTTTCAAAGTCCTACTGTGCCGCAGCAACCACGCGACTACGCATGCACCGCGCCACAAGAGGCCTCCCAACCCCCAGTCTCAACATATTTCCTGTTGCTTCCCTAATGACAGGCTTTCATCTATCCTTAGCTCTACCCCGTACAAATTCATCCCATCCTCAAGCTCCTCATCTTCGTACATTAACCCAATGTCCGCCTCATCATCTCTGATCGCTCTATTGTGCCTACGGCGCCTGTATTTCTCCCACTGAACAGCACATATGCTCGCCACGGGTGGGAGGAAGAGAATAGAAGATAGGTCGTACATTTCCCAGTATATGATGCTGAAGATTTCTAAGACGAAGAGGACAGTCATGGCGATGGCGACGGGTCTGTTGTCGATTTTGAAGAAGTTGATCGGTTCGTCGTGACGATGCGGAGTATACCGAGGCCTGTACTCTGCTTCAGTAGATGTTGTGGAAGGAGTACCGGCGCGTGAAGGTAGTGCAGACGGAAATGAATCCAAGCTTGGAGATCTTGGTGGAGATGGTTGCTTTGGTAGCATTGTGTGAAGTTCATTCTTGCAGCTGACGAGTCCAGCCATTGCGATAGATGTGAAAGACACTTCCTGGTTAGTCTGTATGGAGAAGAAGCGAAGAAAGAGGACCCACAAGTGTTTAATACACTGGGTCGCTGCTGTGCCTCACTCATACAAATCACAGGCGGTGTGACAGAACCTGAAATCTGCCTTACTGTGCCGTAAGAGACATTGGGGGCCACCCTTGTCAGCCACTCGAAACGAGAAAGATGTAACTCCGCCATGCAGTCTAAGTTGAAAGTGCAATGAGGGCGAAGGAGCGGTATCCTATGGCGTCCTTATCACCAATCACCCATTTCGGTTTGCATGCTGCGCGAGATACGCCTTCTTCCACCTCTCATAGCCTCGACTGACACCGGTTCTCTCGTATTCATCTTGGTCCTCATCATCACTTTCATTTTCCTCCACATGTACTTCCCACCCGCTCTTCTCCCCTCTTGCGACCACCCGCTTAACCCACATCTTTACTAGCCACCTGCTAATGACCAACCCCAATCCACCAACTCCAATGATAAAGGGGATTAACTGTCCGACACTGTTCCATAGTCCGCTGAGCCCGCTTACATGATTCCAACGTAAAGTTAATTCAAGTTGCAGAATGACGATGACGTGTATCAGAAGATCGAGGATGGCGTAGTACCAACCAAGCCAGATCTTCTTTGGTGTTGAAGGGCTGGTGAGGAGAAGAGAAGAAGCCAGCGATACCGAAGTCCATGAAGGTAAGTGTTTCGGGTTAGGTGATGCTGCTGAATAGGTAAGAGCAGCGTATGTTTGGAAAGGTCCATTGAGTGGGTCGAGGAGGCGGGATTGACGAAGGTGTGAGTAGATGACGAAAGCTTGTGGCCGGAAGCGACATGTCGGAAACGCTATGTAGCTGTGTAACTGGCAGTGAAACCACGACGGTGGAGACGGCTTTGCGCCTGCTGGGGTGCGGTACCTTCTGGGGAAGAGGATCGATCGTGCGATCACTGGGAAGGTGAGGGGTTTGCCGTCGGTGCTCATCTGGTATGGACTTGCTGTGATACAGTGTTGAATATATAGCTCACTCTCGTAGACTTCGCGGATGGTAGAGAGATATGGACTGTCTTCTGGGGAGTTGGAACTGGCATAAGAGGATGATGCTGAGGTTGGGGATGCCGGAGATAGGATCTCTTGAACAGTAACACGGGAGGACCGTTTGGAGGTTTCCTGGGAAGCGATACGAGGAGAGTATTCCCACTCTGATGTTCGTCGCGCCAGGGGATCTGAGCGCGTGCGAACTAGGCTGAGTGGACGAACATGCCCGAAGCTTGATCCTGCCGGTAAGCAACGAGTACATAAAGCTCGGGGGCTCTTATGATGCAGTCGTGTTTCCACTGAAGCATCATGAACTGGACTACCTTCGCCTTCAGTCACACCCTTCTCTTCTATCGTCTCTTCATCTGCGCTTCGTCGCTGAGACTCTTTCCACATCCTAATTGCGTCCGCGAACTTTCTCCTCTTCTCCCTTACCTTCCAAGTAGTCCACGGCCTCAGGAACTCCACTACCACCCAATAGATCGTGCAGAGTAACACGAAGAGACTCATAGCCATCATAACCTTCCTCGCCCAGCCAAAAAGACTTGTTTTGACAACATACATCATCAACCATGTGCCGCATGGCGTTGTCTTCATATAATCCACCCCTGCCCACCAAAACCACACATGCAGACAGATGTTCATAAGGTTGACGACCTCGCACACAACCCGTCTCAAAAAGCTGCCGCGAGAGAAGGTAGCCTTGCTGTACGAGGACTTGGCTCGCACGCCCATCATACAACTCCATGCCAGTATCTGTAGCAATACGAATGCCTCGACAGCATAGACATCGGATGGGTTCGAGGCAAAGATCAACGCGACAATAAGGATTGCGACGCTAAAGATGCTGACGGAATCGCGCAGTACTTGGACTTCAGATAGGAGAAAGTAGTTCGCGAACCACACGGCGAGGATCTGTGCGTAGATACCGATACGGATTCCGATACCGTAGATATCGTTGTTGCCTTCGAAGCCACACGTTGGATCGAGCGTTGTATGGCTGAGGACGTTGGGGAGCGATCGAAACGAAGTGTGGTGGTACATCAACGCTACGTAGGAAAGGGTAACCGAGAGTAATTGTGACGGAACCTGGGAACATGTAACAAGCCAGGAACGAGATACTACATGTTAGCAACTTCTAGTAGGCATCAATATCGTGTTGCTGCGCCGCACGCAGTCTATTATCTCTAAGCGCCCAGGTTCAGGCGTAGCGAAAGCCTGAGGCAAGCCATTCGCCACAGGCACAAGATGCTGAAACGGCGCGACACCGTCCAACAGCCGCGCGATAAAAGTGCAAGATGTTGTAGACCGCGGACAGCAAGAGCTTTGCATGCTCACACGCGATGTGCAGAACGTTTGGCGGAAGAAAGAGGCGCAGAATGAAAGATCTAAACGTCATATTATCATGAGCAGTTATCAACAAGCCTACGAGCTATCGCTCTATTCCCAAACTCCAGAAAGATCCTCCTGCTGTGGTATGCTCGCTCAAAATATCCCAGAACACCTTATCCCAATCGCTGTTCCCTTATCGTTTGCGTTGTAGGCCGCGTGTGGCATGTCTCCGCTTTCGCACACGCATGCGCTGTCATCGATGGGACTCATATGCCGCCGTATGTGATGTTTTTACTGTCGCGTTTACATGACAGTGCAAGGAATGCAGCAGCAACTGCAGTCGTCTGTGCTGATGCAGCTGCACTTGCCACCCTGAGGCTTGACGATAGAGCCAGCGGCCGAGGAGACGGAGTTTGTGGAGGCAGGCATTTTGGTGTGTGAGTTTGCGCGGATCGTGTGGGTTTTAGAGGTCTGACGAGTGGGTTGTAGACGGTCGAGTTGTACTTGTTGGGTCGCGAGATGACGAAGTTGCGCTGTGATGATGTCAGTAGTGTGTCCGTGGCCACAGAGTCGAGTGTAAGCATACAGTTTGAGTGATGAAGAGAAAGAGAAAGCTAGGTCTGCGCGAGATGCTGAACGGTTGTGTTTGAGGAGGCAAAGGGGAGATTAATACGGTCGCAGAGGGCAATCCAACCCTGCTTCAATGCTGCGCTGCGCATGGCGCTAGGCCAATGACACGCCCACGCTAAAGAAACATGACGTCGCCCCTTGTGGCAGTGAAGGTGGCTAACGCCGCGCGTTCGGTCATAGGCTCTCGACACATGTAAAATAAAAGAAACACAGGGGAGGTATTTATGTAAACGTGCATTGAATCTATCATATATCTAGATGGTAAAACTATACGAAAAGGGTATTGCTGAACATGAGATGAGGAAAGCCCAATACCGTGTCTCACCGTGAACATGCAGGTCTTGTTCGCGTCTGGCGCTTGATATCTCAGACGTCTCTCCAAGTCGGCTGGCTCTTCTCAGCGAATGGCGTTTTGACAGCTGTGGTGAGTTAGCTAGCTTTCCGAGAAATATACGCAACAGTCTTACCGTTGCTGTCTCCGAACGGGTCATCCTCATCCTCCTCTGGCTCACTGTCTGGCTCGACACGCTGAGGAGGCATAGGGATGCTCGTTGGCCGGGGTGGCTTTGGAGGAGCCGACTCGTTCATGTTCATGCTGGCCATAGCAGCAGATACGTTGCCCTCTTCATTGTCGCTGTCACTGTCGTCATCGATGCTCTTGTCCATGATTTCGAATGCCATGAGACCCTTGACTAGCTCGTCGTTGGCATTAAGAAGACCGCCAATGTATTGCTCTGACTCAACCAAATGGATATAACGCAAGATTTGGCGACGAAGCTGCTTGCAGGTCTCGAAACGTCGCATCACTTCTGGATTGTCGCTAACCCGCTCTTGCTCACGGTTGATGAGCTGCAATCCATTGAGCAAGTTTGTGCTAGCGACGTTTGCCGATGCCATCGTTTCGAGCATTTGTCCTTTCTCCCTCTCCAGATTGAATGGCTGGCCTTTGGTCTTCTTCTTGTCTTTCTTGTTTCTACTGAACAGTGAGGTGGTTGGGAGAGGAGTACCAGCGCCGAGTACAATAGGTGTACTGGTTCTTGACGATGACGCCTGTTGTGGCTCCGGCCGCCTGTTTCGAGGAGGAGAGGGCGAGTTATCCTCGCGCTCACGTGCGGCCTCGGCGTCTTGCTGTCGCACAATTCGAGATTGCTGTGGTTGGGGACGCTTGGTACGAGGGAGTTCTTTGTGTAGTGCTGCTATTCGCTCAAGTCCAGGCGTTCCCTTGTATGCAACAGCCCATCCTCGAAATAGAACGTTGGCCTTCTGCCTAACATCCGCATCAACCGTGTCGTCCCTGGCTAGAATACGAAGTCGCTCGAGAAGGGGCTCGTCTGCAAAAGCCTTCTGGAACCTGGTACCAGCATTCTGGATTAAAGCGTCTAGGATGACTAGGGCGCGGATCTGGCGATGTACGTTGCCGTACTTGCTGATGAAGTGTTTAGAGCATGTCGTATGCACGTAAGGATTTGACTTACAGCTTCTTTCGCAAAGCTCGTGCTGCTTCCGTAGGACCAGATGCCTGGATGCGAATGACTTCAATGAGATCAACAATACCACCGACATCCTGCAACGATTAGCCTTAATATGGAATCTGCGCAGGCCAACTTACATTCTCCTCGTATTGCTCGCTCGTCAATCGATCTATTTGGACCGTGACAGCCGAGAAAGCGTGTTTCTGCGATGTATCCATTGTCTTAGCGCCTTGTGACAGTGTCCAAAGAAACACAGCGGGCAAGGGTTCTCGAAGATTGGAAGCTCTGCATATGCTTTGGGATCCTTGTGGCGATGAAGCGATTTGCGAGAGGACTCTGTTGATGACGAAATTGACGAAGAAAGTGACACAGACGGAGCTCTGTGATACAAGGGAAGTGCTTCGAGATCGGAACAGGCACTGCTACAGGACGATCTCCTACGAAGCGACTCTCTGTTGAGGAGCGGTTCACCGTCATACCAAGAGGCGTGGGAAATCATGATTGTAATGAGAAGAGGTATACAAAGGACAAGTTGAAGTGAGATGATGTAACTGAAAGCATGGTGTCTAGGAACTCTTAAAGAGAAACCAATCTGAAGAACAACTTACAGGCATCGTAAGTTGGTCGCTTGATTTGACCCTTCAGGGTAAGCACCTGCTAAATCTGGAGGCGAAAAAAGCAATGCACTCCCGAACAGGATGTTTGCTTGCTTGTCAGAACGAATTTGGACACAATCAGGGTCTGGTGTTTTCAATAAGGTCTGAAAGCCGTCGGAGGGTCCGTCTGAAGGTAGAGATCCGGTGTTACAGATAAGAATAGACGATCCGGGCTTCCACGAACATGAGTTGACGAGTCGTGCAAAGTCCACAGGGTGAGGTGAGCGGCGATGGAAGAGGTTTGAAGCGAAAGTCTATGTAGTAGTGGCTGCCTATGTGCACGCGATAGGTGAATGAGCTTCCTTGATCGGGCTGAAGCTACCTTACTCAGCCCCCACTTGCGGGGTGCAACCACACGTCGCGCGACCTCCCCCATCAGGTTTCTTCACTTTACCTCTTGCACACCCCTCGCATATCGTATCGCTGCGCTAGAACCACAATGAACAGGGCAAACGCGCTGCATCACGGTTGGAGTGCGGAGGCGACGGGTGCAGGAAATGGCGATGGCGCGTGAGAGGCCCGAAGCGCGTTCACTCACCTTTTCCCATCACACATTGCTTTTGTCTCGTATCGTCTTAACTAACCTGAGGTATGCAGATATACTCAAGTTTCTTCTTCTTCAACCTCTAGTTTCACAGCCATCAATCAGCCCTCGACGCAGTTCCCGACGCCCCAATCACCAATAGCGGCACCCATCCAGCAAAACCAAGCGCGGCGAAGAGCGACCGTTCATGGGCGGCGGCGACATAACCCTGCTGTTGCCCAGTATCTCGGACTTGGTACTGCAAGCGAGCCTACACATCTCGAGATATATGCTTCTTTACCGGCAACGCCAGCCAGCCCACCGCTGAAACCTACACGCAACCGAATAAAGTTGGCTGCGTTGGCTGCCCATGGAAACACATTGGATGATAGACACACGAATGCGGAAGCGAGGGCAACTGTCAATCAACGGCGTGTGTCGGAGAGCTTCCGGGTGACGAAACCTGTACGCAAGTCTGCGGCATCCGCATCCAAAGCTCCACCATCTAGGACTACACAATCAGCATTCATTGACGATGTGCGACCACAGAAGCCAGCAGCAGATGATGAAGGAACAACTTTGTCAGATCATGTTCCTACCACTCAAGCCTATGAGGTGATGCATCATCGTTTCGCAAGCTCTGAGACTGTTCAGAATGTCAGCCAAGACACCGTGGCCATACGGCCTGTGCAATATTCGGTTGACGTTGGCTTGTTCATTCTCGAAGACGATGATTGTGATGCTACTGAAGCTGGACACGTTGATCTCGACCTGGCTCTCCAGCAACATGAAACTCTGAAATCCGCGGAAGATGACTTCGACTTTGACATCAATGATGATGAACTGCTCGCATTGATACCTGAAGATGGTGGTACATGTTCTGACCTTGCAAAGCCTACTTCGAAGTCCCACGCGCAGTCCTACAACACGGACAACGACAGATTATGCCCCACTCCAGGCTCATGCACCGACATTCCTATCATGCTTGAAGAAGTCACCACCAAGACGAGTTCACAGCAATTGTCAAAACAGTTTACATCTCCAGTCACTCCGACAACGCGCTTGCAGGCCGCATATGGCAGCTCAGGTTCCGCGGAGATTAGGAAACCAATCGTCAGGCCGCCGTTCCCTGAATCTGTTCGCGATCGCTCGCCTATTATCGGTCTCTCGTCAAACTCGTTGCTCAGAACGTGTTTTCGCATCGGTGAGGTGATCAATCAGAGTTGTCAAGCATCCAAGTCTGGGAAGCGCATTATGATCGAAATGTACGCTAGAATCCTTGCTTCGGAGCGAACTGGCACAGAGCAACAATTCACATTCTGCGACCTCTTCCATGCAAGGCCGCCTTATATCAAAGGAGCATACAGCGCTGCGATCTGGAAGTCGGTGCCCCTGTTCGAGTACGACTGCAGTAGGCTTTTACAACAAGGGCGGATATGTCGGTGCATTGGCACCATGAAGCGAGAGGGAAAAGTGTGGACCATGACCGTGCTTAACATTTGGGAAGCTACCTGGGAAGATACTGAGTGGGTAGAGGCCATTGTGACCTTGTAGCAGCATCGTGGGAAGTACTCAGGGGTGCTCAAAACAGGGATGATCTATGGGTGATCTAAGCGTCATAATCGACACCATAGCGGCAGCCGTGAGAGAGAGCTCGATATGCAACGGAGCAATGTATTCACTGCATGTAAGAAGATAGTCCAGGAACGTGTTCTGAGTTATATGCGTTTAAAGACGCTGTTTCGTTTTGACAGGCTCAGAGCATGGTTCACCCTTGGTAGGGGCTTCTTTCCACGTGATGATAGGCCATGATTAACCGCCCCGCCAACGTACGGGCCATTGCTGTTCCACCAATTTGACTTCTGCTCACAGCACGTTGCTGAGAGAATGAATTATAAGGGTCGTCCTGCCAGATTCACCCTACGACGCAATGTTGACGGCGGCCATGACGCCAGCCATCGGTAGCGAACGCGAAACCACCGACTCTCGCGGTGCAGCCATGATGGAGCCTCAACCTCAACTGGAGACAACGCCGCCAAAGACGAATTCGCCCAAAGCACGGTCTCTCTCGGACAGCACGCCCCGTCTTGAGCCCTCTCCGAAGTTCCGCGAACCCGCACGCATGTCCAAAGATGACCAAACTATCGTCGCCAGCCCCAGTACACCGCGTAGGCCAGACTTCCTCTCGCGAGGCCTGTCTCTGCAAATGCCCCCTCGAGAGTCGCCTATGCTCAGTCCCGCGCACTTCGCCGCCCGTGTGCCCCTCTCTCCACAGCTAGATTCGCGTAACACCTACGCGTCGCCTGCTTCTGTCCTGCCCCGACGGTCCCGCGGCGCTGAGTTCTCAAGAGCCTGCACCAACCTCCACCACTCGACGCTCCCCGACCAGTCTTCGCCCGATTCTTCGCCGACCATTACGCAAAAAGGCATCAAGATACCGCCGCGGAAGCCTCGCTCCAACTCAATGCTGCTTGACTCGCCCAATGTGAGCCTACAGGGTGGATGGAGTCACGGCGATAGAACCGCCCCTTCGAGTTCGGTCGGCAGCATCAACATGATGGGCTCAGAGGACTCGAGTAGTTCTTCGGATGAGGTGGATCCACTGGACCCTGAGGACAACGACGACCCTATGATCATGACTCCACAAGCGAAGACCAACACACTATTTCCAGGGCTCAACGCTGGCAACAACGGTGTCTTTTCGAATCTGTTTTCACCCGGTGGACAGCCCAACTTTGCGAGCATGCATCGAGCGAGATTGCGCAAGGGTAGAAGCCGAAAGAGCTCGAGCTCAGCCAGTGGACACAGCTCCATGGCAAGCCCCGGGCCGGCCTCACCGCCAAATGGCAAAGATACGGGATATTTTGCGCGAGAAGCGGCCATGCGTAAAGCGGGTTCGCGACGAGAGAGCCTTTCCCTTTTTGCCAACGACCTCCACATCTCATCTGGAAACGATAGCGGTGATGAGGGCGGTAACATGCCCCAAACTCCGGGTGTAGTACGACGGGTGGTTTCACGGAGGGGTAATCTGCTGGTGAGTACATGAATCAGTACAACGGTACAAGTTGCTAACTTTACTAGCCAAAGTCAAGACAGTTCGGCCGCATCAGAGCGGAGTTGTTCGAAGAAGCTGCTCCCGTTGACAGCGAATTTCGCCGCGAAGCCGAGATCATTCGACAAGTGAGAGAAAGCGACACGGATCTAGAGCGACCTTCGGGAACCGCGCAATCATCACCCAACTTGCTGCCAACAGTTCCAGGCCTGGATGGACCCCTTGAGGGTGTGCCAGAGGAGGGCAGCGAAAGCAACATGAGTCTAGATGGATCGACGTCTAAGGGACTTTTCGGTGCCTTTGGTAGTCTACACAGTGGTCGCAATTCGGTCAGCAACGGCTTCTGGGGTTCACGCGCTGCACACACTCCTCCACCGTCCTTTCCTCGTGCAGAATCATCCGCAATGAGCGAGGACATGAACATGGACTCCCCAACTATAGGCGGTGGGGCATCTAGAGCGTCTACGCCAGGGGCAATGCAGCCTCCCACAGCAGCCGAAGCTTTGAAGAAGTCGAACAAACGCCGGCGAGATGACGATTTCGACGAAGCTTCAATCAAACGTCGTGCAGTCTCACCAGGTGTCAGCGCTCATGGCAGCCCAGTCATCTCGCAGTCTCCTGCACAAAGGGACAACAGTCTTTGGGGCACAAATACCAAGGCCAGCCGGGAAACGTCAATAAGTGGTCAATCACATGGTGAACGCTCAAACAGTGGAGGCAGCATGAGCATGACGCCAACATTGGGCCCAAAGCGGATAGGTCTACAGGGCATGACCGATACCAATGATGGGCTGATGAAGATGAGCATCGAGTGATTGCCAGACGTGACTTTGTGTAGAATATTTGTGGCATTGATCATGACTTAGCGCGGCGTTTCCGGGTCTACGAGATCAAAAAGGGTCGCTCAAGGTGTATAGATACCCATCGTTAATATTTAGTTTCAACATGAAGTAAAAAAAAGCGGATAGCTCCAAGTACACTATGATGTTCTGATGCTCTCCCCTCCACATTTGTGGTCCCTGCACTTCCCGAACCCCACTAAGCGCTCCTGTCCACCCGCAGCTTCGACAACGCGCCAAACAATTGAGGTCGCAACACGAACCTGATCTCCAACTTCCGCATAGCGAGATATCGCAGCCATGTCACGCACAGCAGCTCTCTCCTCTTTCGTCGACAGCGCGCCGCCTGGTGAAGTATGCTCTCTAAATCCACGTGTAGCTTTCGCCAGCACATGTACTGACAGCAACCCAGCTTGTCGAAGTTACCAAGGCAATCAAGTCAATCCTCGGCGATGAATCAGTCCAGAACGAACTCTCGCCTGCCTTCCAAAAGTACAACGAGGAGCAGTACACCACAACGAAGCTTCCGGGCGGCAGCACCGAAGTTCTAGTCAGCGAATACAACTCGTTAGGAGACGGCAGATACTACGACATCGATACACAGAGCTCCTTCGACTTTGACCATGCGACTGGCAAGGCAAGCGCAGTCCAGAGCTACGTTGTCGAGAGCGCGCATGAGGATCTCCTGTATGTCTCACCTCACACAGACACCCTCTGGCCATACGGCACATTGTTTGCGCGAGCTTAGTACTAACACACACCACAGGAAGAGCCTCAACAAGTCCCTCGGCACCCACGCCTCAGAACACTACCCCAAATCCTCCCACGGCGTCTTCCCCGTTCCTTCGTCCCCCTCTTCCCTCGCCATCATCACCGTCGCAAACAAGTACTCCCCCACAAACTACTGGAACGGCCGCTGGCGCAGCTCCTACATCTACGACACCTCCTCCGGCTCCATCTCCGGTAGCATAAAAGTCGACGTGCACTACTACGAAGACGGAAACGTGCGTCTGCTCACCACCAAGGAGGTCAACCTGAGTGCTGGCGGCAGTGCAAATGGAACCGAGATCATGAGGAAGATTGCTGCCGAGGAGAAGAAGTACCAGGAGGATCTCAACAAGGCGTTTGGCAGTCTGAGTGAGGGCGCTTTCAAGGCTCTGAGGAGACAATTGCCGATTACGAGGCAGAAGATTGAGTGGGAGAAGATCAGTGGTTATAGGTTGGGCCAGGACATTGGTGGTGGAAGGAGGTGAGAGGGTTGTCCGATCAATTGATTAGCATAGCGGGTGGTCGAATGCTTGAACGATGAGCAAGAAGAGTGGTATCTTTGAGGAATAGAGGTTACTGAATACGATGCATCCAACAATTCCCAATCCATTACTGATGGTCGTTTCGCCCCTCCCTACTGAAGGTAAGAGTTGCTGTTATCGAGGTCGGCTCCATCAACAACCAGCCTTATTCTTTGATCATTACTTTTCAGCCTCCACTTCGCAGAGACCGCCCGTCTACACAACAGAGCTTTTGGGATCCCTGGATTCCACAAATATCAACGGACAGAAACAGCAGTCATGATACACATACTTTGAAGAACGACTACGCTTCCTCGAAGAGAGTAGATAGGACGGTTGCTCCTACCGAAACAGCACTTCCATGGTATGGCTTCAGCTGCTGGAGCAAAGAAGAGGGAAATGTGGTACAAATCTATATAGTATACTCAACTTGACTATTCAACCTGGACGAATGGAGGAAGAACAGTCCGGTAGATGCTGGTCATTTGCGCAATGGGGTGCTACTTCGAGTGTCTACTCTTCTTCTTGTGCCATCGTAGGCGCCATTATTAGTGCGTCCCTGACCATTTCGTTAGCTTGATAGACACACACCAGTCGGTCGTAAGGGACTAGGTTCGAAGTTCATGGTATTGCATGACTATACCCGCAGAATCCCTGCTATCACTATTCAGGAGGTTCTTCATCTCGTGGTAGTCCTCGTTCGTGTAAACGGTTTCTTACCAGTATGGTAGGTGTTGTTGACGTTGTAAGTGGCTTATCTGCTCTGCATTGTCACGATACCCGTGATTGGAATGAACAATACTCAGACATAGCATTACACGTCACTGACACAAGTCAACAGGGTCGAGACATACCACGCGCTGTGCATCTTCGTACTATTCAAGAAAGACTTCTCCTTACACACCATGACAGCATCCGCATATGTGAATGCCGAAAATGTCGCATCGTTACTTCTAGCCTATACACGAGAGAATCTTCCAATAGCACGGCACGTATCACAGCCATGGTCGAGATAAAGAAAGGAACCCGAAAAAAGACATCGTATGGCGGATCGCCAGCTCTGAACGCCATGATTCCCGCAATAACGCCTCTGCACAAAAAACAAATATATTCCTAGCTCATGACGATCATTTCGTGATGAAGCCCAAGTAATCGGCAACAATAAGTGTCACCATGCTATTAATGAAGTTAGTACTTGGATCCACAGCACAGGGAGAGAGAAAACTTACGCATGCGGCGCGATGCGCACGTAGTACGTTCCAAAGCCACGGTAGAATCTTAGCAAACCCTCCTCCTTTGCAACCTTCTTGAAGCAATCAAACATGCCCTTGTAAGGCAATGTACCGTCAGGTCCCTTTGTCTGCTTCTGCAATCTCGTCTTCATGAAGTCGAATGGCAGAGATAGGAACGACGCGAAGAAACCTGCTACAGCTGACGCAGTGAGAGTCTGTGTGCGGGATGACAACGATGTGTTCTTGAGTTGCTGTTTCGCTTCCGAGAAGAAAGCCAATTGTCCAAAGTTGAGGGCCATAGCGCGGACGACGGTAGGGTAACTGCCTGCCCATAACCGTGCGACGCCTTCTTGCTTGCTGATGCGGACGAGGGCATCAATAACGGATGTGTAGTTTGCGCGTTGAGCAGCGGGTTTCATTCCATCGGATTGCATGCGGATGAGCGCAAGATCAGCAGGATTGCCCACAATAGCTGCGAGACCACCTGCGGCTAGACCAGCACCTGCACGTTCTTTGAAGCCAATCGCTGTGCCGTTTTCTTTTGCACGTGCGCTGAGTTGCTTCATGAATGTGTCGAAGAAACCCAGGCGGGCGGTTGTGTAGACGGCTTGGCGAAGGATACCAGCGCTGAGTCCTGTGTAAAGATCTAGGACCTTGCCTTGTGCAATGATGTCTCTGAAGACTGTGACTGGGGTGGGCTTGGGTCCAGTTTTTACACCTTCTCCGGCGAGTTGTAGACGCACTTTTACCATGTCTACGGGCTGGATTACGGTTGTTGCGGTCATGCCTGCGATACCACCGTTTACGAATGGTAGTGCTGCGCGCATAAACGGTGTATGTAGGAAGTCTGCAGTAGCTTTCTTGGGGTTCTCAGCGGCTTTGGACATGGCGGAGGATGTGTCTTTTAGAACGGCTTCTGAAGATTGCTTTGCGTTTTCGAGGGCGCGAGCGGCGGGCATCTTAAGGGTTTGAGAGCTGGCGGCTGCTGTTGTTGACATTGCGTTGTCAGTGACAGCCAACAGTCTTGATAAGACGAATTATTTGAAGATGAAGAAAAAATGGACCAGAGGGGTATATCGCTGTCGCTATGCTGCACGAGAATAGAACAAACGTGAAGAAAGACTGGAACTGATGGAGTAAGAAAGTCCACAAAAGAGACTCCATGGCCGAATCTATATCCCAGCATCATGGCACTACGACATGGCGTCTGCGTAAGGTGCTGGCCTGGGCAGAGCCTCAGCCTGAGACGCAGTTCCCATGCGCCCTTCACCGCGGCCGTGGACGTCGCAAGCTAGCCGGCTATGACATAGATGTACAGCTTCCTCCGGCGCACAGGAAAGATTGGCATCGGACGTGTGAGCGCAGCCGAAAGCTCACGCACGTGCGATAACCCTTCTTTTTCCGATTGCACCCGCGCAAGTAAATTGTGGATGCTGAGAGACGGTGTAGGAGCATAGTTGGGTGCGTACCTCGTGCGCTGAAGTCTGTGCGGAGGATCCAGTCCGCGTCGGAGGAGTGGGGTGTGGGTCGCGGGTTTAGTGGGTATGGTGGTATGCGCTCGACTACCCGCTTTCTAGTATCAAACGACAATGCGACAGTACAGGTCAAGCTGATAGAGCAGAAGAACAAAGTTGTGAACAAGGCTGTGAGTGAAGATACTCGGAGGACAGGAGTAGCACGATGATCTGTTATTCTTAGTTGTCAACAAGGCCAGCCAGTCGACCGGTGCCATGAATTGAGGGGTGAGCTGCGTTTCCCCGCATCGAAGAGCTGCCCCAACGAGCCACTGAGGTGAACAGCTGCTCGTCCTACGAGGTGCCAATTGCTGATGGGCCAATCGGGCAGCACCGATTTCCTACACTCTGATGCCATCCTTACTTCACAGGTCTCCATGTTGAAGTTTAACGTGCACGGCGGAGCGGTACAAGCTGGGCGCATTGATTGTCGCGTGTCCAAGCCATCCGTTTTCCCATGTACCGTTGAGGCTCATGTCTTTGCCCATGGTACACCTCGGGAGATACACGATCTTCAGGCACAGAGAATCCCGTCTCTATTGCGCCACATGCGGAACCGCTTGCATGTGAGCGATGACGTTGGTCGTAACGGCCAGCCCTCGGCCAATCGAAAGATTGCAACTTCAACACCAGAGCGTTCTGTCATATGCCAATAAGTCTAACCATCAGCAAACCTGTGTGGCAGTACATCAAGATGCGCTGTCGCGATATCCTGGCACTAGATGCAGTGATCTCACTGTGCTTTTCCGGGTAAGATTTGGATTTCCGTAAACACAACGTGCGTCCGTGCGTCGTTCTTTGCCGATGTGCATGATATGCTCTATGCTTTTTACTCGTTGAGTGTTGATATACCGTCGTTTCGCAGATCGAAGTCAACCAAAGAGATCGTTTTGCTTTGGGCGAGACCCTGGGTTCTTTGGCGCTCAATGGGGCGGTGTTCAGATCTTGTGCTCAGGTGCGCGGCCAGAGTTGGACTCGGTGACCCGAAGGTATCCGCGGCCGAAGACATCGTGGGTGACGACAAGCTGTGAAGCACTTTGTTAACGGAAGAATATTAAAGCGGGTTCTGCCATTGCGTGGTATCAGATCTGTTGCCGAGGAAATGTCCGTGGACAAGTGGAAGGTCAGACATTTTTCGACACAGGGTCGGGGATGTGGAGGCGCACAGCCGGGTCTGAACGCTTGCAGAAGGAACGAAAGGCTTGCGAACGTATTGTTGAGAATTCATTGTGGTACAGAAGACTGGTACCCTCTTCGGGATTAAGTGCTATCCCGCATAAACCGCGCAGCTTGTCCGCTGTCTCAACATCTTCTGCTAGAATCGCTAGATGTTTGCATCTTTGGGTATCATTCAGCCCATCCGAAGCCCAAACGCCGAAACAACAGCACATAGACTAAGTTGACATCTCACTGTCACTCGGGTCTCCGAGATCCTCAATATTGCTTGATTGTGTTGGTTGTCGAGTTCTGGGAGCCTGTAGATTTGAGCTCGCATCAGGCATGTCATCGTCGCTACCGTCGATTTTCTGGATTTCCCGACGAGGAGCCTTCACATCATCGTCTGAACTGTCACCTTCAAGTTCAGCTTGCTGCATGCGTTTGATCCTGCGTACGAGGATAGGGTCGGTGCGAACGTCGTTTGCGGTGAGCATCTGAGAAGCAATGTCAGCACAGGCACATAGCGGGAAGAGTAGCCGAACGAGTCGGAATAATATGTGGCGGCACTTACTTTGTCGCACCCATTGACGGGACATTCCACAGCTTTTTGGCCGTCCACTCTGTGAGGGCCCTTTCGGATCATATCGAGGATGGCATTCTTCTCGAATGTGTGAGGACACTTGTTACTCGAATATGGCTCCTTGAACTGCTGATACGTGATGGGACACCTCGTGCTGACTGTAGCCCTGTCGACTACAATGTCATCATCATCATCAAACTCTCCCCGTTGTGTGGTGTCCGTAATGCCAGGCGCTGGCGATCCGGACTCGGTGAACCATGTGTCTTCATGTCCCAATACGGGGCCGTCGTCGCCGAATTTCGCGTCGTGCACCGTACGCTTGAAGTCGCGGTAGTCGTTGTTACGGGCGTAGCGGCTTGTGTGCGAGCGCGCTGTGTAGGCGTCCTTTTCGCGCTGTATGCGCGCTGCAAACAGCTCGCTCGCACCGGTGAGGGCTACACGAGAACCGTCAAGAGGAGTAGGTCCAGGTGTTGGTCCATCATCCATCTCATCATCGTCCCTGTCTCGTGCGTGTGCCCGCTGACTCGCTGCTTGGGTCTGGGTTTGTCGCTGGTTTTCGCGCTGCGTCATCTGAGTCTCATACTCTTCTGCCAGTCGCGCAGGCGCATTACTCCTCAACCATTCCAGGGCTTCCTCGATGCGCTGCGCTGCGATCTCCGAGTCGATGACTGCTCGCATGCTTTCCTCGAGCTTTATAGTCGCCTCGTCTACGTTCGCCTGCAGTTCTGCCATGACGCGCTCTTCATCTTCTTTGTCGTCCAGACTCTTGCCTGCGTCCCATTTCTTCTGTCGCCGGCTTATGTACTCAGCGTGTTCGCGCAGCATGTCATTGACACTGGCTGCAGCATTGGTGATGTGCTCGGTGGCTTGTTTGTTATGCCTTTTGATATCGTTCATATTACGCCCTTGTAGGCTGCGCAGTTCTCGTGTCGCTTCTGCATCGAGGGGGTGAGACGGCTTCTTGTACTCTGGCAGGAGGTCGGCATTGCGATTACTGCTGTTGGTACGGTTTGGAGTAGATGCCACGGACTGGCGACTGGCCGACGGTCTCGCTGTCGAGTGCCGAGTTCGAGACGACATTTCGTCTTCTCTGAGTGGTTTTGCTGCAAGTGCCGTGTTTTGGAGATGCGAAGGCACGAAACACGATGCGGGGAACGCGTCGTTGGAACACTTTGGTACTAGCGTGGTCGCCAGATCACATGTCAATCGCTCTAGGGTTGCTATCTACAGATGCATGGATAACTGCAAATCGCCGGTATGCTAAGTAGTTGAAACACAAAAGGGACCCTTACAGATATATCTGATGCGATTTTGCGGGAAACGTACAAATTGCCTTACTAGAGAAGAGTTGCAGAAGCGAACGTGTACGGCGTACAAGCTCCGAAATCCTCCCACGCCTGTGAACATGTGAGGCAAACAATCACCTCTCATGACCCGCGACGATAACTCTGTGTTCTCACTCTCCCTACAATAAGCTACCAGCACCAAGAATATAACACGCTATTCTGGGTGTTCGATTGCAGGATGCAATTTCCTTTCTTGGTGGGACCGTCGTCCCCCACGCACTTTTGGGTCAAATTCCCGGCCATGCAGAGCCGGCATACCAAGTCAGCGCCCAGCCGGGCGCATGCCGTAACGTCGGAATAGTGGAGTCAGATCAGCTCATGGCCGCATATTCCAAGCCTTCTCCACGCTATTCCCGCCGTTTATCCATAGGCATGTGGTCAGATGAGAGGTCTCCAGGTTAGCGTGTAATCGAGGAGTAGTCTTACTGCCTGTCTCATTACTTTGCATTGGTCAGTTTTCAGGATGAATCGTGCAAGACAAAACGTGAAGAAGATGAGGTGTTTGCTTATTTGGAAGTATTGATATTTGGGCCGTATCGAAATCTACGGTCCACGTCTTAGCCTCTTCGACGCTGACCGATGCGTCTATTATCCAATTTTCCCGAAAAGTGTGTGGTATCATAATATGTTGAAGAAGAAATAATGACCCTCCGGATGCAAGTACTCCATAAGCTTGAGCGAACATCAATCGCTCCCTAATCGCTATCATAACCATAACGTTCATACGTGCCCCAGGAACGCCACCCCGCACGCTCTCCAAGATGCCGTCTTAGAGGTACAACATGTGCAGGGACGTTGCGATGGCCCTGAGTCACGAGACATCTGCCTCTAAGCTGCGCTGTCGTCTCCGGAGTCGACGCGTGCCTTGGCCAGCGTGGCCACGCTTGTGTTGCTTTCGATTCCTTCTCGCCATGCGTCTCAATCTTCACCTCATTACGCTCGTGATTGTAGTTGTAGTCTGTGGTGCCTTGTTGGACAGAGGAAGGCCCTTCTCGATATCGCGCATCTTGTTGGCGTTCTTGCCTGGGGGTGGCGAGTTAAGTCTGATGCCTGTTCTTCGGTTCTGGCGGTTCTGCTTGCCTGTGTCGGCAGTGGAGCGGCCAGTGAAGCGGCGAGAGGCACGACGAATGGATGCTCGAACGTCCCATTGGCGCTTCTTCGCGAGCCACCAGAGTACTCCTGAGGCAACTGATCTGATGTTAGTTCATGCATCTTCAATTCTGTACTGTGAGACATACTGGATCCAAGCACGACTACGACCGCGACCACAATGATCGCTGCGATAGCACCTCCGGAGAGCTCGAAAGCACCCTTCTGCGATCCCGCAGCACCAGCGTCACTTGGATCTTGCGGGTTGTCGTTGCCGCCATTGTAGCCGGGAGGGGGAAGCTCGCTTCCCGAAGACGAGTCCTGAGCAAGGGCGAGAAGCGGGAGGAGAAGGGAGAAGAGGAGAGGCCTGCTCATGGTGTTGGTATCTAGTGTTGAAATGCGGCGCAGACGGGACAAGTGATCGGATATCAGGTTGCACGAGGATGGCGTGAAGGACGTTCGATCAACTGGAGGAATACCAACAACTCGCTACCGGGACGGAGGGCATGTCTCTATATTTGCCTGCCCGCGTGCAAACATCTTTTACCCAAGCCAATACCTTCCCTATCGCTCGTCCAATACCCCGCCAGTCTCAGGGCTCCTGGGCGGTTACCATCGTGCGCTTGGACGGCAGACCAGGTTGGCTGCCGGAGAATACATCAGGCCATCTTCTTAATATAGCGGCATTGGCGTCGACTTTTGTCGGCTTGGGAGGATAAGCTGAGGGGATTGGCAGGGCGTGATGGGTAGTGGGCGCGTAACGTCGTGGATGAAGATCACCGTGCAGCGGAGCTAGGGCGGGCTGAAGTGTGATTGGATGGACCCTGGTAAGAAGCGCCCGGCTAGCATGTCGCCGCACGCTTGTGTTTCAGGGAGAGCATGCGAGAAGACGACTCTTCTTCGTCAACTGCAAGGCGTACTTGTGACAGCTACCGCTTATCGTAGTCGGTGTGGCCGTAGTACGTAGGTATTTCTGGCTCCTCATCTCCGGTACGCTTCACGTTAGCCACCAACCTTACGGCGCAATGCGAATCATACGATGCAAAAAAAGAACTCAGATGACAGGCAAAACGACCTTCCCCGCAAACACTGGCAATACAGGAACTAGTCTGGCGGATGCATGCTGTCACCCAAATCCACGACGGCTGTCAGTGTGATGCGTCGGTGGATGCAATTTCATTCGAGTTGTCGCGTTTCACGTCTGCCATCATGTGTCCGCTGCCACGCCAGGCATCGTCTAGAAATAGACGAGAGGACATCGACGGTAATTGGAGAGGATTTCAGCGACTCAGAGCAAAGCGTAGCAAGAGGTATTGAGCTATCCTTCGATGAACAGGCTATAGCTGTGATCACTGCAATGTGAACGATATTCCGACACGACATGCTGAGAATACTGGACTTGGAAACTAGTGGCCGTTGCTTCATATACGACGGAAATCAAAGAGGAAGTAATGATCTGGACTTTGTGATGACAGAGTATGCCGCAGCAAGAGAGGTGGCCGAGTGTAATGAGGTGGGATGCGTGCAGTGAAGCTTCGACAATTGTTCCGCTTTCCGTAGGTATCGTTTCTCGTATCATCGCTCCTGCCATCATGTCTAGCTCGGGCGTTCTAGTCGGAAGTTATGTTGTGACTTGCCACAGCAAATGAAGGAAAGAACGACGATGAGAGCAGAGCTGCAAACTTCGCCACCCCTCACTCCTTCCACAACACAACATATCGCTTCCATCTACATCGAACAGCTGACCTGCAGTGTTGTTTCTTGCCGTTCACTTACTCTGTCTGGTTTTCCACCCCATCTCACCTACTCGCATCCGCACCGCACCTGTCACTGAACAGCCACTTACCATGGCTGGGAAGGCTGGAAGAGGCGAGCAGCTGCCGAAGGAGCAGAACCCCTCAAGACTCAGAAATGAAGTACGCCCAGAATCAACTGACGATGAGCGGGATCGCAGGAGCACCGCCATTCAGGTTCCAAACAGCGATACGATTGTTCCCGAAACTCAGCCTGGCCACGCTGGAGATTTCCATTGTGGCGACCCTGTTGCCGACAATGAGTCCGAGTTCAGTCTAAGTCCAAACTCCGTGGCCCTTCTGGAGCGCACTGCGGTGACGAAGAAGACGGAGACGACTCAATGCATTCCATTCTTTGGCAAGCTTCTTTCGAGGAATCCTATTGGAAGGAATGACAGCTCTGCATCAGCAGCTCCAAGCCCTAACCCATTCGCGATCTCATACTCACAGGCAAGGAAAGTTTCCAGCAAGCCACCTCCGAAGGAGGTTGCTACTGCCGCGCAGTCTATTCATCTCGGGTTGAGAACACTTGATATCCAAAAGCACAAAGGTCATGCATCTCGAGGTGAGTAAGCGTCCTACCCAAGGTCGATCCGACTAACATCGTCACTGCGACGGTAGAGCCTGCACACGTTCCACCACCGTGTCTTCCCGACAGCGCTCATCTTGGTGAGCCATGTACTATGAGCAACCAAAATATGGACGTCGTGGATCAAACGGCCACTAGAAGATCTCAGGAAGAGCCTACTTACACCCTGTAAGAGCTCCCAGCAAGCCGATAGAACTCCACTAATACGCTTAGGCCCCCGCAGGCGGATGCGATGTCTAGCATCCCTCCTTCAGCACAGCTTAACGCCAGGCCTGCTTCTGGAATGAATAGGGTCCCCGGTGTCAAGAAGGGTAGGAAGCATAGAAAGGAACAGCTCTCTCAGCAGCGTCTAGGCTCACGTCCCCGACCAAGAATCACACCAAGCCACGCTCGTCAAGCCGGAACGATTGGTGGATCAGCACCTGATACCTCCACCGACCCTCTATGTCTCTCCCAAATGAACGCGGATGGCGATGGAGTACATGCTTTCCGCGCTCCTGTCGACGATCCACAAAGGCATGCATATGCTCAAGAGTCCCAGTTACCGAATGAAGAACATGGGTGTATTGCTGACGACAAGGAGCCCTGCAATACTATACCAAGCCTCATGGATACGACCTTCCGAGACTTTCAAGATTCCTCTACTCAACGTCAGTTCCCTACAGCTTCCGTGCAGGGTCCCTCGACCTCGCCTGAGACACTTAATACAACCGAGCCAAAGCAACAACCGTTGACAACTTTTCACGATCAAGCTCGCAGTATCGGCCCTGATAAACGGGTTGCGTTCTCAGCCCAGACTTCTGGTCCCTATGCCTTGCCTAACAGTCACGAGCCAGTCGAAGCACCCGCTGTACCGACTCAGTCTCACCAGCCGAGCTTGTACGCAGACAACAATCGGGTCGCACCTCAGCCAAGGATTAACGAAGCTCATCCGCATGGCATCCCGAATCGAGACGGGCCTCTCCGTATGACCAAATCACGACGGAAGTTACGACCTAGCGGACCAACATCGTATGATACCCAAGGAAAAGCCATTTCTCCTAGTGTCGAGCACGCCATGGAGACCGTGAGAGTAGCGATACTTGCGAACAAGTATCGGATACAGCATGAGATCACGACGCTCACCCAGAAACATAAGGCTGAGCTTGCTGAGCTTCAATGCACGATCAACAATCAGATTCAGTCGATTGCAGATCATGACAGGAGGTATCAGGACCTGAGAAAAACTCTTAGTCAACTCACCAACACGGCCAAGACAAATCAAAGATTCGTCACGGGCCTTCAGCAGGACTCTGAGAATCTGCAAAAGTCCGCTACAAGCTTCCATAAAGAGTGCGGAAAGACATTGACTAAGAAGATCACCGAACTCGAGGACGAAAAGCGGTCATTACAGGAAGAAGTTGGGACAATGACTGACAAGCTCGCCGCAACCCAACGCAAGATGAGATCGACGCTCGATGACCTTTGGATACGATTTGTCGTATCGGAGTCTAAGAGGGAGGATCTGACAGAAAATTTGGCCAAGCAGGAAGCTGCACTAGAGGAAGAGCGCAAGAAGCGCAATGAATTCGGGAAGCAGCTTTTTTCTGATGTCCAAAGCATTCCGCGTCAAGTTGTCGACAGCTCCGTTGCTCTCACTAAAAAGATCGAATTGCTCCAGGTCACGCTTGATAACGCTACTGCTCACAGTAGCCAGAATGACCAAATCAAAGAGTGTTTAGAGGCCTTGCAACCCCTTCGGCTGACACCTGTCATGACAATGCAAGACATTGAGAGGATGAGTAATACACCGAATCTTGTGCACGAACGGTCAGTGACAGTGCTATATCTGCTACATGTCACCGTACTAATTTATTGCACAGCCTGGATTTAGGTCTCGATACTCTTTCAAAGACCGTAACGAGCAAAGCACTACCTGACGCAGAGCTTCAAGAATTCGTTAAAGAACAAAAAAACAGTCTCCAGACAGAAATGCTGAGATATGAGGAGGTCACAGCCGAGAACTGCAAGACGCATGAATCGAACGTCTGTCTCAAGTCGCGACTCGATGCGCAGCAACAACATTGCACCCGACTAGAAGAGCAGATCAAAGGTTACGAAAAGGTTGAAGTCGATCTCAAAGCCTCGTGCGAGCAACTAGAACGCGACCTGGGGGTACTGAAAGACGTTCCACCTATCGATACATCAGGGCTTGAGCAGGAAGCTCTTGATCTCCGTCAAAAGTTGCAGAAGGCGAGAGAAGATCTCACAGCGGTCAATACCAAGGTTAAGGAGATTGAGAAAGAAAGGGATACATACGAAGTAACCGTTTCCAAGCTCATCCTTGTTGCCATGGTTTTGACAATCAGCAGGGCTATTGTGAAGACGTCAAGATGCAGCTGCGCGAGTTGCAGCAGAGGCCAGCGGTAAACAGGTCGCCTTATCTCGCGACTTCACTAATTTTGTGAACAGCTCGAAGAACACGCTGCCGTTCGAGAGCAGATAGCAAAGGACTGTCAAAGTGAATTCTCGGAGAAAGAGCGCAGCTTCAAGAGAGAGATCCATCGACTTACGATCGATCACGACGAGAAAGAGAAAACAATTCAAGAGCTGAACGACAAGCTGAATGCTGCAGATACCCAACTAGATGAGCTGAGTAAAAACATTCAAACGCTCGAGTCAAAGTCGGCCGAAATAACGGACCTCCAAGCACAGCTCCAAAATACGACAGAAGAGTTGCACAGCAAGAAACGAGACTGCGCAGATTTGACCCGTCGCTCTCAAGAGAAGACGGAGAAGATGTCGGAGTTGCAAGGCCTATATAGCAACCTCCAGGCTGAAGTAACCCAGCATCAAACGACCATGCAAACCATGCGCCGGGACGCTGACAACGAGATCACAAAGATGCGACAAGACGCTAGTAACACGTTTCAACTATCTTCTAATCAGGTCTCGAACCTCCAGGAGGAAAAGAAAAGTCTGTCAACTCGACTTGAGCAAGCTCAGATGAATGAAGCAAAACTACAACATGAGGTCGCAGAACTACGAGCTGCAAAAGAAGCAGACATTTCTCGATTACAAGCGAAAGTAGATGAGAAGAGTCAGAAGCTAGTCGAACAGCATCGCATCGAAGTCGATGATTGGAGGCGCCGCATGAGCCAGAAAGATGCTGCCCTTGAGGAAATGGAAGCGAAAATGCGGCTCGCTGAAGACCAACATAAAACCAAAATCGCGACCGATCTTGAAAAGGCTGAGTCAAACATGCGCAAGCTTGAAGAGCAGTATCGAGATTCTCTTCGAGTGATACGCGAGCAAGGTAATCTCAATCAGCAGGTCGGCTCCCAAGTACATGCTGCCAGAGGAATCCTTGTAGAATCAGGTGAAACCACCCAGGCAGTGAAGGCTCGGAATAAAGTCAGCCGGCAAAACCATTCGATGCTCGAAGTCTCCGAGGAACAAGATTCTCATTCCAAGAAGCCGTTGTCAGTCTTCCACCCCATGTCTTCACAATCTCAGCTCGAAGACGATGATCTTTTTGCAACCCAGTTCAAAGAACAGGGCGGGATCGACGAAATTTCCAACGAATCAATCGATGTTCATCATGAGCCTCGAACTGCCACAGAAAGTCATGATGCTCAAAATTTGTCCATGACCCAGGATGCTTCCAAGGGAGATCTGTTACGAGCGCCACAGCAACAGCTCAAGCATCAGGTCTCAAGCTCCTCCGATCTCAGTAACATGTCTACTGACGAATTAACGGCGATGGAGAAGTCCCAACCCGTGTCGACTGGTATGCTTGCAGGCCGCGACCGTGATGGGTTCAACTCTGGCAACGCATCTCCTGAATTCTCCCAGACGCTGGAAGAGACTCAATGCGTACCGTCTATCGTGTCTCGGAATTATAATCGTGATCCTTTTCATCGTGGTACAGCCTTGGCCGATGTAGGAGTCGCGTTGGTAGCCGACAACGAGTCTGTGGCTGATTCACAATCATTTCGATCGTCTGGACGACCAAAATCGCAAGCTAACACAGCATCTCGGATGATGCCGCCTCACAGTAACAACTCTGATTACCCTCGACCGAGTGTTGAGGATTATGCGGTGGACCTTGGAGCATCAACTCGGCATACCATGTATGGCAGTGCTAATCTGAAGCTGAGCAGCAGCAACTCCCGGCCGTCCAAGCTGTCTTCATCAAAGCAAATCTATAGCCAGTGTGAATCGCGACGCTCCGCTCCGACTGGACTTCAACACAGTTCCTCGCAAAACATGAAGCAGGAACATACGAAGAAGCGAAAGAGTAGCATTGACCAGACAGAGAGAGATTCAGCCACCAAAAAGCAGCGCTCCAAATCTCAACCCCGTCCCTTAGACTCCTCACCTGGTCTTCTAAGCCAATCTTCATTTGTTGCAGTTACTCGTCCCAAAGCACAGAATATCATGCCATATTCCCAAGGCGGTGCTGCAACTTCATCTCAATCGAAAGCTCAGGTCCCCTCCTCCCGCCCCCGCGCTCGTATCTCTCGTCAAGCTCCGTCTTCTGGTGACGCATACTTCCCTCGTAGTCAATCTTCGTCCCACGTAGCCGCTAGTGGCCCGATCCGGCGTTCCTCGACCCGTCTCACAAGGGGCAAGGGTGAGTATGTTCTTGTTGTAGTAGTGTCTGAACGAAGCTAACGCGACCGGTATAGGTAAGAACAGCATCGCGTTCGGGAACGCCTGCAACGAGCGCTTTAACCAGGAGCTGGACCAGCCGCGGTGAGTAAGGCACCGTAGACATTTTGGATGGAGCGCGTGCGCGGGAAATTCGTGTATGTTTGAGGACTTCACGATACTCGACATTGATCTCGGTTCAAGTCGTTCGCTTATCGACCGGCGTTCGAGGTATGCAGGAACTACGTGACGTAATATGGTAGGGGTCTCCATGGACAGTGATTATAGAGGTAGCGACCTCTGCAGAGACTGGATTGTGTGGGGGATGCTGTCTTTTAGTGAACTGTATTCCACATTGTCGATATACCTACGTAGTAAACCCAATGCAAGTATCATGTAGTGGAACCTCTTCAAGCTTTGTACTTGCGTAGGAGTGCAGTTCTTCTTTGGAGAGCCTGTGTCGCCCGGAACGCGCTTCACCAAGCGATTGTGGGTGGTCGGTGCTGCTGTTCGAGTGATTTGGCGCTAAGGTTTGTGACGTTGACAGGCTGCTTGAAGCGCTCCTTTGCCACCCACACCACCAGCCCACATTCAACGATCTCTTTTTAGGAGGTTTCGAATACCCTTATAGCCATCTTCGCACCATAGACATCCTTTGTCTTCCATTCTGCGTTCCTTTTGAGCCATCGCGGCCCATTGACGACGACGGCGGTACGGAAGTCCCAAACTGCTCCTGGCTCTACCCTCCACAATGCCGCTCCGAAACCTGACTCAAGTCGGCGAGAAGCTGGCAAAAACTACAAAGACCAGCTCCGGCTTACGGCAATCTCATACGAAGTGGGGCTGCCCATATCCACGCCCTCGTGTTGACATTATAGCTGGTAAATTCTATCCTGTCCGAGTCGGTGACAACCACAACAGCCTCAGCAAAAGACCACAAATAGTTGAGCAAAAGTTGAAACTTCCTCCTCATCCTCAGTACTCGGTAGGCTGAGGGAAAGAGGACATGGCGCTTCTTTGTTCCTGGTTGTTAACCTCTGCCGCTTGCTTTCACGGCGACGGCGGCCATATCCCAGGACATGTAATTTTAGTATCTAACTGACACTAATATCTCGAGTTGACTGCGCACCGAGGTTGACGAGCGACTGTGCTTCGAGCACCGGCAGTATCGCCGGCAATACCTGTAGGGCAGGTTCGACCTTCGCTATGACAGCCGCACCAAGCGAGCGCACAACGACCCCTTTCTGCTTCAAGGATGGAGGACGCCACGAGTGCATTGTGAGTAGCTGCTTCTCCAGTTGTTGTCATACATTTATACGAAGGTCACGACCTTGACTGTGCTGACGTATTCTTCAGATTCGACATCTCAGCAAGAGGCCATAGATCCCGGCTCCGCCGCCCTGAGTAAGTCCTGAACGCCTTTGTCCCTTCCCAGTCTTCTTGTATCCTCCTGTAGGCGCAGGGTGTAGGAGTATCGATCGCCCATATCCTTCCTCGTACACCCGCGTGCCGAGATCAACAAAAGACCTGCACGACCGTTCCGTCCGTACTGTGCTTTCGTTCTCAACTACAGCTCTCCGGAGAAGCTCTTGGGCAAGGAAGGGGCACTATCTTTCAAGTCGGCAGGTCGATGCACGATTGGTCCATGGCGAGCTAGCTCCTCCCCGCGAGTGCCGCATGTGGTTTGTCGTTCTCATACATCTTTTCGCCTTGTTGAAGTACGTCTCATGGACGACTGTATCGTTCCTTGCATCTCCCCGTGTTCGATACATCGAGTCAGAAGTTTCCATCGACAGATTTTGCTGATAACAACGCAGTGTCTCCTGCAGTAGAGATTCAGCCGCCGTACGTATCTCTGTTGTATTCCTACTCCTCCCTATACACACTATCTCCGATGATGATATGTCATTACTCATTCCAATCACCGAATACTCGCTGTCGAAGCCTATCGCTGAGGGTCCTCTTCGTTCGTTTTCGATCAAACTGCAAAATACATGGTGCTGGCACCAATGAGTGTAGGCGGGCCGAGGCCAGAACTGCCAGACAGAACGCAAGCATGCAGTCGAGAAGCCTCACTGAGCACATGTAAAGCCACCGGCATCATCCGGGGGACCCTGGAAATTCTAGGCGCGTCTCGATCAGCTTCGTCTTGGTACGTCTTCTCGAATCCCTTCTTCTTCTTTGCTTTGGTGATGACGCCTTCATTGACTCGCTCGTGTTGAATACCCACGGAAGCAGCGCAACGCAAATCCTGACCTTTCCTCCTTTTTCAGTAAACTTTGAGAATTCGATCCCGTTCCTGTATTACCATACTATAGGCTTTGGAAAATTCCAGCCCGGACCTTGTAGCCAGTATGAAGGACGTCAGTAAGTACTCTCGAAGTTCTCCCATCCACTCGCCGCAATGATGGCATCACAAATGCATCCCTGCTGATACGCCTCGATGCGACATATTCATTTTGTCCTTCTTCCGATGAAGCTAATGAGGTAAGTTCGTTGTTTCGGTAAATCGTCCTACCTTTGCCATGATGGCAAGCGTCGTGAGGCCGGCTCAATAAGGGTTATGAAGCTCTCGTCGTAAAGACCAACGACGGGCCGTCTGGTCAAGCCGGTCTTGCACCATGACAGCATCGGACTGTTAGGCGTCGAAGAACGCGTTCAGCAAAGCATAGACGCTACAACAGTAATCTAGGGATAGCGTCTGAATGAGACCATCTTTTACAAGTAGTAACGCGTCGAGGAGGGGCTGGGAACCTGGAAGGCCTTTACGAAAACGGTTAGCTGAGGTTTGCCGTGCGGAACATCACAACTCGACCCATCAGATGTCTCGCCTGCTGCATCAACGGCTCAGGTTCAGTAAACTGGCGTTGTTGCAGATCAAGGGACCTTGCGAGGTCTTGACCTGTTTGGGCTTGCGGTCTGCTCACTGTCGGTCTGCTGCTGCTTGCTGCTTCGTCACGCGTCTGGCATGTTCGGCGGCAGTACTTTACCATACGGAGCTCGACGACCCTGCCATAGCATGCTAAAGGTATGTTTTGCGTCATCTCCTTGTATCTTCTGTATCTACTCGCGATTTGTGCTTGTGTTCACCTCCCATATTCTGCATGTGTATGCCTTTGTCCATCTCGACGTACTGCCGACAATGGCTAGGCTTGGCGAAACGACTGCGCATTGGGAAGAGAAGGATTCGTTCGAAGGGACCAGCCTATTGGAAGGCATACTGTAAACCTCTCACCCAGCTACAGTCGTTGCCCAGAGTTTTATCTTTGCAGTATCGTCATGCTTTCTTACCATGCTACAACCAGTTCTGTCTGCGTCCTCCTTCGTCTCTTACTACGTATCATGCAGCCTGTGGGTCTCCGTCGCGACTATTGCTTGTCGTTGTACGTTTGGCGACTCTTCCACACGAATTTTGTAGAAGCTTGGGGCAGTAGCCGCCGGTCGTTGCGGTATCCTTGTGTTCGCTGAGGATATATATGCGGGGTACAAATCGTCCTTCGCCTTTGCGTTGAGGCCACACTCATCTTGTTCTCTACGCTATATGCGGACCTTCCACGGAAGCTGGTTTGTTTCGACCCTATGTTTCCCAAGTTGAATGTGGGAAGTTCGGACACGCATCTTGCCGCGAAGAATGGTGGGAAGCACCACCGCGCCGGTTTCTGGTACTTCATATGGACGACAAAACTGGCAACGGAGTTGCTACTGCGGGTCTTCAGGCCTTGATATGCCTTGTCGGTATGGTTATTCGCTCACTATAGACTGGGAACGCCGCTGGGAGCTAGAAATGGCTCCCTTTGCCCCTCCGGGTGGCCGCCATTCTCCCCATGTCTCTCTTGTTCGGACATGCATATCTGGTGTTCTGGATGGCGTTGACCAAACCGTGTACTGTTGCGATGTCAATGTTTCGCGGCCGCCAGTGCCGGTGCACGGTCATCATAAGGAGACTTTCGCCGTTGCGGAGGAAGACGAGGTGGTGTGTCGTGACAGAAGGTCTGGGAGGTGTCAGCGTATGTAGGATGGAGTCACTGCGAGAGGTGAGCCATGAAACAGTTCACTTCTTCCTACCGCCATTGTGCGAACGCTGAAGACTTCAGGCTCGCCCAGTTAATTTCCGGCGTTGTGCAGTCTCTCGGAAGCTGAGATGCCTGTTTGTTCCGCGGTCGCTTTCCTGTCACAGTTTCTGCCATATTTCAAGCTTTCTGTGCACCATTAGCAGAGCGCCTGTCGTGCCTTCAACGATATGCCATAAGAGTCGAGGGGGAAGATACGAGGCTATGAAGCTCTTCACACCTTGGCAGAACCGGTTGCCGATGATGCGGAGATACCGTGTCGTTCGCACAGTTGCGACATGCTCGACGCCGTCTGGTGTATTCCGCGCAGCCGTTCAGGATTGAGACGCATTCAGGAGAGAAGCTCTTGATACTCTTGCTTCTTCGTTGTGATGGCGCCAGGCCGAAGCTCCAAGTTATCTCCCCGCTCCGCCCCGACTGGCTTCTTAATTGCAATTCTCTCAGCTTTATTTTCGTACCTCCTAATATCGCCGGAATCGATTCGATGCCACGGAGGCCGTATCGGAGGGGAGTCTTCCTTAACGTCGGTCGAGGTGTGTCTTTTGAGGAAGGTCTCTGCGGAAGTTCTGGGGTCACGACAAGCGCTACGGCGGTCGCCCTGGCAAATGTAAGTCAAAAGTGTTTTTAGATGCTCATACGTACCTGTAGATCGGAAAGTTCCTACCGTCTACCATTGCCTCGAATCGTACTTTCCTGCCTCAGAACTGTTCAAGGTTGTCCACATACTTGCAGCGCAGCTGGTGCTGGTGCTGGTGCTGTCGATGTATGCAATACTCCGAAGCTTGAGCATACCTTCGGATCAGCCTTTCTCGTCTTCAGCAAATTTAGAAGCCACCTCATGATGGCGAGGGCTTGGCAAGGGTCATGGTGTTGAGGGGCTGTCGCAGGTTGTCGTTAGCGTCAAAGTCAAATGAAGGTCAAAGTTATCAACACACAACGGCAAGATAGGGTTGCAAAGTCTCGCAAGGAGGATTCAATATCTTATATCTATCTAAAACCATCATTCTGGTCTTTGGATCTCTTCTCTTGGGGTCGCAGTATCTCAGTGGATGTTGCAGCAAGCTGCTCGCCGGCTATAAGCCCCTGTCTCGTCTTCTACAGTTGTGTAGGTATCGACGAACTCGTCGTCACCCCCGCTTCTGTCCAACTGTCTTATTATAAATCGAAGCTTCTGCACCACTGCCTCCCTTTCTCTTACTCTCCACATCCAAGACTGCCCCGCAATCACTTGTGTCATCTCCAACAAAGCTTCATCATTACTCACAGCGTTCGTATTACACTCTTTGGTTGTGATAAAAGTATCCCTCTTGGTCTCCCAACTATCCACCACTTTGGTTGTAGCAGCGCTGACTCTGACCTTTCCCTTCTACTTCTGCCTCGTCTGTAGCCATCTTCCACCGACCGGCATGAGCTCGAGCTCGAGTAGATCGTGAGTCCCGTCCCCTTCTTTCTCCATACTCCACTGACAATAACAACTTCGCCGGTGCTGCTATTGCGCCTTCAGCCAAGTGCCCCCCTCTAGGAGCTGAGTTTGTATTCATTACAACTACGGGTATCCTTTTCGCACACTTTGTATCCACCATATGAGTACCGACACCTCGCTCTGCTAACAATTAAGTTTTGGTCGCCGGGCGCCATGCACGACGCTCTCTTCGTCAGCAGTGGCGTTATCGTCAGGTCGATGCTACGACACCTGCCCACCAAGCGAGCAACCATTATGTTTGTTGATCGGGATGTCTTTCCCTTTGTCGCGATTCGAGACCTCAACCACTAATCTTGTTCTAGTTTCGCCTGCCCACTACCGCTCCCTCTCGCTCATAGTTCCCGTTCCCTACAACCCTCCCTCGTATCATGGCGGCAAATGCCGGACCACATGGAGCTTGCCATCATCACTTGGCGAGGTCACTTATACTTCCACGGCTCTGCAACATGACGAAGGATCTTCAGCGCGTATGTGTATCTGATCCTTCGTCGCTGGCTGACAATTTTGCAGGGTGGGATGGCAAAATCTGACTCTGGCTCCCCGTCGCCACCTCCTGTTAACGTCTCTTCTCTTCAGAGAAGGATGGCTAAAAGAGCTCCAGTATGCACCTTGGTGCATGGTGCAACGGCATCGCCCTTGCTGTCGTCGCTGGTCTTCCAAGTGGTTTCCACGACTGGGCACAAGCGATTGACACTGCTCTGCGCACCTCTCTCGCCATTACTGCTTGTCGATCGCTCCACTCGCCAGTAGTTATCGACGAGGTCCAGTCCCACTACACCCTGATCATTGTATGCCCTACTGGTTCAACAAGGACCAGCAAAAGGCGCTCACTGAGATACAAGGCGACCTGTGCGCAGTAAGTCGCATAGTGTTGTGCTGTAAGTCGCGGAAGTGGCTAGAGCGCCATCCGGACCACAAGTGATCGATGATAGTTGTCGGCCTGGAGTCTGACAGCCGGAATGCTATCCTGGGCGCAGTGAGTCGCGTAGCGTTGCAGGATGGCGGAGGCAGCCGTAAGTACACTGAGTACCTCTTGGATCTGCCACCATACTAACGAACAACAGAAGATCGCAGCCGTTGGGGCTGCTGAGGCTGCCGAAGCCTTGTGGAGAATGGTCAGATTCAGATGCGGGTTGAGGATCCGTTGCCACAGGATGAGAATCTTCTCGACTCACAACCTATCCATGACTTCACTGCTCGGACTATGGTACTTATGTTCAAAGAAAAGTTCCAGCCTCTCTTCGCAAAGGATCGGAGAGCTTGGAATCGAGCATAGTGATTCCCACATCGTCTTTCGCTGCGCCATCATCCGCTTTACCGCCCGAGACTCCTTCCTCTACCGGCAACCTCTACACGCCTCTAAGCTACGAACCGCATGCTGCTATAATTGTCAGCTCCTGCGACTATGATGTCTGCGTGTCTTCTATCGGCAATGTCGAGACGTGTGGCCCTGGGTTTCTGACCATCTCGAGCACCGTAGCTTTGCCAGATCAGCAAGGAGTAAGCAGTTTCGTGGCATTATGGCCGCGCGAAAGACATCCCGCCCATAGCAGATGAGAAGCCTTCAGAGTCCACTCTGAGGAACCCTCAACTATGATAGAGATGGTGAGTCTTCCTTTCCAACTTGCCGTTGATTCCAGTCACTAAATCTTCACAGATCCATAACTTCTACATGATCCCATGCGGTGTTCTTTGCTGGCGTGATGTGTGATGCTTTTGTCCTGGATGCAGACCGCGTTGCTTCTTTATTAATCCCGGTAAGTCGGCATGTCTCAACCTTCCATCTTGAATGCTTGAACTGACTCTTCCACTCTCTTTCCCCCCTGACAGCTCCAGGTCGGCGCTTTGTGGGGTGGTGCGATGCTCTTCTGAAGTTACTTCCTCGCAGTAGCATCAAAGTCCATATCGCCAACCTTTGAAGATTATCTCTCTCCCAAGCCCTTGATCCGATGCTAGTTGTCTTGAGTATCGCGTTCGAAAGTGGTGGCAGCAATCTTGTGAATCCCGCTTCATCTTGATCAGATGCTTACCCGGTCTTGCCCCTTCCGAGTTGGTGCTCCACGATAAGTACTCTGACGACCTCGAAACAGCAGAGTGCTAATTCTGCGCAGTTTGCCCTTTTCAAATTGTTCACACAACCCCTGCCTTCAATTTTTCCGCAGTGCAATCGATGCGCATCGAGTCGGCGCGGAGTAAACGTGGTTGTTGACATGCGTCATGCTGCGAAGCCGCGACTGCTTCATTCGCGAAGGCAAGAGCTGGAGACTAACAGGTTTCCCAACCCAACGATGACACCTCTCATGCTCCTCCAGGATTCTGATATTGATGTCGCATGTGGCTATGGTAAGCCTCATCTACCCTCTGTCATTACAAGCACACCTGTTGACATTGCTGCAGATGTCTTTTGGTCGAGCATGATCGCAGCAGCAAGCTCATAGAGCTTTCTTTCTATCGTCTTGCGTTTTTCTACTTACTCTCCATCCTCTTTGTCCAGTTTTTGGAGAATGTCATCGCCGCAGGAGGGGTAACCCCAAAATCGGGGTATCTTCCCGACTTGGCCGGATCTCTGATCGTCCCAAGGACTTTTGCACAACGCGTCAGTTCCGCCCATGTCCGTAAAGACAAAGACGACAAGACCACAGATCACAGACGTAACGATGCCATTGCGATGCGAGGTGATGGCAGGATCGCTCCTCCTCGTGTCGTGAGGTAGGTGATGGATAAGTCGCTACATCGAAGATTCGTCCGAAGCCCATCTGCACAAGCCTTGCTGACATCGACCAGCCTTCTCATTATCTGCCAATCATCCTCGATCCAGTCTCCTTACTCGCCGGCTCCGTCTCAATTGCTAGCGCGTGTCACGCGCCGCCTGTTGCCTTGATCGCCACGCACGAGCCTAAAGAGCGGTCGCTCGACAAACATCACCACAACACAATACTGGCAATATATACCGTTTTATTTGTCTATTGTTCGCCTTCGGGCATTTGGTCAATTTGAAACGATACAGAGAAGATTAGCATGGCCCCTGCACTAAGGATGACACGCTCAATCAAAGAGAAGCTACCATTTTTTTTTTTTGCGTTCTTTTTGCCCATGCATCCAGGGGGATTCGAATACCCAAGGCGACGACAGCACGGGCCTGCTGCTCGCCCTTTTTCCCCGCTCTCTTTTTGCCTTCGACGCCGGCGACATGAGTGTGGCTATACGGTTTCCAGGCTCATTGGGTATTCATTCAAGCCCACGAGTGTCTTTATATTGCATCTGCTTACTGCCGCTAACATCAAAACGCCCTTCGAAGATTATCATTACAGCCTGCTGTTGACATTGGCTCGACATCCTTACCGTCAGCTTGACATCAGTACCCCAGGAGGTATACGCAACTCCACAATGTTTGCTGTCAGCGACTCAAAGTACTGTGAAGGTAATCACGCGCTTGTCTTATCCTTTCTTTTTCATGGCTCGTTTTTGTCAGCTCCTCCTATGGTTGTCCCTTTTTTGATATTCATGCGTCCGCCTTTCCCAACCTCAACGATATTCAACGATTTGCTCTGTCTTTTGCATTTTCATCTACCACATCACCACCCCCGGGACTGTTGTTACCCATATTCCACTACCGCACGGCATCTCAGAAAGGACCTACTGCTTCACGGCGATAGTCGTGTCTCAGAAACGAAGCCAAGAAAAAACCGAATCGTATTGCTTTGTCTTCCGAACCCTTGTAGCAGGGATGGATGGTGATGCTCTGTTCCAACATTTCCACGTAGAAAATCGATATGTTCCGCCACATCTTCGAAACATGCCATCCTACGTGTGCAGGCCTTGCTCATCAGATGGGTGATTCTCATGTATCGTGTTGTAATCTCTGATATGACGAGAAGCATCCAAAAGTTGACGATATGTGAATACGAAAGCAGAAACAGCATCACAATAAATGCTGGAAGATTGTGGGTGACGATTAACATGAAATGAACAGAAAGACATTCTGCAGATTGCCGAGTGGAAATAGGCAGAACATACGGAAATTTGTACATAAGAAAGACTAAGACAGAGTATACGCATTATCAAATGACGAAGTAAACTAAAGCGTCAGGCTGGACCAGAGCGACTCCAGAACGTGGAAGAAACTCAGGTCGTAAACTACAAGAATTATCAGCGAACGTTGGGTTGCGAAGACCTCAATCGACGCTGATTGGCTGACAAGGTTGGCGCTGTGGGACCTCCGCTCCAAGATCCGCATCTGCAAATCGTCACGCCGCGACACCACCACCGTTGACGTCGGCATCACACATCTCCGCCTGTCGCAATGGCGAAGAAAGGTACGCGCTCCTGCTCTCGCACTAGATGCTCTCCTCAAACACCTGCTATACTACCCCGGCCGATCCCCAATGCGGCCGCCTGCAACGCACATCTTTGCCTGCCCGCGCTGACAATGGCACCTCACAGCAAAGTCCCGTACCATTATGGTGCGCCTGATATCCATGGCCATGACGGGCTACTACCGGACCATGCAAAGACCGCGTGCGCACCAACCGCTGAGCATGCTCAAATACGACCCAATCGGTACGACACCATCGCTCTTTCATTTCTTCGAACATCGTGCCTGCCTCATGTACAAAATCTCGCTAGGAGCCGGGCACGCGCAACTGAGGAAGAGAGTGGACTTTTTTTTACATGAAGGGAGACGCATGGAGACACAGGAACACGGCTGACAATGCACAGTGCGGAAACAAGTACTCTTCCTCGAGGCGAAACGCGGCAAGAAATAGAACAATTTTTACATCACGAATCAAGCGTACACGAATTGAGAATGTGCGGCGGGCATGGCGAACACTGGTTCAGGACTATGGAGGGGATGAGAACGGTAGAAGGAGATGGCGCATCGCAAAGATGGAGGACTCGGCAACCATGCCTACCATCTGGAGCCGCCAGCAGGCATGGAGCAAGTTGCATGCTTGCACACATATGTACTATATGGTCAGCATGGCTCGGCGTTATATACGGGTCAAGGCAGAGCATGTCTGCCACACAACACGCACAATTTCTCACACGGACTCACACCCACCCTTTTCTGCTTCATCTCACTAATCGTCCGACAATGCTCACCTTTATTCACGTCTTCTCCCGCATTCATGTCCCGATTGCCGAGACGAGGACGTCCGCCAAGGTACAGGCTCCGCCCCGCTGCTTGTCTGGCCTCTTGGCCCGACTTGGTGTGCGCGAAAAACTTCGAAACTGGGTCGGCTTGCCTAAAAAGGTCGTTCCGGCTTCGTGAAGGCTTGGACTACGTCGCCGATGGGCTCTTTACCAGCCACAAATTACCCCATACATGGTTTTGCTAAGACTCTGGGGTTGCAGGTGATGGGAAATGGCGGAGTCGGCATCACTCTTGGTCTCATCTGTCTACTGGCAGGATAGCCGAGCTTGCGGAAGCGCAAAAGTATAAGATGGTGCTGATCGGTAGCAGTTTAGGATGTTTATGAGCTAGAAGTTTATTGACTATTACAGTCTCAATATGGATCCCGAGAAGATTGACGAGAAACGCTCGGAACATTCCCCTGACACACGCATCGACAATCTCAACTATGAAAACTCCTCGTCGTCACAGGCCGCAATCGAACAACAAAAGTTAGCATCACAACCATCCGGCATACTAGGGACCTTCTCCAAACTTGGCAATCTACCAGAATGGCACGTCCCAGGATTTGGTCTGCTGCAGGGGAAGGCGCTGAACAATGCCATCTCCTGGTGCTCCTGTCTAGCCTTCCTCATGTTCGGTTACGATCAGGGTGTTCTGAGCGGAGTCCTTACCCTCGATGATTTCCAACGCCACTTCCCTCTCATGACACCTCGCGATCGTCCAAACAACCTTTGTTGGCTCGATGCACCGACCAACACCATACCCGACCCGAACATGTGCACAGGTAGCCCGAGTATCCTGTCTGCGTGTGTCGCGGTCTATCAAATCGGATGTTTCCTAGGCGCTGTTCTCATCTTGTTCTATGGCGAGACTTGGGGCAGAAAGAGCAGTAGTTTCTGGGGCAGCTTCATCATGATTGTTGGAACCATCATTCAAGTAGCCGCAGGAGGTACTTCTGGAGGCGGGGTCGACGGATATGCTCTGCTGAGTATTGGACGTGTTGTTGGTGGGATCGGTAACGGCATGGTCACAGCGAGTGAGTACTGTATTCATAACGACGTATTGCCGTCAGCTAAACATGTTTGCAGCAATTCCCACGTGGCAGTCCGAGTGTGCGAAACCCGAGAAGCGTGGACGTTTGATCATCACTTCGGGAGCAGTCATCGTCGCAGGAGTTATGATATCTTACTGGGTCACCTATGGCTTCTATTTCCTCCCATCAGGCGAGTCTTACTCGTCTGTACGCTGGAGGTTTCCCATCGCATTCCAGTCATTTTTCACAGTCCTCGTCATGTACGCAACTCTCCCATACCAGATCATTGCGCTCTAGATGATACTAATAGCATCCAGGATCGGCCTCTGTTTCCTACCAGACTCGCCACGATGGCTTGTAATGCGCGGTCGCCACGCCGAAGCTCGACACCTACTCGCTCGCCTTGCCGATGCACCAGTAGACTCGGAGGAAGTAGACACGGAACTCACGAACATCAAGGATGCGCTTGAAGCGCAAAGCAAGGACGGCCCATTCAAAATGAAGGAGCTTTTGTACAACGGGCCAAGTCAGAACCTAAGGCGTACGCTGTTAGGTGTTGCCGCACAGTTCTTTCAACAGATATCCGGGATCAACCTCATTGTACGTACATCGTCACACACTAGTTCGGAGAAGAGACTAACCCAAGTTCCTCCCAGACCTACTATGCGACCTACGTTTTCGAGAACTCGCTTGGTTTCGGACCAGACATGTCTCGTCTCTTGTCCGCCTGCAATGGTACCGAATACTTCTTGGCTGGTCTGGTCGCCATTCCATTGATCGAGCGTGCTGGTCGCCGCAAACTCATGCTCTTTGGTGCATTCGGCATGATGGCTAGTATGGCTATCATGAGTGGTATGACATCGACAGCCAGCGAGAATGAGTTCGGTGCTCCAGTTCTAGAGCCCAAGTACGGTATCACAGCTGTCGTATTCATGTTCGCCTTCAACACCTTCTTTGCCATCGGTAAGCAGCATCTCCTTGGTAGAGCTTCGATATACAAGACCATTTTACTAATCCTTCACACAGGTTGGCTGGGAATGACGTGGTTGTACCCTGCTGAAATTACCAATCTCCGCATCCGCATTCAAGCAAACGCGCTCTCCACATGTTCCAACTGGATCTCAAACTTCCTCATCGTTATGATCACCCCACCTGCCTTCGCCAATCTACAATACAACACGTATACCATGTTCGCCGTCTTCAACGCTTGCCTTATTCCAAGTGTCTACTTCTTCTTCCCAGAGCCAAAGGGTAGGAGTCTAGAAGAGCTGGATGTCATCTTTGCAAGTGCGCATCATGAGGGCATCAACCCGGTCAAGCAAGCGAAGGATATGCCGAAGTTGACGGGGAGGGAATTGGATGTACAGATTGCGAGATATTTCGGAGGGGATTTTGAGGAGGCGAGACGAAGAAGTGTTGTGAGTGCTGGGATTACTACATGATGTGACGCGGGATGTGTAGGTGGGCTCTCTTCGGAGATTTAGTAGTAAAGCACTCTATCCAACACAGTTCTCACTGCTGGGGAATTAACAGATAATGGAGCTAGCATATTGTAAACTGGCGCTCCAACACGGCCACGCAGACCCATGCGCTTGGAGCCGCGTCGTGCCGGATTGATGCATGTAAGAAGTTGTGCAGTTTTGATCGTACCCAAGTGTGCCCAGGAAGTCGCGAGCTGGCCACTGCTCCAGCTATTGCCAAACGACCATGCTGACAGATTGCGAATGGTCCGTGGATCCGGCACATCTCTCCAATTCATGCCGTATCAGACTTCCTGATAGCACCAAGGTAACGATAAAGTTCTATAAAACCCGGTGAACACCTACTGATGGGAGCTAGCGCGGTACTATCTCGGCTGCCGCGTGGGTGGGGCTTTTCCGGCCTCTTCCCCTCTTTCCTCCTCCACCCAGACCGTGTCTGACCGTGACAACGACATCCAACTCCGTCCCAACTTCGTGTATCATGCCAGAATCATGACGTCGATAAGCTTTGCCCGCCCCGGCAACAAGCAAAACAAGCCTTGGCAGATGGCCTTGTTCCGCCGCTGTGCATAGCGAGCTTCTACTTTGGGTAAAGAGCTTACAGGGCCATGCGCGCTGCAGCAAGCTTGAGCTCGTTGACGTGAGGCTTGAACTTCAGCGCAAAATTGTCGCAAACATCTCGACAAATCGGCCTTATTCGTACTGTTGAAAAGAGTTATGCCGGGAAAAGAAGGATCAGCAAGGGGAGACTGCAGTTACTTGTTGCATCCCTTGCTGACAATGGTAGGGTAGAGTGACACGACAAGTCATCTATCGGTTACGTACCGGTACAGCCTAGCCGAGATTCCCAACTATTCTTCTCCCACGCACAGCCCGAGGATCTTCAGAGACAGATGTTATCCGTCCAATGGTCGTGTACAGAGCATCCGCAGTTGCCTGATGCAGACTAATTTCCTGTGCGCGACCATGTAGTCTGACGTTGGCCCCGACTTTGAGCAAGGGATTACGAGGCGGAAGGTTGCATGCAACGCTGCTTGACCTCGTTCTGGGGCAGTATTTATAAAGATGCAGAACCCGCTACTTAGCTGGGCAAGCACTTGCTGAAGTCTTGGTTACTCTTTTCCCCGACAAGCTTCCCAACATGGCGCGCTTCACACAACTCGCCACCGTCTTGGCGGCTGCGTCTCTGGCCAGCGCCCGCGCACCTTTCATCAAGGAGCGCCAAGTGCCCGCTGATCCTACTGGCGTCACGACAATTACATCTGCCGCAGGTGCTAAGATCACGTACAAACAGCCTGGTAAAGCAGGTGTGTGTGAGACTACCGAAGGTGTTGACGACTATGCCGGCTACATCAGCCTCAACCCAACCACCAACATGTTCTTCTGGTTCTTTGAGGCTCGAGAGAATCCGACAGAGAAGCCACTGGTAAGCAGAATCTCTGGGAGAAATTATAGTAATCTTCACTGACCATTTCCCCAGACGCTGTGGCTGAACGGAGGCCCTGGAAGTGACTCTCTCATCGGACTGTTCCAAGAGCATGGTCCCTGCAACGTTACCGAAGACCTGAAGACACAGCTGAACCCCTACTCATGGAACGAGCACAGCAACATGCTGTACCTCTCACAGCCCGTGGGTGTAGGGTTCTCTTACGAGACCACTGAGACAGATGAAGATGGCCGCTACTCACTTGTCGATCCTGACACCGCAAACACGACCGATGCTGCAGCCATCGGCGCATGGCATATTCTGCAGGCTTTCCTGGAGCTGAGCCCACAGCTCGACCCTGATATTACCAACTTCACTTTCAACCTCTGGACTGAGAGGTAGGTTCTCTCTGAGTATGAAATTGAGCATATTGCTAACCAAGTTACTAGCTACGGAGGTCACTACGGCCCAGGTTTCTACAACTACTTCTATCAGCAGAACCAGAAAATTAAGAATGGCTCAACCGCTGGTGTCGAAGTTCAGATGGACACTCTTGGTGTTATCAACGGTATCATCGACGAACAGATTCAGGCACCTTACTACCCTGAGTTTGCTGTTAACAACACTTACGGCATCAAGGCGGTCAACGACACTGTCTACACCTTCATGAAGAACGCCTACTACATGCCTGAAGGTTGCCACGACCAGATCGAATACTGCAAGCAATCAGACCGCACTACCGAAGATGGCTACCTCACGTGCGCAGAAGCCACCAACCTCTGCCGATCGTTGGTAGAAGAGCCTTACTACGCATTCGGAGGCAGGGGTGTTTACGATATCAGGCATCCTTACGACGACCCTACGCCGCCTGATTACTTCGAGTACTTCCTGAACTTGGCCTCTACCCAAGAGGCAATTGGCGTGAACATCAATTACACTAGCACCAACGCCGCAAATGTGTCACGCGGTTTCGCTTCGACAGGTGATTTCGTCTTCCCCAACTTCCTCGAGGACCTTGAGGAGATCCTGGGCTACGGTGTTCGCGTCGCTCTTCTTTACGGTGACGCCGATTACATCTGCAACTGGTTCGGTGGTGAAGCCGTCTCTCTAGCCGTCAACTACACCGACTCCGAGGCTTTCCGCGCCGCTGGTTACACCCCTTTCCTCGTCGACGGCGTTGAATACGGAGAGGTTCGCGAGTACGGCAACTTCTCGTTTACCAGGATCTACGAGGCCGGCCACGAAGTGCCATACTATCAACCAGTGGCTAGCTTGGAGCACTTCAAGCGTGTGTTGGATCATGTTGTTATTGCAGACGGTAGCCAGGTTGTCACGGATGACTACAGCACCAACGGCACGGCGAAGGCTACTCACACTGAGTCCTTTGTTCCACTGCCGCCTACCAGCACACCCAGTGCTGTGAGCAGGGTTAAGCGAAGCACTGCATAGAGCGGTGGTGAACGTGCTCATGCCGCATACTTATGCCAGGTACTATGCCACCCAAGCTACGACAAATGAAATGAGTACTAGACAACACACCGATCTGTGCATAGATTATTTTCTGCAGGCTGTGAGAAGTGATGATCACTTGAACTGACTGAAACCTTAATTAACGATCAGTTCCTCAGGCTTTTTGGGCGGCATCCCATGACGTCACGTGTCTTGATGCTGCACGAGCTGTGCACGTTTCCTCTGCTTCAACCACCATCACGATTTTAGCTCCCCACGCATATGTGTCGCAGCAGGTAAAACGCCTCTTCAAAAACAAGTTAGATATGCGCATGTCCAATTCTACGCGAATGGATCACCGCACCAGCTCCCGACGCGTAGGGTCGCTAACGCGCAACGTCCGCGTGCCTTAGTTCAGCCAGGTCCTAGAATGATCACCAATGCTGGTGTCAGGTACAGAGCGCCTTGCGTGAAACGTCAACAGATACATTTGGCAATGACAGGTTACAAGCGATAGGGTTCCTTTCCCTCGGTAACTTTTCCACCTCTCTCGCAGCAGGCGATCCGCAATGCCCTTCCTATACCGACCCAGTCCTGGAAATCCCTTCGAGTGAGACATGTCTGTCTTGCGCATGCAGCCAACGCCACCAACCCTGGCATCACGGTGCCGATTCAGGTACGACGAAACGCCGTCGTCATTGAGAGCCAACGGATGAAAAGGCTGCTATTGCGCCTAAAAACAATGCCTCATTTCCCACTTTGGCACATCCTTAGCCCTAGGCTACGCGCAATGGTTGCACAATGGGCGAGTGACATGTATACCCTATTGCAAGATCAGGAAGATTCAAGCGAAGCTGCATGCGGCGCGGACATCCTCACGGTGTACGAGTAAGTTTCTCAAGGTCACTGGATACGGCACATGTTGACAAAATGCAATAGGCGCCTATTTGTAGACGAGCGCGTATGCGAAGACCCCACCATCGAGGACGGAAGAGACACATCCCAGCCATAACTATCGAATGATGGTTCGGGCAACGACAAGGCATCTCACGGTAACGACATCCTCTTACCGGCAAGAGGGCGTGTTGACAAAACACCATGAACAGGCGACCCTGACAACGAGTACGAGGTTCCACGCAACTGCTCAGCTTGGCAAGCGTATGAAGCACCCGTATCGTATTGTGCAGCTATTCGCCCGTCGCAATCATTTTGAACACTGTCGTTCGATCTACTATCGCAGCTGGCGGACTCATCATTAGCAGGTTCTGATACCCAGCTGGTATGCCTTTGGCTAGTAGCTGTTCTGCTGCTATCGGCGCAGCATGCTATGCGCCACCGGTAGACGTGGACGCTAGTCTCCTGCCTGTGAAATAGGGCGCTGTTAAACATGGTAAAGTAGGTGGCAACCGAGAAGAACAGACCGGAAATTGTTGCTTCTCAAGCTTTCCAGTTGAGACGCCTATCTCGGGGCGGCTGTATGCCTAGAGCACAGTCCCTAACCCTGACTTTCGTTTCCACTCTGCGCAGATTGCGAACTAGTAACTGGTTTTTATACGCGCAAAACTCTGGGACTATCGAGATGTCATTGCTCACTTTTTCCGCAAATATATGAAACATTCAGTTCAGTCCTCGCCATGCGCACCTCTGTTGTTCACATCCTCGCATACGCTGTTTGGAAGTAGTCCTGGCCCGTTCTGTCACCTCTGAACCCTGTCATTCAGTCAACAATTCTGTGGTCTGCTGGTGAGGACCTTCACTAGAGCCTATCGCAGAAAACTCGCTCCCGACAGGTGAGAGAAGCCGTCCGTGCGCAAATGGATCTGTTCGACCTTGATCTCCTTCGCCTTTCGAATTGTTTGCTAGTATAATCAACAACACGCAGCTCAAGAAAGATTCAAGCCCTTATTCATTGACACACGTACCCCGACCATGACCTCAACTTCGCAGTTGAACGACCCCAGCATCCCGGATCCTGGCGGTGCATGCTTCTATCTCGACATTCCTCGCGAGTTACGAGACATAATTCACTCGTATGCCTTGACATATAAAGGTGGCCTGGCTTGTGCACCGAACGAGCTTTGTCTCTCGACATTTAAGACTCCTTGCATGCCTGACCCATGGGGCGACTTTGGCTTGTCGAAAGCTCCTGCGCTTTGGGTCCCGAAACTCGAGCCCATGTGGCCAAACGAACGTCCACCGAAGCGAGAAATTGAGGGAGTTACAACGCTCGGCGATCCCAATCCACTTCGCCTAGTTTGTCACCAGACTCGTGCTGAGACACGCGGGCTCTTGTTAGACTTGAACAGAATTCGCTTCTGCTATCGAGTTGAACACCGCAAGTTCTATGAATACGAATTCAGCAGGGAGATCGATATGAACGAGTTGTTCCGATTGTTCTATCAACAATGCAGCGCGACCAACAAGAATCGCCTCCGCCGGATAGAAATCGAGCGGACCTGTGACGCGATCATACAAACACCCGAGGCCCACAAAATCCTGGCAGGCTATATGCGCGACTACGCCCACCACAAAAACATCTCCTTTCTCTTTCGCCTTATACTAGTTGGTACCTTCTCATGGGGTTTTTATAAGGAATTGACCCAGGTCTTCAGTCTGGTTTTCAAGGGACCACAAACTAGCCGTTTCGCTGCAGCATCGCTCAAGGAAGGAAAGGAGATACCTCAGGAGATGAAAATAAAACTTCTTAGACGGTATGGTTCGGCAACGGTACCACATGATGTGCAATTCTTGATACAAGAGGGTTCTTCAGAGCACGTGGTGAAAGCGTAGCGTGGGGCGCAGTGCGACAAAAGCGTATCGAGGTCGAGCGACAGGAAAAGCTCTGCACGTGTGTATGAATACATGAGCGAAATGAAAGTACTTTAAAGATGGTACCTAGATGACGTTGGGGTGGTGCCTGGATCGGATTTGCGGTGGAGATGGGGGGTGAACTTGATTTTTCTAAAAGCTTTATCGGTTTAGTCGTCGGCTGTAGAGATATTGAAATGAGTCATATCATGGAGCTCTGATACAGGTACTGAACCAGGTTGTCATCGCGGCTTATCATGATGTCGTTCGTGTGCGTATACTTTACAATGTATGTTAAGATTCGTGCACGCCAGCTTACCACAACACTACGCTGCCGCACTATTCTCTGCTAGCACACCATTACTTGTCGCCATGTCTCCCATAGCCTTGCCACTCTGCTTCTGCTTACTCTTGAAGTATTGTGTGAAATCGTGTCTAACCTGATGAATAGTCTCTGCGATGCTCTTTCCCCACACCGGATCATCACTTGCCTTTTCACACATCTTGAAGAATTCCTTCCTCTTCTCTTCATGCGTTGGGTCCCAAAGGCGGTGGAAGTTTTCGCGCGACATGGGATCGATCATCTCGCGCCAGATCTTGATACGGATTTCGGAGTATTTATCGAGAATAGATTCGTCAAGTTCGTCGAGATGGATTCCAGTGAAGCAGTCGTAGAGGGAGCCAACGTCGGCGAAACCGCCCGTCAAACCCATGCCGCCGCTATTGTTATGTTAGTAGAACAAGCGCATCAAGGGTGTCGATCACTTACAATGGGTTACATAGATGCGCCGCGTCAGCGACTAGTATTACCTTTCCTACACGGAAACTGGGTGCGCATCTTTGTTGGAGTTTGTAAGGACTCATACTGACGAGCTTGTACTCATCAGGCTTTGGATGACCAGGAAGAATTTGCTCATAACGGAGCGGTTGGCGTTTGATGAGTTCTTCTTTCGAGAGGTCTTCAGAGTCGCCGTATGTCACTCGCCATAAGCCGTCGTTTGTGATCTTGGCAGCCATATACCAATCCGTTGGGTGAACAATGAAGTTGGAATCCCAGTAGTCGTATCGCTCATCGAATGGTAGGTAGACCTAACATGTTAGCTGTCGAATCCATACTCAGATGCTTCAATCATACATTAGTAGCAACAATTTGCTGCTTCAGCGTCTCTCCTGGATACTCTTTTCCAAACAATGCAGTGCGAACACCACTTGATGCGCCATCGGCGCCTACCAGATAATCACCTGTGATCCTCTTTTTCTCGCCATCGCTCGTTTCCACGACCGCTGTAGCGCCATTATCATTTTGTTCTACGCCGACCAGCTTATGACCCCACTTGATTTCAGTATTGGGGTAGCTTTCGAAATGCTTCACGAGGAGCGGACCTAATTGATCTAGCGGCAGCACCACCATTGAGTATTTTGAGTCTTCTGGCTCGCGGCCCATGCCAGCCAAGAAGGTTGTGTCCTGCAACCGCCAACATACACCTCTGGGGTGAAGCCCGACTGCACGTACATCGTCTATGATGCCGGCGCGATGGAAGTCGTAAACTGCTGAAGGTGCATAATGAGCCGCTCTTGGGTTGCCATTGATCTTGGTATCTGCATCGAGGATCGTAACTTTGATGCCGAGATTTTTCGCAAGGAGGACTCCGAGCAAAAGACCGGAGGGACCAGCTCCGACAATAACGACCTGGTAGTGTTAGCGACAGGCGAGACGCTCACGTAGGAACAAAGCAAACATACGTGATTGAGTTTCGGCATGGTTACGAATCGGCACTACTGCATGTGAATACTGTGAAAGCATCTGCTAACCAGATGTCATTCTTTAAGATGACATGTCCCTCGTGGTGGGGCTGTCAAATCCCCGCCTCCAAGGTTCTCCATCCTCATCTCAGAGACATTCGGCTGTGATGCAGGTGCGGGGAAGAGCTCGAGTGCCCCACATAGCAATCGACAAGAGGGGAAGGTGCACGTGATGCACTGAGTAATGACAGTGGAGCCAAGGGTCTAGGAGGGGTCGAATGCAAGGCTGGCGAAGCGTGAGCTATGACGTAGCCGCTGGAGAGGTGAGCGCGCGTCTCCCCTGATGATCGCAACTCCGGCATCAGACTGGACCCTGATACATACATACAAGCCATGGTTGCTAGAGCGAGCACGTCTTACGAAGATGGTGACGAAGACATTGCGATACACCCGGAAGTGTTGGGAAGACGCGCTCCACGCTATTGATACCTCCAGGTCGCGAACATTGTGGAGACTGGAGACGCTCGTATTGGCTGGTGGTGAGATACGAACAGAATTAGAACACACCATCCACGCGCGACGTCATGGCCATGGCAAGTCGCCGTATTGATCCTACAGGACTCGTACACGGCCGCCTCAGCATGTGACGATGCGAGCGACACCGAAACATCCGCTCCGATCTCCTGGCGTCGCATTGTTGTTGGGACCTTGGGAAGCGCAGGGACTCCCGGGCTTGCGAAAATAAGCTTTACCGGCCCTTCAAGGGTTTTCAGCCTCTTGTTCGCCACTATCGCAACCACGAACAGCCGCAACACCATGCGACTAATCTTTTCATCGTGGTATGCGTTCAACATATTTCTTTTCAGCTCGCCAACGCTGTTATGACTCGATGGTACAATATACCTAGGCGCTGCTTGATTCTCGATCATCGCCTAGGAGCCATAGATCCACTCATGTTATCATAGCACACCAAGCTCATTCCCACGATGCCCCTAGGTTTGCGACGATTGGGCCGACGCGCGCTGAGAGGCTTGGACGACCCAGTTATACCCACTGTCTCCTTATCTCGGTTTCCCTCAACCAGACTGATCCCAAGCTTTGGCACGGCCATGTCCACTTTTCTTGCTGCGCCGACAGCCGACCTGGGTATCGATGACTGCAAATCTTGGCTGTAGCGGTGTCCGCGCTTCGTCCAGTGTCGTCAGTCAAGAGCTTCATCAAACGTTGTGCAATCCTGCGGGCGGGAACTCGCTATGAAAGTCGTGGTACGCCGACTCCTGACGGCCTTCAAAAATCTCTGCGTCTCCGGCGAATACAGGCATTCTCATACTCAAACCACTTCGGCGCACTTGCGGCTCTTTACCATCGGACCTCGCGGGTTCCCTAAAATACTTACAACGCCAGTGCAGCCACTCCCGCTGCAGCGATCAAGGTTCTGGAATTTTGGGCTACGATTCTGGTGCCTGTCGCTGATTTTGGCGCTCCCGACGTTCCATGTCCCCTGCAACTTCCGCTCCACCCTCCCTTTGCTAAGCTGACGAACCCGACACCGAACCTTCTGGCCGCTGCGTTTCGACTGGAAAATTGGGTCGGCACGCCACTACAGAGTTTGAGAACTCTTCCAGTGACGTTCGGGACCGTGTGTGGTACACCCGCACTAGCGGCTCTTATCAATCCCACACACACACAACGTTGAGACTGCCCACTTTCCATTGCGATCTGAACCAGCAGCTCAAGTCAACGACTCAGTCATTCTTCGATCTTTGTCTCTACCAAATCGTTATCCATTTTTCCAGGCACTCTCATTACACAGACCACGCCGTATATCCATACTCTGTGCGTTCCTTGGGACTCACGATCCTTCAAACATCCACCTTTAGGTGCATGAACGGTCCCAGATATCAGCCTGCCTATTCAGAACTACCGGCGATTTAGCGCACAAATCGGACACACCACGTGCAACGTTATCTGCACCTAGTCGCGGAAGTCGGTGCGTTGGTAATTATTGCGAGCGCACTGGCGACTCCTGGCGCGCCCAACTAGCCGTCCGATAGTGCCCAAGAGAATACAATATCATCATGAACCCCTTTCAAGATGCTGGCCCATCTCGTCAGGCCAACTTCGAACCCGAGGACCAGATGTCCGCCACTCCTGGTAGGAAACGTGTTGGTTGGCATGAAGAACATCCCGTACGCTCACAACAATCGCCCGAAGACACAGGCTCTGGGGGGCATAACACACCCCTCGAACGGTCGGATGTGTCACATGATGACCTCCAGAAGATCCGTGCCTCGCTACGTCTAGCTCTTGGGGATGAGCATCTACCGGAAGAAGTCATACAGGAACCTATCGCTGCTCCAAAAGATGTACAGAAGCCTCGCCCAGCCATCCGGAAACCAGGTCCCCGAACGCCACCTCCGGAATTCTATCTCAACGACCAACCAAACCCATTTGACGACAATGCGGCGACCACTCCTTCGGTTGGTTATGACCTCAAGGAGAGATCAGGACTTGCTGCTCAACGCCGCGCAGCGAGACTGTCCAAGTCTGTCGGTACTTACTCCGCCCCAATATCGCGACGCAACTCTAAGGAGATCGCGTCTCCACCTGTCGAACTCCAGAACCTTTCAAAGCAATATGAATCGGTGGGCGAGACCACCGATGATGACGAGGACGACCCCAGGTTCATGAAGCGTGCATCCATGATTCTTCGTCAGCACACGATACGAGCTGCTAACGGCCAGCCTGCATTAAGCGCTGAAGATTTGTATCATACCGAAGCACCGCTCGCGTCAGGCCAAGTGACACCAGACGCTATGGACGTTGAGGATGAGCATGTCGTTCGTCCTACCAAGTACCGAACGGGAGTGTTGGGTACTCTCATGAAAATGTCTTCTAATGCAGCACCACCATCAACATCGCGCCGACCCGTTCACCATCGAACTCTGAGCACTGGCACGTTCAGCGGAGCGTCAACAGCGGCCAACTCTCCGAACCCATCGCCGCCCGCCTCTGGCTACTCGACCCCACGCGGAGGCCGTCCTTGGTTCCGAAGTCATCACAACAACCAGTCAGCAACGTCCATCTCGCAATTAGTCGGATCCTCAGCTCACAGCTTTGCTGCACCTGCGCAACAAGAGCTTGGTCAGGAGTTTGATCAGCAATACAAGAAGACAGCCCGTCCTGGCATGGGCAAGCGTTCCAAGTCTGACGAGTCTATTTTACCGTTCAAGAAGAACAAGAGGAAGGAAGAGGAGATCAAGATCAAAATCCATCTTGCTGGTACACTTGCGCGTCAGAACTATCTGCGCAAGCTGTGCAAAGCGCTCATGATGTACGGAGCTCCTACTCATCGACTGGAAGAGTACCTGAACATGTCGGCTCGTGTCTTGGAGATCGAAGCACAGTTTCTATACATGCCTGGTTGCATGATTGTTGCATTCGACGACTCTTCAGTTCACACTAGTGAGGTTAAACTCGTTCGAACTAGCCAGGGTGTTGATCTTGGCAAATTGCGAGATGTGCACGAGATCTACAAAGATGTGGTCCATGATAGGATAGGTGTGGAAGAGGCCACACCTCGACTGGACGCTATCATGGTGCGCAAAGATAAGTTCAACAAGTGGCTTCGAGTGCCGATGTACGGCTTAGCCTCCGCGACTGTCGGACCTTTCGCGTTCCAAGCTCGATTTATCGACCTGCCCTTCTGCTTCCTTCTGGGATGCCTCATCGGATGGCTTCAACTTGTCGTCGCACCTGGAAATGACCTTATCAGCAACGTTTTCGAGATCGGAGCATCGGTTATCACTAGTTTTGCTGCGCGTGCTCTTGGATCCATCCGACACGACGGGAAAGAGATCTTCTGCTTCAGCGCTATGGCTCAGTCTAGTATTGCCCTCATTCTGCCCGGTTTCATGGTGCTTTGTGCGTCGCTAGAGCTGCAGAGCAAGCACATTGTCGCTGGGTCTGTACGCATGGTGTATGCCATCATCTACTCTCTCTTCCTTGGATTCGGTATCACGATTGGTACTGTACTATATGGCATGATGGACGGCAATGCAACCTCCCGGACGACATGCCATGAGCCCATGTCAACGAACTTCTACTACCTCTTTGTTCCTGCGTTCGCAATCTGTCTACAGATTGTTAATCAGGCCAAGTACAAGCAGATGCCTTCCATGACAGTTATTGCTTTCATCGGCTGGGTCATCAACTTCCACAGCTCAAAGTACTTCAAGAGCAATGCGCAAGTCAGCAACACTCTCGGAGCACTAGGGATCGGTATCGCCGCCAACGCTCATGCGCGTTTTGGTCGTCACATCGAGAACTGGAGCTTAGACATGTGGGAGAACAAGATACGACCCGAGTTGGTCAAGGTGCGTAAGGTGTATCGCAGGAAGAGCCATGGACCCATCCGTACGCCTAAGGTCGAGCGATCAGCTTATGACCCAACGCACAACAGCAGTGGCCATACATCGCGCGCCAGCTCAGTCAGCGACTTCACACCACACACCAGGAAGATCGGCTACGGTCTTGCCGCAGCTGCCATGTTGCCAGCCATCTTCGTACAAGTTCCATCAGGATTGAGTGTCCAAGGTTCTCTCGTATCGGGTCTGACTTCAGCCGACCAGATCGTGCGCAACAGCACCGGCAACGCTACAACACTCAGCAGTGCCGATGTAGGCAGCAGCACAACTATCAACTCCATCGCTCTAGACGTCGGTTTCTCGGTTGTTCAGATTGCGATCGGTATCACTGTCGGTCTGTTCTTGGCCGCGCTCATCGTATACCCGTTGGGTAAAAGGAGGTCGGGATTGTTCAGTTTCTAGGCACGGCTGCGCATTACCCGCCTCTTGCATATTTCCTTGCTGTTACCTTGCCGATTGGTGAAGTCCGAATCGGTTCTGCTGCATGGGAGACAACGTCATCCATAAAATATCATAGAACGCATTTTCCTCTGTTGTATTTTCGAAGCAAGCGAGTCGAGCATTTGCAGGAGTTTGGGTTGTTGTTTTTCCGTATTTAGGGCAGCTTCTGTGAAGCTATGACATAGACCTAGACACGATTCCCATAATGTATTACTATCCTCGCCGCTCTCGGGCTGAGCCTCTTTCTTCAAGCATTCTAACTCATCACCCACGATAAGGAGATCATCATGTGACGGCTGCGTAGAGGATGTGTTGCCGAATCTGGTATAGCGGAAACATGCTGCCGCAGCCCCTAACTCGGCATCATCACATATCGGACTCTGCAATACTAGCACAATCTAGCAATGCTTTTTACTTATATAAGTGTATATCAGTCACATCAAGGTTTTCAACTCTGTATGTTCGTATCTTTTACTCCCCCTATAATGTAGTATGGATAGTAGAGGAGTGCCGAGGCGCATTTTTACCCCGCAAGCTGCACTTGCCAGACCATCATCCAGTAACATGCCAAACGCCGAAGCGTGTACCCACCTAACATGTCAGGCGTGCACACTGCGGCACGCCGATGTGGCTGATGACGCGCTGTCGAATGGTTGATGACACGTAGTGTCTGGTCTTGGAATTCTACTCTGGGTCTGTGGCTGTTAGCTCTCGATGACGAAGCTCGCGACTTATATATGACACCGTGCGCGACTGTGCAGCAAAAGCAACGTCAACACAGCAATTGCGAATACGCCTAAAGCTGAAACCGATCGCATCAGCTTTGTTGCCCCCCAACACAACTCGCCGACCAAGCTACCTTTCTCGCTCAACGCGCAACCCAACACAATGACTGTAACGCAAATAATCCGCTTCCATGCTCACTCAGCTTCCGAAGCCGACGACCAAGCCAACGCAGCCGTCAAAGCCCTCAAAGGCGCCAAGGCTCCAGAAAACTATGTCCTAGGAACCCAAATCCAGGACAAGCGTAACTTACAGTTGAGCTCGGAATGGCACGACCCCAAAGCCGAATCCTCAAAGGAAGCAGAAGCGTACCGCGAAACCGTCATCAAAAGTCTTGGAAATCCCGAGAAGATGTTCCATGTCTCGTTCAAAGATGGACAGTCGGCTTTTGACAACGGCGGCCCTCTATCCTCACCTTTGGTCGAGTTTGTGCAGATTTACTTCCCGACCGACAAGGTCACAAAGGAGTTCCGGGATAAGATTGAAAAGGAATTCCAGAAGTTCGATGATATCTGCACTCCGGCCGCCAAGGGTAATGGCGCAGTAACATATGGCTGGGTGTTGGAAGAGCAGGAGCACAAGGATGTGAAGAAGTCCAAATGCTTCCTTGTGGCGAGAGGATGGGAGGGTATGCAGTATTTTGAGGATGTAATCAAGACGGACGAATACAAAGAGGCAGTGCAAATCCTCATGGGATGGCAGGCGCCGTGGGATATGTGGCACGTCAAGAGGGAGTTTTGAAGGAAGAAACATATTGTGTGCTGTCGTCAGTTATAAGCAACGTCATGCGACGTGTCCTCGGCGGACACCACATATACACCGATTATATCTATTCCATACTGTCCATCACAATGGTTGGTTCTAACGGCGCAGTCTTATCCTGGCTATGCGCCTTTTGGTATATTTTTGGTTGCTCCTGCTCAATAGGTGACTTCTTGTGGGGACGTTATCAAGTACAAATACATGTTATACAGCTTGCGATGCAATGGTCACATCTTGTGATCATAATACAGCATTCAAAGCAACCTGTTTCTGCGCCTAAAAGACCACCCAAACTAGATACGAAAGACAGGATAATACAAGAATTGCGGAACTCCAGCTATGAAGGAGTTTGAAAGACAATCCTTGGACTGTGTCGGACGTCATGTACAGAAGGAATCGTTTGCCATCTAGGATTCTGTGTGCCAAGTGGTGTGTCGTTAGGCGAGTAAGGCGCATCTTGTGCTATGTCTACTCGAGCATGTGATCGCATATGACTTGGAGGAGGTGATCTCGGTGTATCAATCGAGCGCATCGATGACAACTCATAGTTTTCGACCACCGATTGACAATCTGGCGAAGCGTTTACGGGTGAAGGCAAAGGCGAAGAGTATTTTGTTTTCGCGCTGCTGAACCATCCATTGATGGCTGCACCCATCGGAGACGTTAGATCTTGTATGGAACCTGGCCTAAAACCTCTCCCATCATGTGCGGTTATCAGTGGTGGCGTCTGAAGATGCGTTGTAGTACTAAATTTTGGGGGTCGTGCACGACTGGACGACCGTACCAGCAGCGACCCAGGTCCGGTAGGACTTCTAGGGAATGAGAGTTCTGGCGACTCTGTGATCCTGGGTATTGTTTGCGATTGCATGGATTGAATAGGTGGTATGATAGAAGTCAGATATGGGCTTTTCTGGGGTTGCGATGAGTTAGAAGAGGAGCCATCAGGCGGAAATAGCGAAAGGCGTTGTGTGTACGGTGTGGTCAAGGCTGGTGTAGGAGTGCGACTGGAATAGCACGAGCTTGGAGAAGTCGGCATGGGGCTATGGATTCTCGACGGTGGGCTGGGTGCCTTCCTGGAAGGAATGAATGATTGCAAGAGCAAAGCTTGCGGCGATGTGCACGATGGTGACAGTGCGTCTGAGCTCTCTGTTCGTGGACTTGCCCAATCCAAACTTCGTTGCCGTTGAGGATCCCGACATGGTATATAAATATTCAGGCCGCGTACGCTGGCTTGTCTACCCAGCGGCGTATGTGGTCTCGGAGGTGGTAAGGGCGACAGAGGTCTTGAGGTGGAAGGATAAGGCGAGACTTGCGATAGATGATGGTATTGGACACCTGCGTCTGCAGAAGAATCCCAAAGATCTAGGGATTTCGTCTTGCTATGTCGGCGAAACCACAGCGATGACTTTGATCGTCCCGCTTCCTCATCGATGAAGCGAAGCCGGTTCTTCGCGAGGTGACTCTTTCGCAAGTCACTGTCCAGGCCTTTGAAGAAAGGAACCATGTACGGAATGCTTGCAGTAGCGATGCTGAGGCACACATGAACTTGCGACATGATTGCCGGTTCCCAAAGCCGGTATCGAGGATCGTCGTAGGATGCGACCGGATACAGCAGGATGAGGCGAACGAGCGCCGCACTCAGTACAAGCATGCGTGGCGCAAAGCATGCGAAGACGGCAAACTTCCTTGAAAGTCGTACTTGAAGATATGCCACAAGGTATACTGATAGCATGATGATGGCGACCTCGGTTGACATGTCGAATATGCAATAGATGATCCAGAAAATATGCTGCTTCAATCAGCCCCCGGTCATGTTTAGACCAAACAGCCAGTGCTACTTACCATGTTAGAGCATTTCAGACTTGTGATGTCCCATGGTCGAGGGAGCTCGCACTGGAATGCGGTCGCCATAACCGATGCTATTGTCCAAGCTGACACCAGAACACCAAAGGCCATGACGATTCGGCGGATGGTACGCTGCATTGCAACGACATTGTAGAACAAAACCAAAATTGACAATTTCGCGAGGCCAATAGCTGCGACATACAAAATCTCGGACGCGTAATAGCCTTTGATGAGCAGGTCGATCTGATCGAGCATCAAAGGGCCGGCGGTGCCGAGGCCCTCGAATGATAGAACGACAGCTGTTGCTGAGAGGCCGATACCGAATGACTGCATGAATTAATACAAGACAAGAGAGATGGTGTTGAGTAGCTTACGAATGCTAGGAATATGAAAAGGTCATCAATCGTGACTGTGCGAAAAACGATGACTTTCATGATCTGGCGTGCGCCAAAGACGATGACTGTGATGACAAGAGCGGTCCATGACACAATCCTAACGGTGTCCATTCTATCCAACCCGCCATTTGGTGTACTTCGAGAGGAGATGTATGCAAGTGGTAGCTTCATAATCGGAAGAAAAAAAGAGAAAAGACCAGAACGCTCACGAAACCGACCCGAGAGGAAATGATAAGGAAATAGTAAATTTACCAGTTGATTGCGCCCCGTAACACCATAAGCATGACGAAAGAGAAAGATATGAAGCAGAGAGAATGTAGCTGGCTAGACGGATGATGCGCAGGACATCATTGAAGAAGAGCCAAGCGTGTGCTTCAGGTTGTCCGGGGTATCTGTAGATCAGACCAAAAACAGTACAGAAGACGATCAATCCTAGAATATCGCCAAAAGATGCTAACGGTATAGCTTACTGTGACATCTGGTTCGGCAGTTATTCCCAAGCTATCGCAGGTCCAAACTGGCTAAATACCAGCAAGTGGTATCTGCCTTGCTATCTGTGGTACCAACGCCCATTTTCCGGAATAGTGTGCTGTCGTGCTCTGTTGAGTGCATATTCGACTGGGGAAGGCTGCATCATGCACCTAATCTTGGGGTAAACAGGCGCTTGCGATGATTTGTAGATACTGCTGACGGGTAGCGCGGCTGACATGCAGTGTTCCTCCCGGCGGGTTTACGCGTTAGGGCGCGGCGCCATCCTCCCCCGCCCTCGATGTAGACGCGCATGAACATTTACGAACGGCACAACGGCACTGAATCACATAATGATTTTGTGTTAAGTATATGGTTGAGGATAGCCACGTAAAGGAGGTCGCTGGTCGCGGTGCTGGAGGCTGGGTGCCAATGGTGGTATACGAAGTATGCGCGGGTTCTATGCCTTCGACCTGTTACTGATAATCACATCGCTTTCAGATGTTAATACTCTAGCAGAAAGCAGGAACAGTTCTCCGAAAATTGCAAGGATACCGGTCCCATCAATGATTGTTAGGTTCAAGTATAATGTTGTTGCCGCATCGCTTCGCTTGTCTTTTCTTAGGTCTTCGTGCAGTACCTACCCCCGGGCCCAGGTACCTCATCCTTCTCAGGCACCGAACACTTGGTTGGGCGCTTAGAGTGCTCCTGTCTCGCAGGTCATGGTTTGAAGTAGACAAGGTACCTATTCTTGTATTAGGCCTACTACAAAGCTAGGTATCAGCATGCGAAATCGATAGCAGTGAAAGAGACATAAGACGGTGACAGGCGGAGGTCCTGTGCTGTGTTGCGATAGTGGGCTGATTTGGGCAACGTCGAATCTAAATGTGTCAATGCGATAGACAGGATGGAAGGTGGACCGGGGCAGACGATAAGGCGTGGCTTCTTGATCTCGCCTAGCGGATGATGTCAGCACCGTCACTATGAAGTGATTTTGTCCCAGGCTGCGCAACAGCTTCTTCATGAACATCGACAAGATCGAATCTTTCGTATCACGCACATCGTGCCTTCAGCTATCATGATGTGTGCTTTCTCTATCATTATTACACAACACCCGAGTGTATTGACAGCCTAGAGACGCGTAGACATCTGCGGTAACTACCGGTCAGAAACTTTGTGCGGCACACCAACTGACACTGTCCTCTGCCGTACATCCGTACCAAAGCGAGTTCGATATACTATACATTGATGGTATCGTACTTTGCTTCTGATACTATGGCTTGAGCCGAAGAAGAGCCTTCGACGACTGAGTTGGTGCTGCTTTTGGAACTTGCAACACCGCGTATGATCCTCTTCTACCTGCTTTCATTACACTGGCTATCATCTTCGCTTCATGATTCAGTCGGCTGTTCTTTCAGATCGCCCTCCAGGATGAAGCGTACACACGGCGCTAGTACCTGACGATTTTCGGTCCGAGCGGCGCTTTCCGGCGATCCGAACCCCTTTGGTCTAGTCGCCCCTATTTTGGGCTGAACGTCTCGTCCACCCAAATACTGAAACGAACATCTCTCACTCTGAACAGGTCACTGCCACACACACGTGGCGGCACTCCGCCATCCGGAACGGCGCCACGCACTATCGACCCACTCCCAAAGTTTGAAGGAAACAAACATCCCTTCAAAAAAGCTTGGTTGAGCTTAATTGCATCAATCGTTGATGCTTGTTCGCCAAAAGCATGACGAAGCTCGTGGGTCAGACATGTCAAGTCTTGGGCTTTGGTGTCTGAGCTGGAGATCAACGCTGTGATAGCCAAGCAGCGTTTGATTAGGCCGCGTACGAACCCCATAAAGGTCTATCACATCTGCTTGCTTTTCCATAGGCTTGACGTCTCAAAATCTATATCTCTTTCGCGGTGCTCTCAGTACAAGTAACTGTAACTTTTAATTCTTAATATTCAGTCATTACTGCTATTATTGCCCAACATGAATGCCTCAGCAACTATCCGTGCTTCCTACATCCGCCAGGCGCGGATGAGCATGACGCCTCGTCCAGCTAGCATATCAGACATGGGGGGAATCCATCTTCAGCCACGTCCCGCTTCAACCGAGAAGCTCGAGTCTTTTGTACACGTCGATTACGTCGAACACCGCGAGAAATGCCATTCGGAGCGCATCGCACAACCTATCGTCTTCGACATTGAGAACAACCTCGACAGCGAGCAGGCATACATTGACAACCGCTACCTCGAAAACACTTCGATCATGGAATGGGACAACAACAACTCGATCAGGGTACGGCTCAAGACCATGTTTACCGTCTTCCCTTACCGCGACCCCATTTACCTAGTGGCAATCATCTTCCTTATTGGCTCGATCGATCTTGTGATCAACGCTTTCTTCGAGCTGCTGCCTCGCGTCATGCCATCCACGGTGTTCGAAACCGAGGATACAGTCGCTGTTCCTACTACGGTATTGATCGGATCAATCTTCTTCTTCGTGGCTGGCATCTTCGACACCTTCAGCGCTCTTAACATTGACCGCGGCACACTCGAAACGTCGAAATGGGATCCCGAGAGAGTCAAATATCGCCCAGCGCTCCTTGGCACACCAGAGTTCAAGTGGATACCTTCATGGACAAAGGCGTTGGACTTGACGAAGAACAACTTGGCCTTTCAGGCAGGTCTGATCGTTCTCTTCGGTGGTGTCATCTTCATGTTTGCCGGCATCGTCGAATTCCCGGGACTAGTCTCAGAAGAAGATCCCTCATTCGGTCTCGTCGTCTTCGGGCCGCAGGTTATACATGGCGCCCTCTTCCTAGGCGCAAACGCTATGCTGGCAGTATTTGAACAAGAGCGCTGGTACAAGCCCAAGTGGTCTGATCCAGATTGGCAGAGCGCATTCTTGAATGCGATGGGTGGACTCGGCTTCATGGTGTCTGGTTTCTTCTTATTCCAAAGGGGAGAGACACAGGAACAAGGTGAACTCAACGCAGCTATTGCCGCAATGGCAGGTAGCTGGGCTTTCCTGATTGGCAGCGTAATTAGATGGTATGTCGTTATGGAGTTCTGGTAGAAGTGGTCATCGTGTTGCGTGAATGTCGTGGCAACTCATGCATATCCATAAATATGCAACTATTGTTGTGGTTCGCAAGCAATAGACAAAGACAATCTCGCTCCTTACAAAAAGTTTTTCGTTTCCTGTAGTAGTCTGGTCATCAAATCTCCATCGACCTATCAAATTAACCGCATCGTTCGCTGGTGGTAATGGCCTACGTGGTGATGCCTCATAGCGACAATATTCCCAGTACGTGCGGAACCGCAATGAGAGAGATACATACGGAACTCGACGGCTACAATGAAGCTACGCCACGCCGTGCTGAGCTGGTGAAAAATGCCTGAGAGTCGAAGGAGGCAACAAGGCTTACAAGAATTGGTCAGCTGCGAATGACGGGGTACATCGTGCGATTAGAAATGCTGTGAAGGCGCTATGGGCGGAGCTCTGGGAATTTTTCGATCCGCTCGTCCCAGACTCATGGTGGTGAGGACGCAGAAGTAATGGTTCCGTTCCTCCGAGAACAGCAACCCGGATGTTGAAACCACTAAACAAGCGCGCTCCACTAATCGTGCGTCTCGTGATTTGGTCCTCCATTCAACTTGTATTAAACGCTGTGTATTAAAGGCATATGCTCATGACAGCTTACATCTGACGCTGCATGTTCCTTGAACGATCCTTTCATTTATCAACAGATAGCTCTTGCATGTTAGATCGTCGAATAGAGACGCGCATCGTACAATCTAGCATCATGTCTCCTCATCCACCCCATCGACTTATGTCCAACGATATTGATCGCTATGCTCATAACCAAATTCCGACGTCAAACTTCTTGCCAAGATGTCTGACACATCTGACACAGCTCGCATATACCCCAATCACGTGAATCGGTCTGAAACAGGTCTTGCGACATTGCGACGAGGTCCATACGCCACGGCATTGAAGCTGCTGATAGGTCCGAGTGGGCGATCGGAGGATGTGTGAACAGCTCCGGGCTATCGACGAAGGCATAGCATGAATCATGCATGGTATAACTGCCGACGTTATAGGCATTTGCCCCAGACATCCAACGCCCGCAATTGCAGGTGACAAGGCGATCACACAGTGACAGCCTCACAGTACCAGACAGCATGACTCTATGCGCTAGAATTGCGCGGCGGGGTGAACGTCGAGATCCAGTTCCTCAGGCATAAAAGCCTGCGTCGCGCACCATGTTCAGGGACGATCAAGCAAGCAACACTTCTCACTTCAGCAATCACCCTTCAATTCCATTCTCTTTGCGTCTGCGACTGCAAAACTGACCTGGTGTCACTCGTTCCAAGTACATACATTCTTTACTTCTCAACAAAAGCTTTATACCCAACTTCTCCAAACCATCAACATGCGTTTCACTATCGCCACCTTCGTCGCTCGTAAGTTCTGATCTGAGATGAGCAGAAACTTGAAGAGGTTGTGTATTGACTTTGATCAGTGGCTGCCGTCTCCATGGCCCAAGTAACACCCAACAATGCCGGCGCTAAGAATGTCGGTGCCGGCAACGGTGCCCAGTTTATCACGGGCGGTTGTGTTTCGGATGCCGACTGCAGCTCCGCTTGCTGCAGTCAAGTCGCAGCTACTGGCGACGGTGTATGCTCTGCCGAAGCAGCTAGCCAGCAGAACGGAAAGACTGGTTGTGGCTTCACCGACCCCAACGCTGATGCTGTCATTGCGGCGGCGAAGGAGCAGGTTGCAAAGCAGGGATTCAAGAGGGTCGTTCGTAGCGAGTAGAGCGTTGCTTCGCAGTCGAGGTTGTCGATCCAACAATGATAAGATGACTTTTATGATGATAGTCTCAACGGACGTATCCGCTCCCTGCCCCAAAAGCGGCCCAGAGCCGACTGACCCAAAGCGCCAAAACCAGCTCCCTACATGTCTGATCCAGGTCGTCTCTCAGCTCAATTGTTGGCATCTTGCCTCCTGGACCCATCTTTAGCACTTCTGTAGCGATGACATGGCCCTCACTGTCTTTCCATTGGCTAGGTTCCAGCTCGTTCTTCCTTTGCTTAAGCGCTTTTGTAAACCCTCCTAGTTTCCCACAAGTCATGATCTCAGTCGGCCGACTGCCCTGCGTAGGCATATGTACGACGTGCCATCGGCGCAACCCGAATCGAAGCTGTAAAGCGCCGGGTAGCGTACTGCCCGCTTTTCCTTGAATGTAGTACTCGTTGATGACGAAGGGCGGGTCGTGTGCCTCGTAAAGGACGCTGCTGTTATCAAAGGCGACCGTCGGCGCGCCGGATTGCAGAAACGTGACTTCTTCGGCACGCAACCTTCGTATGCGAAGCTTGTTGATGCGTGCGTCGAGGAGGGAGGATATCTGGTAGGCAGGCGCGTTCGGGGTATGGATGAAGGTGCCGTAGATGGTAAAAGTGGTGGCTTTCTCGTCTACGACAGCGTAGGCAGGCGGCAGTTCTGGCGGAGGCGTCGCTGGTATGGCCATGGGTGGTGGCACTGTATCGACAGGCAGCTCTTCGGCAGCTTCGGGTTCAGACGGGCGTCGTGGTGCCGTTGTGGGCGGGGGCGCGACGACGGCCTCTTCGTATGAAGGGATAGGCGCGTTGACGTTTGGGCGAGACATGTTTGCGATGACTAAGACGATGCGCAAAGGATTCTGTTCAGTCAGGCTGGCGGTGTTTCCAACATTGCATGAGGTGAGATCTGGGCGGCTGTGTTGCGCCAAGCATGCTGTCGTGTTGATTGAGGGTCTGGAGAGACGGAAAGCCCGGCGTGACGTACATCATCTACAGACCTCGGAATCTTATCATCTGCCAAGACACCCCACATCATGCCACCGTCCCAACTCACCTCTACATCTTATTGAGTTTCTAACAAGTTCTTGGTGCTGGCCGAGTCCTTCTCTGTGGCTCCTAGGAGAATTGTGCGCCCTCTCCGACGTCAACCACCTGATGTCCTGGACTGGGTGGTACATCACCAGACTCCCACACAACTTGTTGCTCTCCAAGCCTGAACACAATCTCACCACCCTCCGCCATGATACCGCCGGCGTCTTCGTGCTCAAACCAATTCTTGCTCCACTCCTGCCCGTTGATACTTACTCCCTGAACGTAATATCCTTGTCTTCCATCACCATCGTCTAGGCCCTCAGCCCTGATCCGCAGCGTCTTGTCATGGTTGACTGTCATGTTGATGTCGGAGAACCATGGACTCTCTAGAAGATAGACAGGAGTAGTCACAACAGGATATAATCCGAGCATCTGCCATATGAGCCAGCAGTTCAGGGCGCCTGCATCGCTGTTCCCAGGGATGCCATTGGTCGTATTGAAGTAGAAGTCATTGGCAAGCTGCCGGCTTCGCTCAACACTCTTCCATTGCTTGTTGAGGTAGTTGTAGAGGTAGGGTGTTTGGAAATCCGGTTCGTTTGCGATGTTGTTGATCGTTGTAATGCCGAGGCCATTCACGCCTAGATCCACACCAGACGTATTCGGCTGGAATACATAGTCGAGACGTTTTTCAAAGTGCGAAGGACCGCCCATCAGCGTGATAACACGCGACATATCGTGGGGAATCACAAAAGAATATTCTGTTGTTTCATCAGCATGCATTGGGGAGTTCTGTGGATGAAGATCATGGCTTACCAAAGGCGGTGCCTTCATAGCTTTCGTCGTCCCAATTACAGCTGCCACAATCAGTAATGTCGTACGTCTTGTGGAAAGTTCCGTTTGCGTATCGTGGCATGACGAATCCCGTAAAGTTACGACTCGAGGACTCAGGATCCCAGCTCAGTTGCCAACCCGCTGACCGGCGAAGATAGAGATCTCGATCGCCAGGTGCTTCACCAGCGGCAATCTGGCTGACGGCAAAGTCGTTAAGGGAGTACTCTACCGTCTTCGAGACTGCTCGCGTGTTGCGATCAGCCGAAACGTAGCCGAGTGGTATCCAATCATCCAGTGCTCCGCGACCTTCCTTGAGCGAGCCTTGCATGTCGACAGGGTTCTCGTCGAAGAACGGCAGGACATCAGCGTCTTTCTTGACTGCGGCATACCCCTCCGTCCAATTGATCATACCCGTCAGACCCTTCACGTAAGCGTCCGCGAGAACGTTGTCCGCATTCGATCCTCCCTGTACTAGACCGTTGTAGTTGCCAGATCGGCCATCTGGAAGATAACCCTCTTGTTTGAACATGTCAATCAGAGATCGGATCATGGACTCGTAGTAGCTCGGCTGAATCAGATGCCATAACGAGACCTGGTTTCTGAAGAGATCCCACTTGGATGGTGATCAGCGTGACGTCTGCTTTCAACACGATGGCAAAAAACTCACCATGGTGTAAAAATCATCCCAAGATGGCTCATCCGATTCCCATAGCGGGTTTTCGCCAACACGCTCACTTGGTATGAGGTGCATGAAGTACAGACTAGAGTATAGCAACGCCAGTCTAGTCTTGTTCGCCGACTCTGAAGTATCGACACGAATTTTGGAAAAGACGTCACGGTTCCACTCGTCACGCGTTGCCTGGGCGGTATCTTCGATCGACCATGAAGAGAGCTCAGAGTTCTTGTATGCACATGCTTTGTTCACCGACTTGAAGGAGATGCCTACTCGCGACTTGATCTCAGTTGCGTTACTCCAGGTGAAGACTGCTCCGACGCGGTCGTTCATCGGTCCTGAACGGGCTGTCGACCCAGTATACGTAGGTCGAGGTGTCGTAGCATTGTTGAACGATCGGAAGTACCGACTGGCGGGGAATGTATTCTTCCCTTTGAAGGCTCGTGCCTCGTCAGGCAAACTATCAAACTCGCCGCACACATACACGGTAACTGGCGCACCAATATTCCATCCACCTGCAATTGAAGTGTATCCGGTGTAGGTGCTGGAGTTTGGCTGAATTTCGACTTCACCACCTGTGTAGAATTGTGTATCCCATGTGCGCGTCAGATGGGGAAGATAGTGTGAGAGGTCTACGAGTACGTGCTTCTCCGACGACGAAGGATACGTGTAATGGTATAGTCCTGCGTGTCGCGAAGCTGAGAGTTCAATCCCCACACCAGACTCAAGCTCTGTACGAAAATATCCCACTTGTGCCACATCTTCGCCAACCTAGTTTTTTGTTAGCAATTACCCATGCTCCGCATTTGATCACCCTACTCGATTCTGCCAATATGTTTGGTTGTCCAGTATATTGACATCTCCATCAATATTCGTCAGCGGCATCTGCGATGGAAATCCATACTTTGGCCCGCCGCCTGTACCCGACTGGTGCATTAGACTAATGCCAGTAACATAACCTTCAGGTGTGTATCCGCCATTGAGCACGCTCATGTTGACCATTTCTTCATAGGTATCAATCCCCAATTTGACCATACCGAATGGTACTGCTCCGCCAACGAATACATCGCCGCCGCCATCTGGAATTTGTCAGAAAAGAGCGCACAGAGAGAATTGTGTGTCTTGCATGCAAGGCCAGGAATGGCGCCTTCAGTCCCAATGAACGGGTTCACGTATTGCGCATAGTCGATGTGATCCTGTGCAAATATGCATCGCGCAATTACAAGCACCAGGAGAAGTCTCGTTCCCATCATGATGGGGAAAGCTAAAGAAACTGGGCAGAGCTTCTAGTCACGTCTTATTCTACCCCAGGTGTTTGCGTACCGCTCCCCACGATACCCCGCATATGCATATCACTTCCTGTAGGAGCGCCATCAGTCGTACATAGTAATCCGGCTTCGGGGTAACGTCGTCAAGCAATCCTCCGTGAACAAGCAGTTGCAGTGAGACATGACGTCGTTCAGGCCCCTCTTGCCTTTCTTGTGCCTGCCAAGATAAGTGCGGAGGCGAGCCACGTGCGCGTTCTCGGAAAATGGTTCCGGAGCGGACAGCGCAGCGAGCACCTACGAACTTTCCATCACATTTCCATCTCAACTTCAAGTCCAGCGCTCGTGGACAATTCCCATCCGGTGTCTGACAGTGCATACTTCGACGCGTACTATCACAATGGGGCTCGCCGGTCCTAGCGATTTGCCAGGCGGACATCGCGCCCTCAACCCAGCTTTCATCAACCCTCCATCAATGCTGAGCTACCATACCGAGCAGCCGTCCTGAACATCGAGTGACTACGATACCGGAGCGAACCGTTCAACCGGGGCTGTTTGCGTGGCTTCATAGCAGATTTTGGAGCTTCAAGATCCCTTACATCTTCCCTGGATTTTTCAGCCTTCTCTATGGAATGAACCAGTGCCGAGGTGGAGCCATACGTCCCTGATAAGATGGGCCTTAGCTTGTATGCATGAAGCCGATAGGATCACAGGACGAGAGGTTGTATTTACGACTTTAGGGTGATGTTGATTTAGGGGATTGCGAGCCCGAAACCGAAGAAGGTAGACTGGCCGAGTCATTCCGAAAACTTTGCCTCGAAGTCTAGCTACCTCAACCCTAGTTTCCGGATTCCCACCAACCTAGTCTCCTTTCCACACTCCAGTTTAGAGATGTCGATCAGGGTCCCTCAACTTGCGCAACGACTAGGTTTCGATTTCCATGCATGGGACAGATATTTCACGGTTCCTGGCTGGCTGGTAATCGCGGCCGACCAGCGCATGCAAGCACCCAAAACTCTATCTCTAATGTCCACCGGGTAAATGACGCGCTCAAAGTTGCTTGTCTAGGGAAACAACAACTCTTTTACTATATCGAGTGTTCCAACACGCTGAAGTGACTCGTGTCGGAGTTTTCCAGACTCAACATGTTCCTCTGATGAGAACATGGAAAGCGCTATTGTTGTACGTAGGTTTTCCTACTAACTTAAAGCGCTGATCATGCAGCCAGTTCACACTGCGAAGTGCTTTCGATAGATTGTACGGCACCACAAACGCACTACCATACTGTGGCCAGGTGTAGGAGTCACTATAGTAAAGTCTTCCAGCAGAAGTCATCCGCCTTTCGTACGGTTCTTTAGAGACTCGATGTCATTCGTCAGCTGAGCATTTTGGGAGCAGATTTGGCCAATCAAAGGTGCCCGGCCTACTAGTCCATCTGTCAGTCCAGTTGTGGCAGTACGTGCGACTGTTGCTGCACGTGGCTGTTCGCCTCACGATCAGATCTGTACCAACGTAGTCGGATCGGGCGTGAATCCGCTATGCTCTAGTATCAGGTTCTCCAACATACATGATGTTTGCGGGGTGTTAAGAAGCGAAGCTTGGGATAACGGACTTATCGCTGTTATCTGCGGAAGAATAGTAATCATACGGCACTGTACATGGACGTTATCGAGAACGCTGTTCACCGCAAAGTAAGTGAAGGTTCCCTAACAGCTCGTTATACTGGCGATGTGGACTGAAGTTCTGTACAGCAGTCATATAGCTAGCAGCTGCGACCACATACGTAGACACTTCGCAATTGTTGTATCGATCAAGACTGCCGCGAGTTGCTGGCGCTTTAGGTTTGTAGTACTCGCAGTATCCTGACGCAATGTATCGAAGTCGCTCGAGCACTCACCTATCGGAGCGACTACCCGACGTTGTCGCAACGCATGCTTAGCAACTGACTTTGGGCTGGTACCGGATACCAGCATCGCTCCTTGCTCTCATGTATGGACGACAAGCAACGCCCCCGAAAAAAATGCACGTGTACCTGGTTCTGGTTCCGGATCGTGGAAGATTGTGGCTGTCCACTACTAGCTCGACATATACCAAACTTTAAATCGGAAATGAGGGAGCTGGGCGGGCATCATCCAATCTGGGCGCAGATCCTGGTGCGGCAACGAATACCGACTCCCTTGACCCCACGGCAGAGATCTGCGATAGCATTACATGGCACCTTGGCACTAATGTCTAATGTATATATCCATCACTCATGGCCGCATTCTCGAGAACGGAATGTCTACCGGCGCAGACGGGCCCGTTGCTAGCGCGCGTCCTAAGCGCGTGCTAAACAGATCAGTGGAGGGGTCCTCTGCTCGGGCCGTCGTTCACGCAGGCTAGCAGCAGTTGCAAAACCAGCGATTGGCCAAGTCTCTGGGATATGACGATGGCCATGGTCTCAACTGAGCCTTCCCGAACACTAGTTTCAGCCCAAACTAGGTAAGCTCATAAAGCACGCCCCAGAAACGTTAACACCGAGACGAGGCTGGATCCAGCATAAACCCACCCTTTTGTGATGCTGTTATGGGCTCCGGCATTAAAACTACGAGAAATTGCATACCTCAACACCATCGCATCGTCGAAACCCGTACAACCGGGTTCGGCCAGATCTTCGCCGGACCGTGGGGATACGTAAAATCCTCGGGCACTAGCTCGTCCTATAGCTTATGCCCTACACCCCGATACCCACGGACTGTTACCTATACATTGGTTTCTGGTTCCGCAAAGCATACATGCCTACCTGATTGATACCCCGCCGGATCTCACAATAGCCACCGGGCAATTCACTTGCATCTAATATACGGCCTTCCGCGAGCGCACAGATGTCTTCCCAGTTCAACAACTGGAGGAGCGACCCGAGTGAATCACATGGTCCGTTGATGAGCATTACTTGTTGGTCGCTTGGTGGAGTCTCCCTTCTCTTCCTCGTTGTTCGCTGCGGGATCCGCCAAAGTCAAAAGAAATTTTGGTACGACGATGGTCTGCTTGTAATCAGCTGGGTAAGTGATTCCGAAACTCAAGCAGAGACCTGGCCATTAATGCAACGCAGTTCTTACTCCTCGTTCAACTCATTTTGAACCAACTAAGTATAAACTTGGGGTTTGGGAAGCACGCGCTTGACAGTAAGAAAGTATTGTAGCCTTCATGATACCATTCTCTAATCCATGCTTTAGTCGACTTTTCCCATTTTGAGCGCATCACGTATTACGGTGCATCCGGACTTACCGTATCTATTGCCGCCATCATCTTGAGCAAAATCTCGTTTGGCGTCACTCTGCTCCGATTGACAGAAGGATGGCTGAAGGCCTACGTCTGGTTTGCCATCATTACCCTCTTCGCCTTTGCAGTACCGGTAGCTGTCCTTCCTTGGACCCTTTGCAAGCCGTTAACGAAAACATTCGTGGATATTTTACCTGGAACGTGTGTTGACAAACATCCTTCTGTACAATATGGAAGGTTCCAAGCTGGTTCGTAGACCCTATAATGATCCGTCGTGACAGGGTAACTGACATATGGGGCAGTATGGGCTGCAATCATGGATATTTCCCTGGCACTACTACCATGGAAAGTCCTATGGAACCTTAAGATGCGTACTGCGGAGAAGATTGGAGTCGGTATAGCGATGAGCTTGGGGCTTTTGTGGGTTGACCTTGTTTTACAACAGGGTCGCGCTGACGGAGTTATAGAGCAGGAGCCACCGCTATCGTCAGAGCAAGATATGTCGAACTGCTGCAAACCCAAGATCTTTCATGTAAGACAACTCGAAGATCGTTCCGTGGCTATTGCTAACAAACCCAGATGAAGCATACAACTCCGTCATTTGGTCAACCGCGGAGTCCGCCATGACGATTGTTGCCACGTCCATCCCCATACTCCGTGTCTTCTTCAAACAAGCAGTCAGCCAAGCGATGTCAAACTACCACAACTCGACGAGCCGAAGCAAATCGAAATCCACTGCTTCAGGAAGCAATCCTTCTCAGCCTTCGAATAACGCAAGCACACTTGCAAACGACACACGTCGTTTGAGCAAAAAGATCACACGTATCACAGGCCACACTAGTACGGATTCTCTGTTTAGAGATGATGATATTGAGAATCAGGATCGCAAGGAGGGCTACATAGAGTTGGATGATCTTGTTGTGGACGAGAAAACTGGACGTGTGACAGCGTTGACTCCCGACTCGTTGCCAGACTCCATAACACGCGCACCCATACACGCAGAAGACTGGCCTTTGGGCGAATACTCCTTACCACAGAAAACAGCAGGCTCTAGCCGTGATTGTGGGAGATAGTCAGATATCCGGGTTGGGTATCGCTCATAATGTCCTCGTTATAGTAACGAATCATGAATTTTCGGCCAACATTCGGCATCACTTAGGAACCAGCGTTCCATCAACATATGCAACCTCAGTGTTTGTTTGCCTCTCGCATTGGTTACTTTAATCATCCTGATTCTGAGTCGTCAACACCAAGTAAAATCTGAGTGCCGATCCTACTCGCCCTGGTGCCATGTGTGTTCCCAATCCATCCATGGCTAGCGTCATTGGGAGATCTGCAGGCCCGCCTCCACGACACGACTCGGCAGGTCCCCAGATAGCGCAACTGCAAGCCCACCATCTCAACAACGCCTAGTATCCCCGGACCACCAAGACACACTATGCGCGCACCAGGGGCTTTATCGCTGTCACAACCAACTACGTCGGTGTCAAGCACCCGCCCAATCAAACGAGACTTAATGCTCCGACCTGCCTCAATCAGCATGCTAGTACGTGTCTATAGCGTGTCAGGCGCGATTTTGAGGCTGCACTGACAATGCCATCCCTCCTACTCGGCCCTTCTGTCGGCCTTTTAATAACAGAATCAGAATCATTGTTCTACGCTCGCACAGAAGGTTTGCCATCATGAAGGCCCGTACATGCGCTACGATCCCCATCCGATGACCAGGCACACACCACTCCTGAATTAAACTTCCGATACGAAAACGATCAAGAATGATTGGATACTCGTTCATGCGATTCGCCATCGCGACTTCACGCTCTCTACATATAACAAGACCACGAGTGCTGAGTTGTTTCACTCGTTGTCGATACCTACACTCCTTAGTATTTATCAATCCTTGATCGCAAACATGAAGGCTTCAATCTTCTGCGGCGCCACTCTCTTTTCCTTGGCAGCTTTTGCCTTCCCAGCAAACCTTCTTGACAACCTCGACAAGGACATCAGTGCTGAGCAGCTCGCGGAGATCACTGAGTTGGCAGCAAAGATCTCAAACGAGGTACAGACGAAGCGTCAACTCGGTGCCAGCATCTTACCACCTGGATTCGATGCAAAGGCCCAGCGCATCAGCACTACTGGCGACCATGCATATGTATGTTGTCTTACGGTTATCGAGAAGTTGTGTGCATGGAATGCTAACAGTTGGATGCATAGATCGCACCAGGTTCGGGCGACCTCCGTGGGCCATGTCCAGGCCTGAATGTAATGGCAAACCACGGTTACCTCCCCCGAAACGGAATTGCAAGTCTCACACAGTTGACAATGGCGTCAAATGAAGGTATATTCGCCTTTAATACATCACCAGCCCGCTTTCTAACAATGTTATAGTGTTCGGCATGGGCATTGAACTTTCTGGCTTCTTGTCAGTGCTTGCTACCGTTATGGGTGGTGACATCACTTCAGTCTCCATCGGTGGAAAGCCAAAGAGTGGCGGACTGGTTGGCGGACTCGTTACCGGTCTTGGGCTGATCGGAGAGCCACAAGGGTTGAGTGCAACACACAACCGCTTCGAGGCTGACTGCTCTCCTACACGAGGAGACGTCTACAAAACGTACGTCTTACGCTATGCTATCGCACAGTCATGTGACTAACCAGCAGTAGCGGCGATCCAGTCTCTCTCAACCTTCCCCAGTTCGAGCAACTCATCGCCATGCCTATCGGTCCCAATGGCTACGACCTGACAGTTATGCATCCCTTCCGTGGCAAGCGATACAAGGACTCTGTTGCGACCAACGGACACTACTGGGCCGGACCAGTAACACACTTTGCAATCAACACTGCGACATACCTTTTCACCTACCACTTTTTCTCCAACCACTCCGCGGAATACCCAGAAGGTTATCTTGACGCTGAGACACTCAAGTCTTTCGAGGGTGTTACTGGTCAGCCAGGAAGCTTCAAGTGGGCCCCAGGTCGTGAGAGGATCCCAGAAAACGTATGTATCCCCTTTCTACTTTAAGTCTCTTACGCCGGCTAATTGACATTTTAGTGGTACCGTCGCGCCATCGGTGACGACTACGGAATCGCAGCCTTCACTCTCGATGCTGTAGGTGCGCTTCAAGCACTTCCTTACATGGCAGTCATTGGCGGCAACACTGGCAAACCTAACACCTTCACTGGCGTCAACATTGCAGACCTCACGGGCGGCGTTTTCAACGCTGAGACGTTACTCGAAGGAAACAACCTCATGTGCTTCGCATTCCAGGCCGTTAACTCCGCCGCCCCGGATATCCTCAAGGGTCTACTCGGAAACGTTCTGGCTGCTGTCCAGAAATTGACCGATGCTTTGAACCCCATCCTTGCGGATCTTGGCTGCCCCGAGCTTGCGAAGTACGACAAGTCTCTGCTTTCAAAGTTCCCTGGAGCTGGTGCGGGACTGTAGTCGGCCACAAGGATATCGTTTACAAGCAATATTCTCGTCTTCACTTCACACATTGTATTCGTACATTCGCTATAGACTATTAAGAGAACACCTTGATTCAAAGTATATTTTACCCATGCTTTCTTGGTACGATCTTTATAGCCTTGCAGCATACTTTAGGGGCCATGAGTAATCAGGGCAACGGGTACATAGCTGAGCAAGCTGTCCTAACAACCCAGCCTCTCTGGCGCATTTCAAATGAAGCCATACTAACATCGCTTTTGCTGTTTTTCAGCACGGAATTTCGGCGATTTCATCCAAGCGTGGTCATTGTGCCATTTGGGATAGATGCATTCATAATCACTACCTCAACGATCAGTTGCATGAATCCATCTCGCGCTGCAAGGAAAGGCAGTGGGAAAGCGACATTTACGACTCAGCCATCCGTGGCTGAGACAAAATCAGGCCAGAATTACGACTTGACTTGTGCTCTTGGCAAACGAGAAACAGCTGCGACGAATTGGTGATATTCACTATTGACTTTCGGAACCGTGCGCGCGTCGGCACCCCAAGAAAACTTCACGACTCTGTCGTATATATCGGCTCAGTATGTAAAATTTGCGTCTGGATGATGAGGTCCCAAGGCGCCGCGTCGGGTGTTGGGTTAGGCCAAGATGCCGGAAACCCAGCATACGTTACAGAGGTGCCTCAAATATCGGGACAACAACTTCCAGGCCAACACCAAGCCTTGGTGCTAAGGCATCCACGTATGCTGCATCACCAAATTTTGAACAGCATATAAAGAGTTCTGGAACAAGTCGTAAAGATTTTTGCAGGAATAATTCGCTGTTGACCAGTCTTTCTTCACTTCCGTTCTTTCATCCATTCACTTCTTTCTTATTGTCACATTCTTTTGACAAGACTTTTAACACACATTTTTGGAAAACACTCGATATCCACAAATTATACCATAATGTATACCATCACTTTCGCGACTATTGCAAGCCTGGTGCTCGGCGCGATCGCTGCGCCACTTGACATCGGCAGCGGCCGAGTTCAGCTGCAACTATCGATCGATCTTGGCGGCGAAGGGGCCGCTGCCGCTGGAGTCATTAATGGTCAGCAGCTGTTCGATTTCTCTTCCACCCACTTCATCAATGCTGTCCCAGAGGAAGTCGTAAACGGTACCGAGCCGACTGGCGGTCTCGCCGGCGCATCCGGCACCTTTAACTTCGGCATCAACAGTGCCTCAAACATGATCTGCTACAACATCACTCTGCACAATTTTCAAGGCGAATTCGATTCTCCCGCAACCACGGCAACACATATACACGAGGCCGCACGTGGTGCTAGTGGACCGCCCCGAATCTCATTCCCAAACCCGGAGCCGGTGGAGGGAAACGAAGGGGTCAGAAACAGTGCAGGATGTATGAAAGGTCCATTTACGACTGGGGTTATGGTTGAAGGTGTGGATTCGGGCGAAGGTTTCCATGTCAGCATGATCGAAGCGAACCCGGCAGCGTTCATGGCGGATACCCATTCGAGCCTGGCGCTGCCTGGTGCGGTGAGGGGGCAGATGGCATAATCAATTAGTGTAACAAACGATTGACCAATAATTTTAATAGAGGCTCTTTGCATATGGTCATATCAGCGGGTTGTCCAACTATCTGCACTCACCAGTGCACGATCGCGTCACGAACTGGTCAGTAGTCACAATGTGTATGGGATATTCATTCAGCTTTCTCCAGAACATACACCCTACCCTCGACCCTTCTTTCCCAAGCGGTTCGTCGCCTAGTAGACCAGACCTGTACAGTATAGCCCACAACCAACCCCAAACCTAGTATAAGCATGGGCACAATCAGCCATCGGGCGGTTTTCTATATGGCATAGTGGTTAGCTGCCAGGTATCTCATTATGCGTTCTTGAATCCAATGCTTACTGTCTCATCACAAGCCTGTTTTCTCACGCTATCATCTCGTTTCGTGATGACTGGTAACATGACGCATGCCGCTAATTCTCGCGTACAAGTGTATTTATTGTTGTACTCGCTCAGGAATGTTGGTACGCGGCAACGCTCGGACGATTGGTGATGAAGAATCGTAGACCATATGGCGGACGTCAGTGTGCTGGTGAAGGATGCGATGGCAAAAATCACAGCTATGATATACGAAGCTCTACTCTGGAAGCAAGAGCGAGATGTCTGAGCGAATTGTAAGCAGCAAGCAAGATACACTGCATGAGAAGAACAATACCTTTATCTCGTCTTCCACCACGCTTCTTCTCCTCACCCGTGAAACGCAGATACCTAGTAAACCTGCTGCTGCCCCCAGTACCGCTCGGACAAGTGCTAATCTGTCGGTAGTGTCGTTATAGTCGACAGCGATCCATTGTTGTCTTGTCTGTTGCTCTTCGTACACGTCGCTCTGTTCCCTCCAAATGTACCAAGCGCCAGCTGGGAAGTATTGCGCCAAGAGCCATATCGTATGGCTTGTAATGCCGAGTGTGCTAACGGATATGAAGAAGAGTAATACAGCGATCGTAAGGGGTAGAGGCTGGTATGTTTCCAAGAGAGACATAGTGTTCGTACGCTGTGAAGGTCGAGAGAGCAGATGGAGGCTCTGCAACAAATAAAGGTCAAGAAACAGCCCAGATGGGGAACGCGCACGCTTTCATCCTAACTGCCTGTTTCACCGTACTTTGTACTGTCAGATGCTACTGATCATCTCCGGCTTCGAGGACCCGCGTACACATTGGTCGGCCAAATACTGGGTCATCGGCCTGGACCTGCGTGGCTGCGGCTCCCTGCCCGTGCTGCACCCACCTGAACACACCGCAAATCAAGTCCACCATGGCGAAGTGTCTCAATGATACACTCCCCAGCTTTGAATGTCGTGAGCAGGCTGTTCTGTGTAACATCCGAAGTTGGTAACATGTCAGTATGGCTATGATGTGTAGGAAACGCCATTGGTACAGTCTTAGGTAAGCGCCGCAGCGCCGCCGTTCCTTAATGCTGACTCGGGGCCAAGACTGGCAAATCGGATCGTAATGGTAGCTAGGGCCAGAGTCTGCCTTGTGAATTGTCGAATGGAGACGCTTCATAAAAACTGCCTGCTCACATAATGAATAGATGCGCTGTGTTTAGACCGGCTGGACGCTACGTCGAGGTATGACATTGGCTAGCGTTTGGCTGGCACCATATTTGGGATCGACGCGTAAGCGTACCGGAAAGCGCATTGATGATCATGCGGTTATGTTAATTAATACACCACAGCCCTCTTAACCACATTCATGGCCTCTTGTTTTCGCACAGGTCTGCCTTTCTTCGCTCTATCGTCGTCCCTCAGCCTCATGTAGCGGCACGCCACCCAGCTCCGCCGTTCCATGCTGCCCATCAAGCTCGCCTCCATTGATTGCGTGACCGTACTTCGTCGCCATTGGTGAATATGCCGGTGCCTCTGGGTATCCATCTCTTGTCATCTCTGGCGTACCGTGGGGATCTGCAGAGTCGCCATCGCTGGACGGAATCGGAGCGCCCGCGGCATGGCGCTTCGAGCGCTTAAGAATGTACAAGATAGCTACACCAGCGAATGCAATGACTGCAAGACCTCCGACAACGCTACCCGCGATTATAGCGGTATTGCCCGCACCGCCGCCACCAGGGGACTGATTTTCCTCGTTTGAAGGACTAGCTGTCGGAGACGGAGTAGATGCCGAAGGCGACGGGTTGCTGTTCGATGCCGGTGTAGCGGAGGCTTCTGATTGGGATACGACTGATGTTGGGTTCGCTGTGATATGTCAGTAGTGAGCAGAGTCCAAGGTTTGTGTCATCCTGCGTACCGTTTGCCGGAAGCTCCTTGTACAGAGTTGTAGACAGTAATGGATGACTCCCCGTCCAGTCGCAGTAGATACGAGTGTATGCGTCAGAAGCGCCGGAGGTGGTGAACATGATATCTGAGTAACAGGATCCATACTCTCCATCGCTAGTCGTTTCGTTAACCTGGTTCATCTTACACAACATCTGTGCAATCCAACTCACCAAGTACTAGTTAGACCTCCAGTTCCATATACCGTCGTGTGGAAGCAACTCGTCCAAGCTTCGCAGCCTGTCCTCGGTAATGGAGAAGTTGTGCTCGAGCCGTCAACTTCGAAAGCCGAGGATGCTTTGCACTTTTGCCAGAGGCTGCCAGTTGTGAAAAGATAGCCCTCCGATCGAGGGAAAGTCGAAACCGCCCCTAGAGTAAGGTCAGATCGTCAGATGGCGAAATCAATACGTAGAGCTGGCATACTCACAGATAGGTTGGTCGCTTTCGGTGCCAATGTCTTGGTAACCTACGACTACGATACCAGTATCTTGCCTAGGGAGCACTGCAGGAGCGGTCGGTGCAGGCATTGGGGGATTTATCAAGGCCGCTGCTGCGACGCCAACAGAGCCCAACTGCAACAGAAAGGAAAACATGACGAGTTGCAACGAACGTCTAGGGGATAGTACAAGAATCGACAGCGCAAACACTGCTCGGAATTGAGGGTAAAAAGAGCGACAGGGAAGCTCTCATAGTTTGCAACATTGTCGCAGGGTGGGACTTGTCTTTTGGACCCCAACTATCGTGTCATTTAACTACGCCCATCTATCTCGACATCCTAGTCGCGTTCGATGGCTGTGAGTGGGTGCATGAGGCACGGTAATGCATTTGGGGTTTAGGCGATATGCGGGGCGGAACTTTGCAGCACGAACAGCGTTGAACAGGGAAAGACACTTGCCCTATCCCAGTATGGTTGGCGCCCGCCAAGTAGGCGTCCCGTTGTGGCTGGGCTGTGAGTTTCAACTCCTAGATCCTGCTTGCAGATATCTGGATCTGGCTGCGACAAGCAATGCAATGCGTGGCTAAAATTCGCCGGTTGGTGTAGGCGTAGTGTTGTGTTGGGCGCCACATAGGTTACACTGGAACCACATGCTGACGCTTTGCGACACGCAAAATCCGGTGTGATGGTACCTAGCTACCTAAGTCGTCCTCCAGCCTCGATCAATGCCGAAACCGAAGGATTCCTCAACCAATCTGCCAACTACGCGATCTAAGTCGACTATCAAAGTCATGTAGTTCAGCGTTCGACGGTCAGATATATCGAAAGAATGCATCCGCGCCGAGCGCAACGACACTTGCACTATACCAGAAGATTCGTCATGTACCGTGAGAACACGCGCTATTGTTCACTTTGTTAGCAGATCAGCATTAACCACAGTGAACACTTGCAACATGAGATCTAGGCGAGCCTCGGAAGGAACCAGCTTGGTTGTATAAATTAGAGTGGGTGTCGCATAGCACAATAAGCCGGGGCCATGCTATCCCGCGACCCGCCTTAGCATGCTTCTGTCAGGACATGGACCAGAACGGCCCGGCCTGACTCAGCACAGGGCATAAATACATGGTAATGGCTATCATAGCTTGATAACGATTCATCTCAAGTCCTTTAAAACAACATACCCTCTTATTACCCGATATCGTGCTGTAAGGAACTACGCTCAGGAAGGTATCGCACAGGCATACTAAAGTTGTATTCGATAGAGGGAATAATGGCATAAGTCTTGGGTGGTTATACTATCGTGAGATCCACTAAATCCTCTTCTGTTTCTGGCCAAAGCTCACCACTCATCATACCATTCACGAAAGCTGGCCCAAAAAGCTTGTAATGACCCGCTTTCCCTTCGGTGGGTCTTACTATCAGCGGTACCTGGAGACCGGAGACGAGGACTACGTAGTCGTTGCATTCGATAGTCGCTGAAGCGGTACCGTAATATCCGTTTTCTGTTACGAAAAACAGCTTGGCGCGGGTACCAAGCGCGACGTGATTATGAAACAGTGCCGCTGAAGGATCTTGCTGGATAGCTTCATAAATATTCCATTCGTTTGTATTGGTGAGATCACTAAGCCATTCAGGTAGCGAGGATGGATCGTACGACGGTGGCTTGAGCCTAGCCATGAGTAGAGGCATCGGCATGCTCGAACCAGGATTCGTGGCACTGAGATAAAGTTGCCAATTGCTGAACCCGCGCAACAGTTCAGGAATATTCCTCAAGCTATCGGGCACAACTGTAAAGTCTTGCAGTAATACACGGATGAAGGCGATGACATGCTGAGAATCGTCCCCGTATCTGTTCGCTAGAGTGTTTTGAGCCATCATTTTGAAGGCGCGGAAACAAATTATCCACTCTTGGAAGGCTTTGACGGAGTTTTCTCTCTCCTGAAGATCGAATATAAGCCTGTCTTCCCGATCCAATTGGTACCGGTCACCAAAGCATGGCGACCTTCCAGCCTTTATCATGATCCTATCCACGATCTTGCCGCGAAGGGTGAGACGTCTGCTATCTTCTGAAAATGTGTATCGCGGTCGAGAGTCCCCAGCGGCACCGGGACTAAATGCGTTCACTTCTATGGGGCCTGGAATCAGCATGTCGATCCAAGTTGGTACCCATGATGGCCAGTGCTGCTTCTCTTCAATACCGTCAACGAAATCAAGAATCCAAAGACTGTTATCTTTCTCAATGGCTAGCCTCGCAGCTTCCGTAAATATTTGGTCGATACTTCGTTCATAGTCCGGAGGAGGGAGATTGGCATCTAGTCGTTGAAGTATGGAGTACAAGCCAAATATATGATCTTTGGGTTCGGTGGCGCGTCTGCGGAGAGACATTACTAGGATTCGCGTGACTGGCCGATCCGGGTTCGGGTTCACAGCCGAACGGATTTGAGGCCCTGGCAGAAGACTCTGTACCATGACATGGTGTGCAGATATGGCAGAGTCGAACACAGAGAAGTCTCCGTAAACACCAATACTGTTCTCCGCCGCCCTAAGTTGATCTACGGCGTATACAAGAATCGACCAGGAGATTTTCGAATCGCCACAAATGACCAAGGAATCTTTGGCCAACGCTACTTCTTGAAGAGTCCAGATACGTTGGAACCATGACCGCTGAAATAGGGCTTTGAAAGACTCCAATAGAACACTCGCTACGAAGTATAGTCAGTGTCGGAACAGGTGGATGATAGAAGCTAGGGATGGTCATTACTTTGGAGAGCCTGATATAACTCTGTTGATAAGAGGGTTTGAGTCTCTTGATCCACGCTTCTTAGATTCTCAAATTCGTTAAGGAATCCGAAAAAAGCGGAGTTGACTGGAACAGCAGGTCCAAGCCAGATAAGGACCAGACTTGCTTTCGAGTAGATATCGCCCATGATGCGAACCTGCTGATTTCGATCGTCGATTGAACTTTGATCGATGCAAATCGCATCTACCCATAGTGTCCTAACACTGCTGTCTTTCCGCAGATGCCGCAGTGCACTTTCGCAGTTTGGTGTGACGTACAGATCTTTCCCATGGCATTGGAGAGCGACCTTCTGCGAGGGATCTCCCCATGCATATGACAATGCTTCGTATGAGGGCGAACTTCCAAGATCTACTTCTTCAAGGCTAACTTCAACTCTGTCTTCCCTTGAAGCGCTGGGCAAGAGTGTTATTACTCGTGTCGAGTATGACCCAACTAGTGGCTCGTAACGAAAGTTGTTGGCCATCACAGTGACGCGGAATGGCTTTGAATTAGTGTGGTTCGAAGGAACAAGCCGAACAGGCTTAAAGAAGACGTTGTTAGCAGGAAATGTCGTGGGGGACGTCGTGTTTATTGACTAGAGCCTGACCACGTCACTGATAAGTTCAGCTGAGACCGGAACTCCTCGCTGATAGCGGTTTACGAAAGGCCATGAAAGCCGACCAATCGTCCGAAGCCATTCATGGCCGCAGGCAAGCGAGGGCTTGTAATTTTATCGTCATCTTATTCGTGGCCGGCAGCTGCGCTGTCTCATCGTGTTCGTTACCGCATTCCATGAGAAATACCACTCACCCCTAGCCGAGGTAACTGAGACCTGCCAATCACACCCTACTATCTAAATTTACCAGTCTTACTACATTTGTGAGGCTGAAGCCGCGTCCTGAAGCGTTGTAGAGCGTCTAGCACTGTCACAGAACATTGACGAGCATTTATGAAGCTCATACCTAGGTATTGTATCCTTATCCGTCATCTTTGGTGTTGTTAGTCTCTGGAATGCCGCCTGGAAGTGATGAACAGCTCCAGCTAGTGATCCATCTTGTAAGCATTTATCAATCACATTACCGTCAGAGAGAACGGCTTCGAGAGGCTATAGTAGAAGCAAATCTAGTGGTCTTAGTGTCAACGTATATCTAGAGTTCGCTGGTCACTTTGCTAACATTAGTTCATAATAACGGTACATACGCGATACTCTCATATATGCTGGCCCGAAAGTGGGCCCTCAAAAACAAAACCATGTCCCGATCCTCTTGCTTCTGCCTTTCCACCCCTTTTCAGCCGGCTCCATATCTTCCTTAGTGTAGACATCCGTCTCGAGGTCCATCTCACTCGCTTTCCTAAACTTCGTCTTCTTCAATAGCTTCCAAACGACGATCATCAATAGGAATATTGGTAGCTCCAGGTAGAAGCTGACGAAATCTACGGCGGCGAACTTGGGGCTGAATGAGGACCATCCCTGCACTAGGACGATGAAAGAGTTCAGAACCACGCAGATGATCGGACCCCAAGGGTACATCCAGTTTCGGAAGGGCAGCAGGTGCTCCTTTCCTTGAGCCTTGAGACCCGCGCGGAAACGCAGCGAGGAGATACCAATGCAGATCCAGCTTAGCTGGTTCGAAACACCTACAATATTCTGCAGCCATGTCCAAACCTGGCCAGAGCCTGCAAAGGATAGGGAGAAAAGCACGATAGACACCAAGCTTGTCGTTATGACTGCAACCCATGGAACTTGGTAACGTGTCAGCTTCGTGAACACTTTGGGTGCATGTCCGTTCGCGCCGAGTGTGTAGAGCAATCGCGAGCCAGCGTACAGCGCGTGATTACCAGCAGATATGACACTGGTTAAGACCACCGCGTTGACGAATGATCCAGCTGCTTTCGAGCCTGCCATTTGAAATGCGATGGTGAAAGGCGATGTGCGAGATGACTTGGTCGAAAGTCCTGGGTAGTTGTACGGTATGTTGAATCCGATCATGATGGCCGTCAGGATGTAGAAGAGCAAAATGCGCCAGAAGACGTTCTTTACAACCCTAGGAAGCGTACGTGCTGGGTCACGCGTCTCTCCGGCGGTGATTGCGATCGATTCGGTTCCTCCGTAGGCAAAAGATGCCGTGACAAAAACTGATGCGAAGCCACCAATGCCACCCACAAAGGGTGCATCTCCGATAGTCCAGTACTTTCCTCCAATGTACCCATAATCGGTGTTGCCACCCGCATTGACAGCAATACTGAGGATGATGAAGATGATGATGGTCACCACCTTTAGCAGACTGAGCCAATACTCAAGCTCGCCGTATGCCTTGACGTTGATGATGTTCGCCAACACAATAAGCACCCACACTGCTATACCCACAGCATACCACGGGACGCTATCGCTCCAGTACTGTATCAACAACTGCAAAGCCACCAGGTCTGCGGCGGTGCTAACAGCATCGTTGAACCAGTAGTTCCATGTCAGCGCAAAACCAAACGCATCATCCACGTAGCGACCCGCGAACGTGCAGAAGGAGCCCGCGACGGGAACGAAGGCGGCCATTTCGCCGAGCGATAACATGGTGCAGAAGACGATGAAGCCGACGATAGAATAGCAGATGAGTAGCGAAGCCGGTCCACCAGTTGCGAGAGCTTTTCCAGTACCCAGAAATAGGCCAGTTCCAATGGTGCCTCCGATTGCGATCATCTGCACCTGCCGGGCGCTGAGAGAGCGGCGCAAGCGATCCTCATTGACGAAGTGAGACTGAATCCGGTCCAACGAGTCGGGTGATGCTGCGACATCATGAGGCGCCTTCTCAGGGTCCGCGGTCGCCATATCGTAGGTGAAGTTTACCGTGATAGTATGCTGCAATGCAAGAGACGAAGCTCAGAGGCTGGCGCATGGAAGCTTTTCATGGCGAAGCTTGAGTGTTCTTAGTGGATAACGAGCGTCTTACCAACAGTCCGCGCGCAAGCCGGCGATCGTTGCATCGTTGGCTAATTTCGCAGTGTATGCAACGGAGCACGTCATTTTGCTTGTAGCGGATTGGTGGCGTGCGGGGGAACCTGAGGGTCGAGTAGCATTTTCACTCGAAGTTTGCATAGCGCTAGCGTACATGAGGTTAGCAAGCGTCCCCCCGGACCGGTTATATTACTAACTTTACGAGGAAGCTCGCCTTTTTTTATCTTATGCCAGCTAGCTCTGGACTTATCTTCAGATGTTTCTAGTGTCATCAAGGTCTACGCGACGGTTCTACAGAAGGCGTATTCACTCGATGTGACGTTGTAGCAGATTCTACAAAATGCGGCTGACAGGCTGACTGCGATTTCACTCAACCTCGAAAGATCATCCAGAACGACATCTTTCTGCTCATCAGTCCATCTCTACGCTTTTTTATTCTCTTTAATTATATCTGCGGCCTTCTCGGCAACAGCATACATCGTTGCCTGCAAGTGCGCTGCTGGTATCAAGGGCAGGATGCTCGCGTCTACGACCCTCAACCTTTCTACTCCGTAGACCCTCAATTGTGGATCGACACAACCACCCAACTCTTCGGGCATAAGCGCACATGCGCCGCTTGAATGAGCGTAGGTTGGATCCAAGGCAGCTGCTTTGATACTGGCGTCAAAGATCTCGTCATCAGTCTGATATTGCGCACCTGGCACGGTCTCGACGGGGGCGTAGCGCTGGAGTAGGGGCGCGGTAGTCCAGTGCTGCCTGTTCCACCGCACCAGTTCGCCAAGAACTAGCTTATCGACTGGGTTTTGGAATGCGTTTCGAACGACGATCGGGTTCGCCGATGGATTCGTAGTGTTGAGGGAGAGAGTGCCTCGGGAGAGAGGCTTCTGAACGGCAGTAGTCGCTCGGCCCCAAGGTTGGATCGGGTATTCGCCGGTCGCTGCATAGTCCGAGAGGTAGTGGTCGACTAGAATCTTACGCTGTGCCATGAAGCCCTTCAGCAGAGTGTCGATCTTCGAGTAGCGTTGGGGTAAGTATGCAGTTGCATTCTGTCCAGAGACAATGGCAGTTATATCAGCATACTTGGTAGAAAAATCTTTGAATGCAAGGAATAGTGCTGCATTGCCTCGCCCAAAGGTCCACGGTCCAGTGCGATTAGCTGCATACAGCTCGGCAGCTGTGGCGTTAAAAGCTGGGTCGGGTGTCGTAACGAGCATGTCTGGGTTCGGAACGGACTGATTTGAGAGGTTAAAACGCATGTACAAGGCTTGATGATCCTGGAAGTTCGAACCGACAGCCGGCAGGTCTTTCTTCGCAGTGATCTTAGCGGCAGATAGTTCGTCCTTGGGACCAATTCCAGACAGCATGAGCAGGTGCGGTGTAAAGACGCCTCCAGCTGCCAGGATGACCTCTCTCGTTGCGTGTACAGATCCGGGGGAGGAGTCGGCGTTGGACGTATACTTAACACCACTGGCTACAAGCGTACTACCATTCTTGAACAGGATTTCATCCACGTGAGTGTTGGTCAAAAGATGCAAGTTGGTGCGTGTTTGAACTGGGTCGTAGTAAGCTCTGCGAGCATGGCTGCGCTGCTTAGTCGAGTTGTCAATGGAGTTTGGCGTCCAGAATGTGCCAATGGGTCTACTGAAGCCTTCCGGCGAGTGGGGTATGTCGCTCCTAGATACGAAAGATCCCATGATGTCGACGTAGTCTTCATACTGGTAGCTGGGTATCGATACCTTGACTGGCCCATCGCCATATCTGAGAACGAATTAGCTACGACTTTGTGGAGATGGTATTGTGCACCTACGCATTAGCATCGAACGTCATGTTGAAATGATGGCGAACCGCTTCTGAAGGGCCATCAAAGTGAGTGGACTTTTTGAAGTACTTTGCCAGGCCTTCATATCCCCAACCCGGGTTTCCCAACTGTTCCCATGCATCGTAATCCGCATCAGAGCCCCTATCCCACTGCATGCCGTTGACGACCGAACCGCCTCCAACAACATTGCCTACATGTACCATCCAAGTCTTGTTCTGCATGAATGGTTCTGGTGCAGATGTGATGGGATAGTAATTCTCGACATTGATGTTGGCAAAATACGGCACACTCGTCGTGGGTCTGTCGTCGATGACCCCGTTCTCGATGACCAGCACGGATACTTGAGTTTATTAACAGGCCAAATCGCTTTGCTAGACGATGTCGTACTCACTATTTGCATTTTCAGTCAATCGGTTGGCAACTACCAACCCACTGAGTCCTCCACCCACAATAATGTAGTCATAGGTTGCCGACTCTGAGTACGCTTGTCGCACGTTCACTGCTGCTGCTGTGACTGTAGAAAGGAAGCCGAGAAGCCCGGCTAGCGAGTTATACCTGACCGACGGCATTTTCGTGTCTTTCGGTTTACTCCGCGACGATGTTGACGCAGTATCACATCAGTATCATGGAAGATATACGGTCTCACATCCGGCATGCGAAGGGCGACGATTGCCATGACCTACGGATTTACCCATAGGTTGGGTTAGGAACCTCAACCCCTTCAAGCCTAGTCAATACGTGGAAGGTGGTGTGCTGTATTCGATTCATTCTGGATGAACAGATTTGGGTCTTCCCACTCATTTCGGTATCATGCTCGATTTGATGATGTTGTGTTGATCGTGCATCCTTCCTCTGCAGAGTCTCAGCAAGCTCCCCTTCCGGCGCTTGTCAGGCCAATCAAGAACGGTTGGTTGGTGGGGCGCCAAGCGGCGGCGCGGCGGCGAGCTTTCCCCATTGCATGTCCCAAAGTTCCATCCTTCGGCAGATGTCTTCTTTACTGCAACACCGCCTAGCTGAGACTCTCCGAGGCGTGTGTATAACAGCTGCGAGTTGTGTTCGTTTCGTTGCTTCGTTCAGAGTACTTACAACGTACTAACAAGACCCCCTTAGTTCTAAATACGTTACATGTCCGACGAAAGCAAGTTGCAAAGCGAATGGCAAGAACGGAAGTCTTATGCAAGGAAGTCTGGGCGAACTCCACCTCGTCGTCGCAGTATTAAATCCGATATGCAGGTCCCAGATTGAAGTCTTGAGATTTACAGGCTACGAAACATTGAGGCGTCGCTACAGTGGTGTTGACCGGAGATATATCTCCATCTCTTCTTTACCAGTTCTCGGAATCACTCTCGTTTCCATCCAAATGTGCGCTGTCAATTGCATCTTCCGAGTCGTACAATGGTTCCAGCGACAGGTTACATCCACATCTCAAGCGCGCAAAATCTCACGCCTTCTCTCGCATGTCATACCTCATGGGCTCATACACCGTCGACTTCTCCCACTTGTCTTCCTGCTGAAGCCTCTGCACTCTCATATCAGCGACAGCAGTATCCCGCTTCCTGCTGACAACAATCTGCGCAACCCACACGACGATCAAGACTACTGCGCAAACCAAAGTTGGTGCCAAAATCATTCTGCTCGCCCTTGCCTCTTTGCACATCCTCTCGCTCCACTCCATATTCTCCATATAGATATTCTCTAGTTGGTCGCAAGCAGCTAGCTCGCGTGTGCAAACGAAGTAGTTGTTGGCAGGCGTATAAACAGAATTTGGTATGCAAGTTGCGCCTTGCAGACGGGCCTTAGTTTGTGATGTGAAGATTGTGGACGTGAGAGACATAGCGAGCGCCGCAGTGCCGAAGAAGATCGAAGAGACAAGCATCCATGGAAAGCTAGAGGGACGAGCTGTTGAGTGCTGAATCGTTTTTTTTTAGCAATGTTCCACAACGGTCTTGGGTGAGAAAACACACCTTCTCCTTCCTTGACATCCACCACACAGCCAGCCATCCCATCAGACCAGCAACCAGACCAACACACCCACTCGTCAGAATCCAGATATCGTTACTGTTCACATACTCTAGTGTCACTATGTCGAAGTCTTTACTTCCAGAGTCGACGGCGTCCCAGTACGCGCCGCGCTCAGGTGAGCCAAGGCGTCCAACCCATTTGTAAGACCCTGCTGGGACTCTATAATCTAGCGAGCTTGTGTAGTCTGTGGTAAGGTAGACTGTAACAGCCGATAGAGCGAGGAGGGTTGTTGAAGTTGCAAGAGAAGTGGTTTGCAGAATGGTGGGGAGTGTTGGGAAATGCATAGCTAGGTTGGCGGTATTATAAAACTTCGTATTCGATCGGGATGGAGTAATTGAGATAGGGAGGTATGAGTATGACGAAACGATACGAAACGAAGAGCTGGCAGCTCGACAACGTTATGTGCGTACGACGAGGAGGTTGTTGGCGGGGTGACATTGCACCGCATCACCATCCTGCAATGGTGGAACGGGACCCGAGTCGAGCATACTAACGAAACTGCGCCTCATTCAGACGGCTTGCAGCAAACTCTTGGCCTCAAGGCGACGAGCAGATGCCTACACGCGGTGGATGGAGGAAAGAATGCACGCTGCTGCATCATGCGCTCGACATGTATGTAGTTCTGATGTAGGCGGGGCGGACTTGAGTGAGACCCACGATGCGCTCGAACGGCTATCGTGGTGTTATGGCATAGTGTTGCTGCGACAATGTCAGCAGGACCGGAGTTCGCTACGAGCATGCCAAGCACAGCTCCGCCTACAACGAAGGATTCCTTTTGCACGTTCCTTGCTCTTATAATAGATACCCCGCGTAGCCAAAGTCTCGATTGTCTTTAGGAGAACAATGAACCAAGTCAACCTTGCGGTTGGCATGGCAGACATTCACATGCGAGATACACCCAACCACTTTCCAATCATGATTACATGCCACGTTCTCGAGTCTTACATTTCATGCTCAGCCATACTATCTCAGTAGTCGTCTTCGTATCTCTGTTCATCTCTGCCCTCGTCGTACGCATTCTCCATGTTATCTCCAAATTGCTCCACACCATCCGTCATGTTATCCCACTTGTTTTCGATATCTTGCGGTATATCTTCCACCGCCTGGACCTTCTCGCCAGTCCATTCCGCAGCGTTTTCTGGGAAGTTCTCGATATCGTTGACGCCGTTGTCCCACTTTTGCTCGACATCATCGCCAAAGTTTTCTACGCGTCCGACTTGCTCGCCGGTCCACCCTGCGGCGTTCTCGGGGAAGTTGCTGATGTCGTTACCGAACTCGTCGACGCCATGCGAGACGTTGGCTTTGGCGCTGTCCCAGCCGTCTTCTGTAAGGTAGAGTTAGTGGACTGAGGGAATGATACAGAGTTGTGTGATTACGCACCAATCTTGTCGCCCTCGTGCATCAGCAATGCACCACCTGCAAGACCTGCTGCACCAGCTGCGGCGTACTTCCAGCCATTGCCGCCAGACTTTTTCTCTTCCTGATGGCCACTGCGGGTAGGATCGTACGAGCTCTGGTTGTATGCGCCTTGGTTGCTGTAGCCATCTTGGCCGTAGCCGTATCCACCTTGTTGTGGTGGAGCACCGTAGTTGCCCTGCTGTTGAGCGTAGCCGGGACCAGGATATTGGTAAGTACGCTCGCCGTTGTGCTGGTTCACGAAGAGCCAGCGGTTTTCGCGCCCATCCCACTCAGCATACCAAGGTGGGGAGACTGGAGGTGGCTGCGGAGAGTGCTGTTGGGGTGGGTATTGAGAGTAACCTTGCTGCTGCTGTTGAGGTGGGTATTGGGAGTAGCCGGACTGCTGCTGCTGTTGATTTTGCTTGTCACCGCCGGTGAAATCGGAGATCAGTTCACTCAGGAAGCCCATGGTGAGTATGTTGTGTTTGTTGCGTAGGGTAAGAAGATGTTGAAAGAGGGTTGTTAATGTCCAGGTGGGTGCAGGTGGGGTGCGGTATTTATTCAATCATCAGCATCAGCCCCTCTCGTACATCGATGAACCCACTACATCTGCAGCTAAATCTGTTCGAGATCGCCCACGATGTGTAACAAATGCGAACGGCCGGAGCTTTGAAACGTGGCGCAATCTCGGTCTGGCGGTGAGGCGGTGCCGCTATCTCCGGCGTCAGAAAAAGCATCACCGGTGCGATTGCCAACGGCGAGAATCTTCAAAGAACTCATTGACGCGAAAAAGACGAGCAAACACCATTCTGAAGCCGCAAAACTTGGATAAACACTGCTGGCTTGACGGGATTGTCAGCATGCATCGGCAGGTAGCCAAGCATCACGAAGCTTTACTTGGCAAGCGGATAGTCCCTCCCGGCTGAGCTAGACTTTGACATCCCCGCTTTAGTGACCACTCTGAGGCGCAGTTCAGGGGCATCTGACGCATTCGCTGCGCCACGCGACCGAGCTGGTGTCAGCAGTATGGTACGCATTCCAGTTTTACAGGACTCAGCTGTAATCGTTCTGAACTTTATTACGCCACGTTCAGTCAATGAACTTCGCTCCTTACACTATAGGCGTATCGTGCACGGTGGTGAAAAGCGTCCCATGCGCCCCATTTCTCAAATCGAGGCCGGGGTGTTACCAACTTTGGGACCGACGCGTCACAACGTGACTACGCGACACAACACAACTACCAGATCTCACATTGGGTATTGAGAGCACACAGAACACCGGGAGCGTATCGAGAAAAACGCTACGATCTTCAGGAACCAGATGATGTGTCTACAGTGTGATACCTACATTGTAGACGTTGCACACAAAATCCAATAACTATCCAGGCCGGTTGAACTCTATGTCGCGTTCATGTTTGTCAGTCAGGTGCTGTTGAGAGCCCCGAAGACAATAATATGGCAGTGTGGCATACGCGAAGATAACCATATCCTCTGATACCAGTGAAATTCACCGCTCACTTCACATCTGTGACCCCAAATAGGTTCATATCATGTAAGCGCTTCCTCGCGTCTCTTCTTCCGTCCTCTTCTCAATATCCCTCACACCACGCTCTCAATTTCCGATGGTCTATCTCAGCCAATTCGAGCCCATCATGAAGCTCTTCGCGACCTCCATCCTCACTTTCGCCCTCCTGGGCATCGTTACCACTGCTTCCACTCTCGACGGTGAAGCCTGCACTGAAGGCGAGAAGCAGTGCGCCCTCAATGGTCACATGGTCGGTCAATGTGTCAACGGCAAGTGGACGATTGTCAATATCTGCAAGCCTGGCGACATCTGCGTTGAGAATGCTACAGCTCTGTGTGCTTCGAACCCTGATAGGAACGTACCTTTCAGCGCAGAGAGCGATATTTCCGCTATTGAGGATCTTGGTAACAATGGTGCTGAGTTCCCTGCCACTGAGGAATGTCGCGATGGCGATGCGCAGTGCGAAGTCCTTCCGCTCATCCTGCTTGGCCGCTACGCTTTCAAGCGCTGCAATAGCAACCACAAGTGGTTTATCAATGTGGTCTGCAACCGAGAGGATGTCTGCATTGCCGAGCCTTATCCTCACTGTGCCAGTCTCGAGGCTGTTGACAGACGTGAAGAAAGCAATGGCAAAGATGGGGGTAAAGACGTCATCAACGCGGTGAGTTTCATAGCTTCTCCTTCCTCAGCTTTCGCGCATCTGCTGACTGCTTTCAGGTTCAGGTCAACAAAGTCGAACTGCCATGCACAAAATGCAAGAGATTTCGCGATGAGTGCACCACGGTAAGCTCCACTCACTTGCTTCTATCTCCTATTCTCTTCAAACTTACCGACAACACTAGAATTGCTACAAGTCGGTCCATTGGAGGACGCGGACGTGGTGCCAGAAGACATGCATCAACAAGATGAAGGACTACTTTGTTGAAGACGGCAACCATGGAACGTACCGCGGTACCTGTAAGTACTACTGCCCGAACTTGTGTCAATAAGTTTCTGCGATAGGATGGCAGGCCGGGGTGAAGTATCTGAGAGTCCTCTGTGAAACTGGATGAAGCAATAGGACACGTAGGATCCGAGAAGTTACAAAGGTAGCGCAAGCGAATATAGGCCGTAGCATAGCATGATTAGCTTCTTTGCATGAAACGTACAAGACTCGTTTTCACCTACCCATCACCTGCGTTGACATGTTCATACCGAACTTCCTGTCACATAACAAAGAAGCCCGCAAGACGTAGAGGAAGGGCGAGCAAGCCAAGACAATTGACATGCACAGAAGAGAACTTTGTGTTACCACACCACCTCGTCCGATTTTTGGGTATCTCTTTCAATCAAAAACAACCTTCTTTCCCTGCGGCGCACCCTTGCCCGCAACATCAATCTTCAACTTCTTGCTTTCCTTTGCCATCTTCGCAGCCTGCCAACTAGGATGCAGTTCGCCCTTGTCATCCCGTTTAACACCCAGGCCCATCTTCCTATCCTTTTTATCGTCCTTTTTACCCAGTGGTTCTGCGTTGCTTCCACTCTGTTGGAGACCAGGACCCATGGGCTTGCCTCGTCTTTGACGCTTACCATCACCGGCAACGGCTCCTCGTTTGGCGTCGAACTTGACGTTCTGTTGTGCTTTCTCAATATGTTTGGCTTTTGCGCCGAACTTCATCTCAGCAATCTTTTGACGGGCGCGTTGGCCACGGCGATTCTTTCGTGGAGCGACGTCAACGTCGAGGTCGGAGGCTTCGGATTCAGAGCCGCTGAAGTAGGCGGCGTGGCTGAGCGCGGGAAGGAAGGCGGACGAGGTGGGCTTATCTTCTATGGCTTTGGTTTTGCTCTTCTTGGTGAGTATCACGGCTTCGTCGGAATCGGAGTCGGATTCTGAATCGGCAGAAGACTCGTCTGAAGCAGGAGCAACAGCCCGGGAGATGGCTGCGCCCTCGTCTTCGCTGGTCCCGTCTGCCTGTGCGCCTTCTTCCTCATCATCCTCGCTTGCGCTCTCGGCCTCGAGATCGTCGTCGGGGTCGCGTTCGCTTTCGCTGTCTCCGATACTTGGGGGTCGATCGTCGTCCGATATTGAGCCCTCGCTTCCCTCCTCGCCTGAAGATGGCGCAGCTATCCGCGCGCTGAAAGCCATGTATGGATCGTCGCCCTCGTCGCTTGCGTCCTTCATCTCCACGTCCTCTGTCTGGGCAGACTTGGAGCTCTTCGCCTTCTTGTCATCCTTCTGCTTCTTCGCACCCTCCGCCTTGATGGCTTTGTCCCCTTCCTCCTTCTGGTTGCTGTCCTTGGCTTTGCCGGCTCCCAAAATGTTCTTCAAGTCCTCAACGACACCATCCACCACCTTCTTCACATGCACCACCTTGAACAACCTCGCGGTGACATTGAGAGTACTGGTGTCCTTGCTTCCCTCCCTGATACCAGCGATGTATTCTTGTAGTGGCTCCGCGTCCTTCAAGCTTTTGACCCTTGCCAGAGTCTTGCGCAAATGCTGATCGCCTAGCTGCTCCAGGTTCAGCGCCTTCAAGACTTGGTATTCGGCATCCAGGCGAGAAATTGCCTTCTGGTCGCCCTTCTTCTGCGCCTCCTTCTTCCTGCGACTATGTTTCTGGCGCTCCAGCGAGGAACCATGTTTCAGCGCTGCGAGAAGCGGCTTTTGCGCAGCTTCGAGGCACTTTTGGCAGCTCTTGGCTTGTTTCGCAGGCGTGGCTAGGGAAGCTGGAGGAAGCTTTGCGGTAGGAGCAGGCGACTCGCGCTTTCGTTTCGGCATTCTGGGCGCTCTTTTGTGGTTGTTGTTGTTGGTGTCGAGGTGCCAGTGGAAATTTTGGAAATGCGCCCAGGGCTAATCGATAAGCCCGGCCAGAATTCCACTGCGCGGCATCCAGGCCGCTCTCCACTGTTCTTCTGTCACCCTTCTTTCAGTCTGTCACTAACACCACACATCACATGCGCCTTGGGATATGCCGTCGTGCGATATGGTTGGCTAACTCGAAAATGATAGACTTGGATACACGTTACAAAGAATAGCTGACAAGGTTGGCTCATAGGCACTTGTCGCACCTTGCAGCCTACTTCACCTTAGATTCAACCCTCATCACGCCTCGCTTCTTCAGCATCATCTCATTCTTGTTCGCTCTTGCTCGTAATGCCGCGTCTCTGGTTCCCAAGGGTGCTGAGACTGCCTCCGACTAGGCGTACCTCCGCTCCGAGCCCTTCTAGGAACAGGAGCCTCAGTATCAATATACACGCTGGGACCCTGCCCTCGTGGTCGCTCGCCATACTCCGTCTGCCCTCCTCGCTGCAAATGCGCCTCCATCTCTCCGCTTTGTAGCCCTCGACCGTCAGCCATGGTGGGCATACGGTGGAACTGAGGCTGCTGTTGCTGGTGGTGGTGGTGCGATCGAGCCTGCCCTTGGCCAAAGAATGCCCCCTGCGGTGCTTGATTGGGTGCATTGCGGAATAGCTGCGGTGGTACCATGTCATCGTCGTCCGTTTCACGGTTGTTACTATGTTGCGGGAAAAATAGAGGGCCGTCTGTATGGCCATCTGCCTCATGGTCAGCTCTCTCTTGCGTCACTGCTTACTACGAGGCACAATGTACGATGCGACCTGTCCTCCTCCTCTGCCCCAGAGGCTTTGGATTTCTTCTCCTTGTTCATTTTACGAGCCCGCAACTTATCACCTAGGACTTCCCAGTAAGAGGTAAGGTGCTTGCGCTGTTGGAACTTCCTTGTACGCTCTCCTGGCTTCGATGGTGCTGTAGACAGATCTCGAGCCATATTGTCTTATCGAACGTGTCTCAGGTATCCAAAGGGGGTGGGAAGCCCCAGGATCAATCTTATACTTGCGCGCAGTGACTAAAAGGACAAATGGAAGAACAGGTGCCGGCACGATGCTGGACAGTACGAAGGCATTTGCTGAACATGTCACTTACGATGGTTTCTTGATCCGCCATGATTTCTTCGACGAGGAGCACCATTCCCAGAGCCGCTCTGACCAGTAGCGTGGCCCCTGTGTGATGGTATTGGAGGAATCACATGGCGGCCTCGATGCTCTTCCAAGCCACTGCCACTGGTATATCTTTCGCTTCTAGGTACGCGTCTCGTACTTTTGCCTGTGGGGTGAGCATTCACTGGGACATGGGTATATCTGCCCGCTGGCACTAGAAGGCCTTGTTAGCAGCGGAGTGACAGTTCACTAAGAGTAGCTTGCCGAAACAAATTGGACGCGGAGGAGGCGTGGGGCATCGGTTAAAACAACACATGCTATCGGAACTGTGAGCTTCGGAATAAGAGGCTGCGTATGGGGTTGATGTTCCAGGCGGCTATGGGTACAGATTGATGTTGGCTGTGATTTGCTAATTATGGATGAAGGTGCTGATCAACCCGTCACAGCATCCATTAAAGGCGCAGAAGAAGGTAGTCATGGGCGATTGCGATTAGTTTGAAACCCTTCACTGGATTCGTATAACACTGCGCCATCAAATCATGGAATGAGCTGGGACGTTGTTGGCAGTTTGGACGCACCACATCAAAGGCGCTCCTCAATACACGAAATCTTAGATAGTTGACCAGTTTACCATGTAGGTGACGATAGGTAGGAAGTCTGCCGTGCTAATGCGCAGCTACTTCATCATAAACGGGCATCTAAATTGACATGGAGTACTGCCTTTTACAGTTCAAGCTCGGAAGTATTGTAGAATCTATGGCCTTACAAGATTAGAGAAAGGTTATTGTCGAACTTGCTGTAAGAGTGACCCTTGTATGGCAGGCTGTTGCCTACGCTGTGAGCTTACCCCGCAGTCAGCCTTTCAAGCACACAGCACTCAACACCCCAACCGCGATCTTGAATGTGCTACCAGGTCGTTGAAAGATATTCTGTTTGTCGTTGCTTGTACTACAAGCATGCGATCGACCCCTGTGCAGCGTTGGGTAAGCGGGGTCACGGCATTCAAGAGAAGACGATTCTGGTAGGATACTCCTGTTCCACACATGGACTCAGCAGGGCCGAAGAACACGCAGTATCCATAGAGAAGTCAGATATTGTTGATGATGCCTCAGATACAGATGTGAGCTTGAGTGATGATGAGAGCATTTTTTCCACCTCGATTGCGTTAAGTAGATGTACGTCTTTTATCGCAACCGATGGGCAAGACACCGTCGCGGAGATACTAAAAGTCCTGATCGAGGACCCTGAGTTGAGGTGGGAGAGGCTGCTGTGCTTTCAACCTGAGATACCGATTGGGAGACAGGTTAAGGATGTGCAATTCTTCCTAGCAGCCTTCGAGAGTGATCTACGCGCTGAGGCTGATTCCACTCCGCAATACCATGCCTGCGCATTTCTGCGACGTCGCCTACGACACATCTCATCACGAATATACGAACACTACGATATCGAAGAGAAATTCAGTTCCGGGGATGTCCTCTCCAACGACGAGCACGTTTCTGGGTCATTGCAGCGACTCGAGCCTATCGGTCTGGATGAGCTCGATTCGACGCTCATGCCTGCCTTCTCGAGCATCCAAGATTTCCTGTTTAAAGGAGTTGCATACCAGTCGTTGAAAGAGAATATAAGAAATTTTGTACAACATACGCGCAATCATGAAGAAGAGATGATCGATATCATACTGCGGAATATACATCCACCAAAAGCGGTTTCCCATCGTTTTGAGAATGATTGGGCAAAAGTACGACGCGCACACCTAAGTCGATTTCTTTCCTGCCTTGAACTTGAGGCAGAAGAACATAAGCTCTCAGCTTCTGATCGTGCTGGCTTGAAGAAAATTCGTCAACATCCATTCCAGCTTATCATGAGAGTCATGACGTCTTGGACGAGCGAAACACCCTCATGGCATCATTATCCACTCATACCAGGCATCGATAGCTGTTTGACATATGGAGACGTCTCGGGAACCACAATATATAGCCAGACCGAAATCGAGTCTTTCGAGACATTTGTATGCTCAAGCGAAGCTTTTTTGACGCTCGCAAGAACAATTTCAGGTCTTTCCCATAAGAATCGAAGGAAGTCTAGGTGTGTTGTATGGCAGCAAGGGCTTAGTGCTCAGACTCTATCCGATGGTAACCTACGTAAAGATGTGTATGACACGATCAGTTATGATTGTGTAGGTTTCTTGACCTCCTACCACAACTGTACTCATGCAGCTGACCTCTCATAGCCATGCGGGAAAACCATCTTCGACAACTACGCACCATTGTCTACAGAAAGTGCTTATAACCGGTCGCGACAACTGAGGTTACTCTCTGTGCGACGAATATATCAGCAAGCCGCCTCACAGCACTCGCCGAGAAACAATTCAACGTTTACCGTACGACGCTTCTTGTCTTACTTTACTGGTACCGAAGCGTCGAGCAATATCCCGCTTCCCCAGCATCAAACTCCTGACCCGACTGCCAATCATGTGGCGACAAAGCAATGTATAACGCAGTCCGGATCAGTACAGCATAAACACCACTTCATTCATTGGTGTATACCTTGGAGTCGCTACGCCGTACGCATGTCTCCACTGCAGTCATGCCAGATCCGATCAGACCTCGACTTCTTCAAGCTCCTGAAGCAACGGTATCTACAGTCTAAAGGAAGATACAAGATGTTCCTTTCGTTCAAGAAACCAACTGCCCTACGATTCGTAAAGGCAAGTTCTTACTCCAACTTTTGGAATACCTGAAGCCGTTCGTGGCTAACACCTGATCTCAGTTCCGTTTGTATCAACATCAGCTCGTAGATATTCACACGACCGATGACGTACCCCCTGAGTCTTACAAGGACGAGTATGAATATTACCCAATGCCTGCGGAGACCGTTCCTCCAATCGGCCCCAATCTACTGATGCATTTCTTTACGCATCCAGACGAGAGCCCCTCATATCCGGTGTTACTACCAAGCATACCGAAACGAAAGAACGACAAGCTCGAACCTTGTCCCATACGTGGCAGCAGGTAGGTCAAACCAACCGATCTGATAATGAGCTTATGCTAATGCGTACAGCCTTGGTTGGGGAATTGACGTCGTGACTGGGATCGACGAGTTCAAGCTCTTTGCTTTAGGCTTGATTGGTACGCTGGCAAGCATGATTTTTGGAATTGTGTGGTCAGTCGTGAGACAGGATATACAGGGTGGATTTGCAGTTGCAGGTTTTCTCTTCACACTTTTCGCATTCGCTATTGCTAGTTTGAAAGCGCTAGACTTCTAGTGGCTGCGGAAGTGCCATGGACTAGCCGCATGAGATTCAGACGCCGGATTCAGATTTATATTGAGGCTTTCGTATGTGATCAATAGAGGCGACAGATGCCTTGGCTGCACTATCTCCAACAAACTCACCGTCAACGCCTACGACCTGTGCCTCCGAATCCATCCATGCCTCCACGCCCGAAACCTATACCCCCCATGGCCTCAAATCCGCCCATACCACCAGGACCACCTGTCGGTCCTCGTCCTCTCTGGCTACCTGTACCAGCACTTCCATTTACGTGATCCATATTCCAAGCGGGATGCGAATTTCCAACGCCATCAAGTCTCGCCCCTCCTCCACCTCCACCTCCACCTCCTCTATCCATGCCCATAGGCCCTTGCATGAATGAATCTCTGGAACGGCCGGTCCTTCTAGGGTTGGGCTGTCCAAAAAAGCCGGGGTTTATTCCTCGATTTTCAGGTCCCGGAAAGTTACCAGACGCCCCTGAACGATGACCACTTCTTCTCTCATTCATCTGTCCCAGGAGTTTCTGCATGGCTTCCTCGCCACGTTGTGGGCCTACAACAACAGAACCGAATCCAGAGGTGTTGCCCGTTGGGTTTCTTCTATTTGGCGCTTGCAAAGATGATGTCATTGGAAACATTTCCGCCTTAAATAAACCTTTTCGGTTTGAGCTATAGTTACTGCTCTCACGAGCAGTAGGATCTGGGTTCCTGGGCCGTACGGTGGACAGGTGACAGCCTGGTTCGCCAAGCTTGCCATGCTGGTACAGTGGGGGCGGGGTGTCATCTCTTAGGAAATTGAAGAGACCCATAGTACTTATTGATCGATCTAAAAGATGACGGCCTACGTTGTTGTTATAAATCTTGGGTAAGTGTGCGTGATAATCCCGTGTGTTGCAAGATGCCGGAGATGGTAGTGGAGAGAGGTATCGTAGGATATGGAGACTGATTTTATATACCGGGTGCTTGCTGTGACAGTGTCACCCCACATACATGGAAGCAAGGGCGACGTCGTGTTGTTGATGTAGGGTAGAAGCATGTGAGCTTTTGCGTACGTCGAATTGCATACATGTGGCGCGCAAGTGTTATTGTAATGGCTGGCAACAAAATGGAATTCCATAATAATCTATAAACATGAATAGTCATAACTCGTGTCAGAGCTCCTGTCAATAAGTGTTTTGGTATGTCTCAAAAGAATGCGGTCATTCCCTCTTTTCTCCTCAATGCGACGTGGAGGAAGATGTACACGACCACACCGAACCCTAACATACCAGAGATAACTCCGAAACCCATGAGATACTTTGGTTTATCGTCGCCGGGGAACAGGTATGCGCCGTATATCTGCGCAAGATTGCCCATAGCGTTGACGAGCGCAATCGCGATGGCCCTAACCTCAGGCTGCATAGACCCAAACGTTGCGCTCGCGAACGATAGAGAAACGGCGTTCGAGGCCCAGAGACCAGCGGCCATGAGAACAAGTAGTGCGTATCGTGCTGTGAAGTCGTAGATTACGCACACGAGAATCGACGTTATGAGGGAAAAGCCGAGCCAGCTTGCGATCACGAGGCCTCGGTGGTGAGAAATGGCGTCGGCGAAGTAGGTAGTGACCGCTGTGCAAACGAAGGCGACGGCATAAATGGGGACGGTCATGTACTGGGCTGTTACTGTGTCCGTGTAGCCAAGCCCAGTCATCAGGGTCGGGTAGAAGTACGAGAGGGTAGAAGAGCCAACGATAACCTGACACCGTTAGACGAGTGCTCTATGATCCACATTAATGGACTTACCATGTAGCCAAGGATAAAGGAAATGGTCCTCCAGTCCATGATAGCAAGACGGAAAGACTTTGCCTTGCCCATCCTCTCCTCACCCTCAACGTGTGTTCGGACTCCGCCTTCTCGGAGACGAGCGATGGCGATAGCTCGCTCTCGATCAGTGAGCCGTTTTGTGTTAGCAGGGAAGTCCAGCAAGATGAAGTATGCCACCATTGCCCATACAATGGTTGCGGCTCCTTCCACGATGAACAACCATCGCCATCCGCGAAGACCAGCTGTGCCCTCCATACCGCCGGTTATTGCGCCCGCAAGAAGACCACCAAATGCGCCACTGAGGATCGCAGCCGACATGTATACACCGAAGCGTTTCGATTGCTCGTCTTTCTTGTACCAGGACGATATGATGAGGATAATTCCTGGCGCGAAACCCGATTCGAAGACACCAACGAAGATTCGGAGTACGACAAGGTGTTTGAAGTCATCGATGACAGCCATACAACAGGTCAAAGCCCCCCAAATGATCATGATGACAGGTAGGTAGATGGACGGCTTGAGGCGGACCAGGAGCATGTTGGAAGGCGGCTCGAAGACGACATAGGTCACGAAGAATACAACCAAAGCGATGGAGTATTGATCGGAGCTGAGTTGCAAATCGTCAGCCATACCGGCAATCTTCGCATTTCCGATACTGGCAACTCGTTAGCATCGTCTGTCACGCCATTTCGAGATAAGCATACTTTGTGCGGTCCATGTATGATAGCAGGTACATCAACCATATTGTTGGGAGCAAAAAGAGGTCAATTTTGCGGACCAGCTTTTTCTCTTCCTCTTTCGTCCATGTGAAGTCCTCAGCGATCTCTACATGCTTCGTTGCGTCCATCTCTTTCACATCTATAGGCTCTAGAGAGTGGCGTGTCGACGACATGGTGTTCCTGAGCGCGAAACGACGGAAGCGGGACGGATATGGAAGCAACGAAGCGGAGCCTGAAACGACAGGCTGTATAGTATTGCGATAGCAGTCGCCGATACGTCTAGATGGGTGCGACACCCATGGTGCTTTATAGTGGAAACGTATCTTGCCCTCAGGTTTTGATGTTTGCCAAAAACAGCATGGACCTCCCCAGATTGCGTTCGGGCCTTTTTCTTACCCCAGGTCTTGAGCTACAAGCCGAAGTTCCCGCATCAGACCCGCCTGCACAGGAAGCTTGACAATAGTGATTGGTCGAGGAACACGACAGAACATGTTCCATGCATTAATTCGGTGCACACCCGACGGTGTGCCTCGAGGCGAACTTTGTGCCACTAAGCGAAGGCAAGTGGTAGCTATCACACGTGCAAGTCGCGTCGGCGCGTAAGCTCGCCACGAGGCCGTTGCTCCTGCGAAGATGGTTGAACCGAGTCTTTACAGTATCCCTGCCTTGTGGACCATGCTCGCATCGTTCTCGCCCGTGGGGAGCATTTGGTACCGATCAACCACACTCCGTTGCCACCAGTTTCTTGTGGGGTGGGTGTGTGAGATGTACTTAAACATGCGGGGTGCCAGCCAGGTGGTGTTTGCCTCTCCATCATTTCGGTTTTCCATTCTTTCGCCAGACCTGCCGCACTCCCCAAACCTACACCAGTAGAAATCAATCGGAGATGTCTCCTTCCGCGATCGTACCGCAATCTGACCAGACAGCGCCTGCCAGCGGGCACGCCAACAACGGTCAAGTTGAGCAGACTGTCGAGAATCCTGTCTATCTTACTACAGAGCCAAAAGAAGATTTTGACTGGAAAATTACTCTGAAGGGCAAGGTAGTCGCTATTACCGGGGCAAACAGAGGTTGGTAGAGAGGAACACCGAGAATTGACACAAGTGCTGACCTTGCAGGTATTGGACTCGGCCTCGCTACAGTATGCCTCGCCAACGATGCTGCTGAAGTCTACTCCCTGGACCTCTTCGAGCCCGGTGAGGAGTTCCAGGCGCTGCAGAAGGCAAATCTCAAGCGCGTACACTACCTGCACTGCGATGTCACATCTGAAGAAAGCGTCACGAAGGCCATCGACCAGATTGTTGCCCAGTCGGGCCGTATCGACGGCATGATCGCCAACGCAGGAATGACCAAACATCAGCCCGCACTCAACTTCGATCGCCCACAGCTCGAACAGCTTTTCAACCTAAACGTTTTTGGCGCGTACTTTTGCGCAACGGCAGCCGCGAAGAAATTCATCGAGCTTGGTATCAAGGGTTCGATCGTCTTCACAGCGTCCATGACATCGTACCGGCCAAACAGGGCAGCACCGTCAGCACCATATGGAGGGACAAAGGGCGCTGTCCGCAACATGGCACATACTCTCGCAATGGAGTGGGCAAAGCACGGCATTCGTGTGAATTCGATATCGCCGGGTTTCGTACGCACACAGATGACATACTATGTCGAGAGGGCGCCCGACTGGAACTTGAAGATGCAGTACTATGGCGGTATGCCTAGATTGGCCGATCCTCGTGAACTTGGCGGTGCGTATGTGTACCTCCTCTCAGACGGTGCCAGCTACACTACGGGTATCGACATCCCAGTTGCGGGCATTGTCGGCGCCTGGTAGAAGTGTTCTGTTGTTGCTTCTTCGCGTTATACTGCATTGGGTGGAGTCTGTAACTGCCGGCTGGCTTTGGTTTTGTTAGGACCAATTCAACAAAGTTTATTAAAATGCTTCCCTCCTCTGCAAGATGTCAAGTGATGCATGGCGATGTTGTTGTCGATGTCCGTAGTGGTGTCGATCATGTCGTGCAGGTGAGAAGGATGAGGCGACACGTCAAGAAAACGAAATTGTAACCCGGGATGCGCAACAGCCACAACTGACTAAGCACGTCTCCTTTGCTGCACGCCGCCTGTATACATCGTGAATCCACTGATACTTCGAGTGGACATTGCTGCTCCTCTTCTATCAGACATGCTCCAGGACCTGTATCATGTACATTAGGCCTCCCAAAATCAGCCGGTGGTGGACAGTGCTTTGGACTGGCGCGGGGCCTTCGAGGGAGTATTCGCCGCGGGCCTTTTCCAGAGTGAACACGATTCCCTTCTCTAACCACCGTCAGATCATCCTGCAAAACTCCGCGAGGTATCAGAAATCCGGGCTCTGCATGCGCTGTGGTATCCTGGGCTAGTTGAGCGTCCTTCCCATTGGCCCCAGCCTCGTTCCCCACGGCAGGCCTAACCGGCGAAGCGGATCCTCAAGGGCCAAGCGAAGTTCCACCAGCATGCGCAACATCATTCGTAATGCAAGCATCGTCAACAGGCAATCCTAAGCCGCGCAAACCCCGTCCATCTCGAGCGCGAGTAAGTCTAATTGTGTTGACTGGGTGTGAGGCCTTTACTGATTCGACGGTTCCGTCGCTTGCAGGGCTTACGTACAACCACCGGATGGTAAGCTGTTCCCCAAGCACGTGTCCGCCTTGTATCTTTGAACGGTCATGTTCGCTAGCTCTGTATTGGTTACATGCTGCAGGTCTCTTGGTTAACCGCCGGCTAACTTGGACAGCCTTACCTGCAGACGAAGGAGGGTGAAGTGTGACGAGCTGAGGCCACGATGTGCGACATGCAGCAAATCCGACAGAGAATGTCTGTGGCCGTCGCCAAATGACCCCATTGGCGGCACGGGAAGCAATGCGTCTGGTTCTGTTCAATCAGAAACTTCACCAGCTCAAGATGGCTCTTCTGCTGCTGCCACGTCGCCAGGGCCTGCTAGACGACCAATTCCAGGTGATATCGATTCTCAGCTCTGGAACAATTCTCCTGAGCTATTGTTCGACTCTCCGTCGACCGTCATCAACTCATTGCCGTCGCCAAATTCGGCACCTTTGGCCTACTACGACCTGCTTGCCGAGGATGCCATCAACAACATTGACAAGTACAACCTCAATGTTGACCTAGACAGGAACAATTTGTCCAGACAGTCAAGTCCTGTCGCGGATACACCAGGTTCAGGCCCGCAGCTACACTCAAGCCAGCAAGCACTAGAAGCCGAATCGTCGGCACATGAGCAATGGAACTCAACCAACCCCATACCCATGTCTGACGATGAGCTCGTGCTTTTTCAACACTACATTGCTGTGATTGGTCCTATTTTGGATCTGAACGACCCTTCCAGGCAGTTTACGGAAACTGTTCCTTCTCTGGCTGTCCATAATGTAGGCCTCATGAAGTCTCTACTCGCTGTGTCGGCACGGCACATGGCACTCCTGAATGAGCCACAAATCTGTCGGTTAAACATACAAGACCCATCCCCGGACGGCGACGACGGCAGGATGAGGAACCTTCAAAGTCCTCTGCTACAGGCGGGAACACAATATTACTATGAGACTTTGCAGTACCTGTCGAAGAATCTTTTCTACCCTTCCTACAATAGGTCTAGGGAGATTATATCAACATCTATTCTCATTAGTACCTATGAGATGTGGGACTCTGAAGGCCAATACAGCAACGGAGCCTGGGAGAGACATTTGCGTGGTATATTCTGGATACAGAGGAGCCAAAACAACAACGGAGAGTCCAAAGACCCACTTCGGAGAGCTGCCTGGTGGCAATGGATACGTCAAGATACCTGGGTCGCATTCCGCGAAGGACGTCGCGTTCTAACTATTTGGAGACCGACCAAGCGTTTGATGGACCTAAGCCCGGACGAATTGGCTTTGCGGATTGTGTACATATGTGGGCGATGTGTAGACTTTGCCGCAAACGAAAAGAAGTACGACCTGAACACTCGCATCGACCAAGCCGGAAAGCTCCTGCAAGCTCTGGAAGATTGGCATCGAGCGCTCCCAGTATCCTTCCATCCCATTCACCGAGGACCGCCACCTGGACCTGGCGCCATGTTTGCGCCCATCTGGATTCACCCTCCTTCGTACGCAGCTGCTGTTCAAACGTTTCACTTTGCGAGAATCATAGTTCTCATCAACCAGCCTTCAATGGGAGGTGTCGACGAATTCCGGATTCGACAACGTAGCCTGGACGAAAGCGTAGACATGATCTGTGGCATTGCGATGGCACACCAAGGCAGAGAAATTCCAAGTGCCATGGTGAACTTCAAGTCCATCTATGCTGGTAAGCCCTATATCATCACGCATGTTGTTCGAAATAATGCTTACACTATTCAGCTGGTTTATGCGTTCAAGAACCCGTCAAGCAAACAGCTATCTTGAACCTCCTCGACCAGACGCTCGATGTCACCAAGTTCCCACCGAAGACACTACTCAACGATCTTACCAGCTATTGGCGGGCTGAAGCATGACCTTCCATCGATCGTACCGAATACAGTCATCCTATCTGAACCTTTCTCCACATATGCATGTCAATTTCTTATCATTGCATCCATCGAACCGTATGCAACGGACTTTTGGCCCCTCGCTCTGGCTCCACTGTGACGCAGTGGTTCTATGAAGGAGGCCTCATCTGTACACAACTCCGAAAAAGCAAAACGGTGCAAAAGAACCACGTAGCGAGGCTATTGTGGGTCGGTGCGCAACGGAGAACGCCCTGAATTCGAGTGTACTTTCTCCACAAAACTCACAATGTGGAGACCACTCAGCCGTGGCATAAATCCCTGCATCGTGGGGTAGAAGCGGGGTGCATGATAGAATACTAATCACCTTGTTCAGTCGAACGTGTGCCTCGTTACGAGGCACGTCGGCTGGGGCCCAGTGAGCCGGCCGACGTACCGTTCGCCTCTCCGCAACGTCATACTTGATCCTCGGCACGACCACCAATCAATGAGCCTGAGGGTCGCGGCTTCCCCGAACCAAACATGCCGCAGAGAAACAATACAACATCGGTTCCGAAACCGTTCCGATCGCGTGAACTCTATGCGCTCGATGTCTTTCAAGCACTGCACATCAGTAAACATTTGAGACATTTCAAAGTGCATATTGTTACCATCCATCATGGCGGTCACCAAAGACAATCGAACACTAGCAATACTCAATGCCGCTGCAAAAGGCAATTATGGCGTCATGGCTGCAATCGCGTACGAAGCTACTGTAAACGTCACTCACAATTCTGACTGTCTCCAGCTACAACGTTGAGCAATTGACAGCCCTCGTTCGCGCGGCGGAATCGAAGCGATCGCCCTTGATAATTCAGCTGTTCCCATCGACCCTCAAGCAATTGCCCCTTCTCGCCCATGCGGCCGCGCATGCCGTAAAAACCGCAACAGTACCTCTATCTTTACACATCGACCACGCGCAGAATGTGGAGCACATCCGAGAGATCATCGCGACGCTACCGGTCGACTCAGTCATGGTCGACATGTCGCATTACGATGAAGCCGAGAATCTAGAGAAGACTCGGATACTGACCAAGGAGTGTCATGACAAAGGCATCGCTGTAGAAGCAGAGAGCGGGCGGATAGAAGGTGGCGAAGATGGTATCGCCGATACAGGAGATCTTGAAGGTATGCCGTTAGACTGACGACCATCATAAACTTCCTCCGTTTCTGACTTTGCACAGCGCTCTTCACATCGCCTGAAGATGTCGACAACTTCATCAACGCCGGTATCGATATATTAGCCCCATCGATCGGAAACGTACACGGCGATTACGGCCCCGCTGGTCCGAAGGAGGGACAACTACACTACGACCGCCTCGAAGCGATAGACAAGCAGATAAATAAGCGCGTCTTGGTCGCGTTACACGGCACCAATGACTTTCCTGCTGAAGTCATGCAAAGATGTATACGATCTGGCGCAATCAAGCTGAATGTCAACAAGCTTCTACTTGAGGTGGGGAATGAAGTGCTGAGGAAGCACGCACCAACTACTTCCCTAGCGAAGTTGATTGATATGCAGATAGAGGTCATACAAAAGGAGACGGAGAGGTGGATGGACATTTGTGGTAGTAGCGGTAAAGCTTGAAAGGGAAATAGACCAATGACACAACAGCATTGTACTGTTATATCAACCGAGCATATCTTACTCCTCTATTGCACTACAGCGTGATGCTTCCAGACTCGGCTCATCGCGACCAGAGCAAATGTTGTATTGTTCTTGAGTTTTTGTGTTTATTACTCAATGCTGAGATGCGCTGTTGAACTGAGTATCCAGTGTCTCGAAAACGGAAGCAACGATCAACTGTCTTTGCAATTATTGCACGCCACAAAGACGCTCGTTCTTATTGATTTGTACGCAAGACTTTAATCACACTCTAGCAAATACACTGTCTGTATAAATGCGCACCTATGAGTAGAAGGCCTAACAAAAATCTTAAATTCCATGTTCGAAGGGCTGTTGTCAAAATGGTGTTCTTCGTGCCCAAAGCACCGCTTCGCGTCACACAGGCAGATGACGCGCCGCATGTCCACCCACACCCAAGTGCGCGCTACAACGCTGCCATGTGCAAAAGGAAGCAAAAAGAACACACGTTTGCAAAAAGAAGGTCTTGCCCGGAATCGAACCGGGGTTGCCGGAAGACACCGATTTTGAGATCAGAATCCGGAGTGATAACCGCTACCTAGAATGGTTATTAGCGGGGGCAAGCGAGAAGTGCGAAGTTGGAAAACGTACACTACAAAACCGATACAGAATCGAAATTTAGAAGCAATATATACACAATGAGTGGTCTGGAAAGTGACCGACAGGCTGGTTGGTGGAGCTGCTGAAAATTTTGCCGGCCAGAAAATGAAAGGGTTTAGTGTTGAGTTTGGGTAGTGGGGGCACATTGGTGAGGGGTAAATTTGACCTCATCACGCAGACGCCGAAAATGCGGAACACCTCTTGGGAAGCTCTCCGTTCAGCCTGCTACAATGAGTGTAACAGCAGAGGCATATGCATCGATAGGTTGTACAGGAGCCTACAATGATACTGAAAGCTACACCCCTTGTTATCCTTTGCCTTTGTAGACTGTAACGCAGCAGGGGGGCTGGCTGAGAAGCGTTTGATTTCTTCCTTGTAGCAGGCACAGGTACTCGCGCCCGTTATAAACGCCAACACCCACGCAACGTAGTGCTGCTTCAAGTTGTCTAATCCCCTATTCTCAAGCTTTATCTGATCGTAGAACATCTGAAGCTCGAGCGTCCCCAAGTTATTCTTTTGTCTGTGTTCGATAGACAGTTCTTGCTCTACCGCGATGAGGCGGATATGTCTTGACACGCGGGTGTGGAATTCGGTACGAAAGGTGGAGAAAGTAGGTGTCACCGTACACAAGGGAAAAACCGAACATGTATAGAGATAACAAGCTTTACCTTGCAGCTTACAATAGCTCCTAACAAAAGAGCGTATAAAGACTAATAGTATTGTAGACTTCTAGATTCCTAATCAATATCTACATTAATTTTAATATGCTTTATTGTAGTAGGTAGAAGTACCCTGCTCTAAGAAGATGTTGAGTTTCTCTCTTTGATGTAGTGGTGTGAAGACAGTGATCCACCACTCCAAGGCCTGGCGGATTTGAGTCAGAGTAGCCATCTGCACCTTATCGTGTAGCATTCCCTTTGAAGCTCTCGACATTCCTTCGAGGAAACGGCATACTCTGTCGGTCAATGTTTCGGCCGCGTACATATCGATCTCGTTCTCTTCTTTGTAGAAGACTTCGCAGAAATGTTTGAAGTTTGCTCGATCTCGCTGCCGCTTGTCTACCGTGGATGGAGCACAGTGATCGAAGAACATTGACTTGGTTGAGGGCTTCTGCACGCGCTCGTTGAACTCTGTATCTTGTCGCAGGACCTCCATGGTTTGTTGCATGCGCTTGCTGGCGCCCTTCGCGGGTGGTGGCTTCGGCGCCATATTGGATGTGGCTTCTTTCCTTACTCAAGGATGCTTGTGTGTGGTGATAAGCGGAAAGTGCATATAATGTGAAGGGTGGAGGGCGCAAACGGGCGTGCGATCCCAAGACCGTTCACCTGCAAACACTGCGCAGATACGAAACGAAATCTTCACTCTCGACGCTGAAAATTCTCACACGCGCATATCCCGTCACTCTCGTCAGCTTCTTCAGCCTTGACATGATCACTCACCCGAGTATCTTCACAACTTAGACATCTCAACCCCCTCACTATCACCATAGCTAAGTTCGATATCGAAGCAAAGATGAGCGAGTTCGCCGCTCTCGGATCCAAGGCGAAGATGATTGAGTTGTAAGAATGCATGAATAGAGTGCCAGTCGATGACGAACGTTGCGTGTTTGAGCCACATGGGCCGGTACTCAGATCGGATCTGTCGAGAGACTTGTATCATGGGTATCCCGGTAGCACGTTAGGCCTGATGTTGTAGCTCCTATGTAATCAGTAGGTCACCTAATCTTGCTCTTCTTGACACAGTGGATTCTAGCGCAAGGAATTCCTACCGCTAGTGAAGCAAAATCTGGGGTATATCGAACCGATTCCAATGTTAATTGGTAAGTACATCGTGGTCGATGACAACAATAAGAACAAACCCGTTCCGTACGAGAGCAAAGACCAGGGCCCTTCCCTTCTGTACATTACCCAATGCCGCACTCATGGCAAGATTCCCGCGTGCAAGCACGGCAGGGGTGAGTTCTGGTTGCGTAATTTTGCCGTTGTGTCTTCGCTAACCTAGTCTGTAGGTACCACTTGTAAGACGTGCAAGCTCCACAAATTCACCTGCTCCTTCTTCATAAAAAGCATCCATAGAGGAAAGCAATCAATGAAAAAGTTTCCAGCCTCACAAAGCATGTTTCTTGTACGAAACGCTGCAATGATCAACGGGCTAGCACAAGATTTAAATTTCTCCTAATCCCGAACCAGCAGCAGTCAGTACCTCAATACCTCTTTCGAGGTTTCGATAGCACTGATTACTGAGCCTTAGATCCGAGCACGTTTGGGACGAAACCTGGGGTGGTTTCCGTACTTTTTACTAGGATAACCAATGTCCTACACATGTCAGCAAAACTCCTCGAAAGTGTTTCTCATGTGGAGTCATTGGTGAGTTCTCGCCACTTCTCGCCGACGTCTATCGGGTGGAGAGTGTATCCACAGCGAGGGCAACCGAGGGATTGATTGGCAGGACACCAGCGACGAGGTCGCAATTCTTCGGTATTGAGACCATCAAGCCAGTCGACAAGCTTATTCAAGCGTGGAGTGGCTTTGTCGGCACTCCCGTCCATCATCAGCCACGACCATCCTTCCGTCTTACTGTCAACACTATTAGTAAAACTCCATTACAAGTCGTTTGCTTGCAGCGTACATGAGAGGTAAGCGCGCTGTTTTCATATGTCTCAGTGGACCCTGGAGCACTTCACACATTCTCGCACTTGATCAGGAGACCACAGAATACTGCGAGGACCTTTAGGCACACTTTTTATTATGCATCTCTGAACTGCAGGTCTTGCGTTCTATATGAACAGTGTAATCAATTCGCATCATTTGATGTCGACGTCGTTCAGACTCCTCCGCCCCAACCCAATATCAGGTACACTACTAGTCCCAGTACTGCATCCCATCCTAACGCTTTGACTGCATACCCGCCATTTCTTAAGGATCCAAAAACACCACCAAATGTGAGATCCTTCCTCATCATTGCGGCATTTGCTACCGCGAAGCCCCCGGATACGGTAATGCACTTGACTACATCTGCGTCCCTCAGGCTCATGGTTGAGGAGTACGGAAGTAACAAAACAGCGCGTGTTACAAGGATTAGTAAGCTGAATATGGAGTTGGATCGCAGAGCCGGAAGAGCGAGTAGAGCCGCATTGAGGAGAATGTTCGGAATTTGCAGTGTTGCTATCGGTTTGCGACGCTTAGGCGCTGGATCGGTTTTAGTCGCGTCGCTTGCAGCTGATGTGGGAGCTATATCCGGAGATGAGAGATGCAGCTGGATGAGGAAAAGTGAGACCGCGAAGGAGATGGGTAGGATCTGCCCGAGTAAGATGTACGTGCGCATCCTTGCAGTATCGTATCGGCGCGCTCTTGCTATATATAAGTTAGTATACCCCAATCTATGTGACTTGTGAATAGCATACCCTTCTGCCCCATGTATATGTTCCAGAACCATGTCGCTAAGATCGCGGCCTGAGTCCATACCGCGTTCGGCGCGTCTTTGACCAGATCCTGCGCAAAATCTTGGAATAGGGTGGACTCCAACATCCACCTCTTTAATTTTTCCACGCTGACATTACTGAGGCTGCGGCTCTTGTCCCCATTCCATTCCAAGTAATGGGTAACCAGGAACATGAGCATGTGGTAGGATAACGTTGCGAAACTTATGGAAGCGACAAACGCGTAGATCTTAATGTGACGCGCTCGCGCCGCCTTCGCTGCATCGAGTTTTTCATTGTCTGCCGTGCTGGACGTGCGAAATGTAAATGTATATTGGGAGTATAGCGAGTAGGTAATCGTAATGGTCGCGTAAAGTGCTGCGACAATGTAGGAGAGGAAGATGGTGGTACCAATGTAGCTGTTGGGTGGTGTGGCATAGTATGCCACTGCATCATAACCGGGGATATCCATTTCGGGCGTCGAGATCAATTATAAGATTTTGAACATTAGCAAGGAACATGTGCGATATGCGGGCTGTATATATTGTCTAGCCAGAGAGGTTTCAGAAGTGTGCGATGATGCCTGACGTCATGACACACTGGCTGTCTGAGAAACTGTTTTACAGGCAACAGAAATTCGGCGACGCAGACGTTTCTGCGACTCTCCTCCTCGATCAACCAACGTAAAACCATCGAGGACTGCTTAATCGCCTACGTACAAGCTTTAAGAATCATCGTTGAAGCCGTTCGTCGCACTGCTCACATTCGTGTCACCTTCCAAACTCCAGAGTTCCCAGCCTCGTTAGATCGACTTCTTGCGTCACGACGCAGCGCACAACACCAGCTACACTATTCTACGTGCTATACAACCACTGTCTATATGGATTCGCTACCCAAGAACTATCATGATTGCGGTGCGATAGTTTTGGCATCAGAACTGTTTTGACAACGCGTCGAGAAATTGCTTATGTGCGCATTGCATCACCACCCACTATATCTCTTGAGAAGAGAACTCCGACAGTTCTCGTAGCGCGAATGAATCTGTAGGGGTTGCAATTTTGGATGCAAAGATTGATGACTCGACGCCTTGGTGAAGCGAATAACATGATTCGTAAGTATGCTACAGAACCACGGGCTCGTCAACAGGAAGGTCTTGGTACATGCTACGGCTGGAGTCATCGATGCTCAACACCATAACTCGGGTCCAGGCATCCAGCAGTATCCATAGTGGTGCCAACCCCGCAGTTTGTGACTCATGCGCAACTGCTGTGGGAGTACCAGTGACATCACGTGCTCTTCCAATAGGAGGTCTAGGTTACTATGCAGGTACTTACTTGGGAAGATGCAGCGGGAATTATATCCACAGTTTCTGCCAAGATATATCAGGCAACCACCGACAAGACGAGGTATATCAGGGGCTTGTCGTCCGTTTTCTAGCTGAATCACATCTTCACACTTTTTCGTGTTAACCTATCCCCACCTAGTCTCTGCCAGATCAGACTAGAGTAAAGACACAGCCACAACCATGCCCCCTCGCTACCACTCTTCCCGTCATGTCTGTGGCTGTTATGTATACCATTCCGAGATATCTGAGCGGACTTACCTTCCTCAGGTAAAACTTGATGCTCATACAACGATACTTTCAACGGCCGCCCGCACCGTGCTGACGCAGACATTCGTCAACCGTTCGAGAGAGGCATTGAATGAGATCCGGTTCGTGTCTACCCACAGCTGAGATGCACGCCACTTTGACAAGGCCATCCATTAACATTATACAGATATGCGTTCCCGCTATTCGATGGTGTGAGTGTTGTTGAGTTCTTCTGCCAGATCGGCGAGCGCACCATCTACGGTCTGGTGAAAGAGAAGAACGAAGCCAGGAAGACCTACGAGGAGGCCAAGGAGCGTGGCGAAAGCGCAGCGCTACTTGAGCAACTGCCTGACGCGGCGGATGTTTTCACAACTGCTATCAGCAATATTCCAAACGGTGCATCCGTACAAGTATCCGTCAAGTACGTGCAGGAATTGAAGCACGATGCTGAAGTCGATGGTATTCGTCTCACCATCCCCTCGTCAATCTCGCCCCGTTACGGATACTACCCAGGAAAGCTTCAAGAAACCTCAGCAGAGATTGATTCCAAAGGAATCTCTATAACAGTGGATGTGAACATGGCGCAAGGGATTCCTATCAAGAAAGTCATTTCCCCATCACATCCCATTGAAGTCACCCTCGGATCGTTATCAACCAGTGCTAGCGACGAAGATGCTTCAATTTCGAGGGGCTCTGCCACACTCGCCTTGGGCACCACCGAACTAGAAAAGGACTTTGTCTTGCAGGTGGTTGCGAAAGACGTCGGTATACCTCAGGCGATCCTCGAAACACACCCGACTCTCCCTAATCAGCGCGCATTGATGACGACATTAGTACCCAAATTTAACATCAAGTCGCAAAAGCCCGAAGTTGTGTTCATTGCAGATCGTTCCGGTAGCATGGAAGGCCATATTCCCACTTTGAAGTCGGCGCTCAAAGTGTTCTTGAAGTCAATTCCCATCGGCTGTTCATTCAACATCTGCTCATTTGGAAGCAGTCATTCGTTTCTTTGGCCAGAGAGCCGGATGTATGACCAGGATACACTTACCGAGGCTATCCGACATGTCGAAACGTTTAGGGCAGATTTTGGCGGTACAGAGACTCTGGCTGCGGTCAAGGCCTGTTTTGAAGCTCGCAATACTGGACTTCAAACCGAGCTCATGCTGCTCACCGACGGCGATATATGGTCCCAAGAACAGT